ACTGCCTTGGTATGCCTGTTCACACAAGTGGCTTTGGCTGCACGATACAGTCTGCCATGCGCCTATTTGACTGCATATTTTGAGGTTACCTAGTCGTTGTTTCACTTTTGATCTCACCTTACCGATCGCTACTCATACTTGTTCTTCCACTCGTTCGACGCTGGTACCAAAAAAGTCACCCAGGGTTCGTTCGTCCAAGCAAAAAGACAAAAACATACAACAGCGGGGATTCGCTAGTGGTCACCCACCTAACTACTAATCCGCCGGTACACTGCTTGTATATGGCTGAGCGGACGGGAAGCCTAATTTTCAGTGTCCTATGGTCGTATGTATCATTTTGACCAGATTCAAACAGAATATCATTGGTTTGGCATGACCAAGTCCGCAAGGTAGAAAATATAATTCCATCAATCACCATCGGGCATAAGCTGCCTACCAAATACGCATGTATAAGACCGAGTATGCAGAACGTCCATGTATCTTAGTATCTCCATCTACCTGATCAATAAGCGTAGAACATCGTAGTCTCGGAGTTCGAGCTCTTGATCCTTCGATTCTCCCGGATCAGCCACCACCGCATGAGCCACGCGCCAGCCGCACACATCAGCGCCATACCGGCACTCATGGACAACGGAAATACGAACCGTGGCTCCGACGACTCTGGCCAGATGTACTATTCGACGTCAGTCACTTCATCCAGAACAAGCGACCGATTTGCAAAACTTACAGGAGTCCAGATCAAGCTGAGGGTAGCCGCGACGTTGGCAATAGCCAGAGCAGCAGACTTCTTCTCCCTTGTCTGCCCACATGTTGAAGATACCCATCCAAGAATAATACTGTTGACGCCATATGTACCGATTGTGAAGACGCACATGGCAAAATATCTTGCGCCCACGTTCATAGTCGCACAGCCGAGCACGAACCCAAAGATAGCCACGCCTTTAGCGATGGTAATGTGCCAAGTGCGCTCGTTGTAATGGCCGGATGATATCGCCCATGCGACGGAGAATGCACCTGCTATCAGGTATGGTGGGCATGTCAATACAAGTGTGACTTCCTGCGAGAAGCCTAGCGTATTGACAATCGTCGGCATGAAGTTTTTGAAGCCGTTGGTAGCGCTCGAAATTGTCAGAGACGGTAAATTATCGGGGTCATTGGAACTTACATGTGTAGGTGTTGCATGTAGACGAATACCCACACTTTGGGGTCGCGAACAGCTTCCTTGAGACCAGCAAGCATGGAGACATCGGCAGAGTGGCCAACAGTATCTCTTGCGACCCGAGCGTGCGCAAGTTGGCGTTCTTCGGGGTTAAGCCACCATGTGGTTAGAGGCTCGTCGGGGAGGATAAAGCAGGCTGCTACGGCGATGACAAAGGTGGCGGCACCTTGTATTATAAAGAGCCAACGCCATCCGCTATCGTCGAGGGTCAGTGTATATCTTGTGCTCGCTGCGTACAAAAGGGCCATACCTGATACCATGGACATTATCGAGTTTGAAGACGCCAAGGGCAATGAGTCCGGCAAAGGACGACGCGAGTATGTTGCCAGAATAGAGAATGCTGATACGTGTCGCAATCTCCTTCCTCGTGTAAAATATGCTCAGGAGGTAGAGCGCTCCTGGGTAGTACGGCGCCTCGACTACACCCAAGAAGAAACGCACAAGTACAATGCCCGTGTAATTATGCACGACGGCAGTGAGCCCGCTTACGACTGCCCAGCCCATCATGCAGATACCCATGTACCACGAAGGTTTGACCCGAGTGATGATCATATTACTGGGGATCTGTGGGTGTAGAGGTACGAAGTTAGTGGATCATTCACATAGTTCTCGTATAGTCACAACTTACCTGTCCGAGGATGTATCCAACAAAAAGGATAGAGATAGCAGTGCTGTATTGTGAACTAGTGAGTCCAAGGTCCTTTTGGAAGCCATTCAGACGAGCGAGAGTGATGGCGTTGCGATCTAGGTATCCATTCAGCATGAGGTCTCCTGATGACAGCTTCATGGTATCAAATTCTTACCCAGGTAGTTGAGCCAGTACATGAGCCAGAGCATGGGCTGAAGTAGATCGTTAGTCGATTTTTGAAAGGCATGCAGATGGCTAACTCACCATGATCCAGATGTCTAATTTCCTGACAAGCTTCTTCTCTTCAGGGCTCGTCTTAGCTGCGGCTCCAGAGTAGTCGACCTTAGGTTGAACCTTCTCCTCATATTCCGTATGCTGGCTCTGGTATTTCTCATCGATAGGGTCCACGGTGTGAGCTGGCAAGGGAGATCCTACACCCTGGACTGGCTCGGGTTGCGGTACCGACATAATGCTGTTCACGGGAGGTTTCGCAATGAGGAGAGGAGAACAGAAGGTCAGGATGAATAGCCCTGTCGACGGCGCAATGGTTTATATCGGACTTGGACCATTTACCCTGCGCATCATAATGCTAGTCTCTCTCCCCATGGGGTTTCCCCGGATAATGGTGTCCTCACACAGGATATCAGACACTAAAGAGGAGCTTGAGGCGCTAAGATCCTAATTTGGGTAGGCCTGCTCCCCCGCACTGACTCGCAGTGGTGGGCCACTACCCCTCGGCGACGCCGCCCCGAGCAAGACTGCGTGCAAGGTAATAATGACACTCGGCGTACCTGCGCCGAAGAACATCCATGTAACTGTTCCGCAGCTAGCACATCCTCCGAGAGATGGCAACGCATCCGAAGCGTGGTTATTGGGGTACGAATCACACCAGCTAACTGATTGCAGCCGGTTGTCGGCATTCTCGAAGCTGTCGTTTAGTCGCTGCGACAGGCATGAGGACGTAAACGGCTGGGCAGGTACACGGAGAGGTTTATTAGCTAGATTGACTCAAGATTGCCTCCATGCAAAAAAGTCTCTAGCCACAACATTGGCAACATTGTATTCCGCCCGAAAGAACGTTCAACAACAAGACTCACAACCGACACGATAATAGTACTTCCAGCCTAAACTGCCCATACTATATTTACCATGCGCACAAGACCAGCGCCGCAACGCGGCATTCGCATAGGCAACGTCTCTGGTGCGACCGGTGATGCTCCCCACGCCATGCTCCGCATGGCACAAACAGGCAATGTCGACTTCATCACCGGAGACTGGCTATCCGAGATGAACATCGCTTGGAATGCTATAGCCAAAGCCAGTGATCCATCTCAAGGCTACGAAGTTGGTTTCCTGTCCCAGCTCGAAGAAAGCATTGATATCATCGTCGATAAGAAGATCAAGGTTGTTACAAATGCGGGCGCATTGAACACGGAGGCGCTCCGGGACAAAGTGCGAGGGCTTTGTGTGCAAAAGGGGTATAGACATTTGAAAATCGCAGCGGTACTGGGCGACGATGTCACAGCGGAGGTCACAGAGATGTTGCGGAGAACACCAGGCGAGGAGGGAAGTGGGTTTCGGCATTTGGATCATAGTGACCAGTGCTTTGTGGAATGGGCAAAGGGATTCGAGGATCCAGCGAGTGCGGTGGCGTACATCGGGGCTTGGGGGATCGTGGAGGCATTGAAGAAGGGGGCTGATATTGTCTTGTGTGGGCGAGTTACGGATGCGTCTCCAGTGGTATGTTTGGCTATGATCATTTTGTCTCTTGTGGGAGATCGCTGACTCGGCTGATACAGATTGGTGCAGCAGCGTGGTGGTATAACTGGAAACAGGACTCCTTCGATGAGCTAGCTGGGGCACTTATTGCGGGGCGTAAGTCGATAGCGGCCATGTTCTGTGCTTTCTCCTGGTACTAACCTCCATTGTAGATCTGATCGAATGCGGACCTTACGTTTGCGGCGCAAACTTTTCTGGCTTCAAAGACCTTCTTCCAGGATTGGTCGACGTCGGCTTTCCCATTGCTGAGATCATGCCCAATGGATCCAGCTACATAACAAAACAGGAAGACCTTGGTGGCAAAGTTACTGCTGCAAACGTCACTGCGCAGCTGTTGTACGAGCTCCAGGGTGAGATGTATCTTAATCCTGATGTAGTCGCTGATATACGCACCGTAAATATCACGGCCACAGGCGAGCCGCGGCGGGAAGTTCTCGTCAGCGGAGTGAAGGGATTTCCGCCACCACTTACCACCAAGGTCATGGTTGCAGCTCCGGGAGGGTATCAAGCTGAAACTGTTTATTATCTCAATGGCCTGGACATTTCGGAAAAGGCGGAGATGATGAAGCGACAGCTGACAAGCATTTTTCAGGGTAACCAGTTCAGCAAACTGTCCATGGAGCTTTACGGTGGGCAGGCGCTTGATCCGAAATCGCAGGCAGCGGGTACAGCCATGTTGCGAGTCTTCGCGCAAGCAAAGAGGAAAGAAGATATTGCGGCGAGCAAATTTCGAATACCCATTTACTCCCTTCGTATGCAAAGCTATCCTGGTAAGTCAAAAATGCAGAAGACGCGAGTCTCTCGAGATTAGTAACCTAATCACTTGTAGGCTATCACATGAACTTGGACTTTCGCTCAATGGATCCCAAGCCTTTCATGGAAATCTTCCCCACAACAATACCGATCAGTCAGATCAACCACAGAGTGCGACTGGACGACGAACCGATGATATACGCCCCGTCTCCACCCAGATCTGCCGAATACCCGCAGCTGCGACCGTCATACGAAACCGAAACACCCATAGATCTTCGGTCATTTGGCCTGACATCAAAAGCTCCATTAGGGACCGTTGTGCATGCAAGATCCGGCGACAAAGGCAACAATTCGAATGTTGGTTTCTTTGTTAGGCATGCTGATGAGTACCCGTGGCTACAGAGCTTTCTGACGGTGGAGCGGCTGTGTGCTTTGTTCGAGGATGACTGGAAGGACGGGTGTAGAGTCGAAAGGTGCGAGTTTCCAAACATTCTCGCAGTCCACTTGTAAGTACCCCGGTTTGCATGCTAGAAGTTGCTTCACTGACTAACCGGTACAGCCGAGTACTCGACTTCTTGGATGGTGGCATTGCCAGTAGCTCGCGCATTGACGGGCTCGGCAAAGGTATCGGGGAATACTTGCGCAGCAAGGTTGTAGACGTTCCAACGAGCTTTCTCCAACGGGGTTGCATATAGAATGGGGAGTACATGAACTTGAATGCAGCCTCCGCAACAGTGAAAACAGGCCAACATCAAAGATGTGTACCCATCGTGATGTCATTGAGCTGCGGCCCAATACCACCATAGAAGTCGAAGCTGTCGAACCAAGCCTGAGAGAATCGATACACAGACATATCGACTTGCTGCTGATCATACATTTGTTGCAGATCGAACGCTGAGCCTCTGAACTCATTCTCGATAGCCAATGGCGATAGGCTAGATACCACTCGATCAGTCCCCATAGGCTGGAGATATGATGCGTGGTTCCATTGAGGGTGCTGAACCAAATCGTTTGAGTTTGTTTCTGCCGCCAACTCGGACCTATCCCTGTACTGTTCGTCACGATTTCCCGAATCGTTGGTCGGCAAATGAGTAGCGTTGATGGGGGTTGTGCTGAATTTGATAACGTCGATCAGAATAGCATCGCTCAATCTATTGAAGATGTCGACGCAGCGTTGCAACGACTTCCATCTCTCCGAAACCGCTACGAGGATATTTGAGCACGTACGTGTGTCACTGATCACTTCCATGGTGCTCGGATTTTTGTTCAGCAGCCCGCCTAGTTGTCTACGATTGGCCTGGCAGTGCATCGTTACAGCGTACACATATGACAATCCCGCCATGAATAAAGCTTGTAGTGTAAGCCAGCTGTGGTTCAAGATCCCCATACGATGGAGACTTGCATATGAGGATATGGAAGCCTGAGAGGAGGTAAAGATTGCTTGTACAGCAACTGGGTCTCTTGATGTGTCCAGTTTAGGGGATGGCCGATGAAGCATTAGCACAGCGTTATGATATATCATCTCGAACCAAGTAGGTGATGTAAAGCAAGACGAAGGCGTCATGTCATTCACAGAGCTTGGAGGAACGACTCTTTCAACGTTCAAGCGCCAAGTCTTGAGGTCGGCTGCAAATTGATCTCTGCTGTGGCGGAGTTCATCGTCTGGAAGATTCTTTCGACCTTGATTGTGCAGAGTCTCGATAATGTCACCGCACAGTAGGCGATACTTGATGATCTGAACGAAGATCGAAACGCGGCGGCATGCGACCAGATGTTCGGCCATAGGTGTCTCGACACCAGAAAGCAGGATCTTGTCGCATAGATCCGACGGAAGCGCCGTGTCTATGTCGTCGTCGCGAATGGCGAGAGGCCTACCTAATATGTTGCTTACTATTCTGCTGTGTAATCAGCTGGTATTCCTTCCCGCATATTTTTGCATTGGAGTTTCCAGACGCACCTGTCCATGGCCACGATGCTCCAGAAGCAAAGCCGGGAGACTTCTTGCTGGACATGGTCGGCACTCGGTTCTACGTTTCCTATAGAGTCATCGGAGCGTTTGTACGGATATGCAGTTTCACAGTGAAGGCCGAGCTCGAGAGCAATTCTGCTCCCTACTCCCACCAAATGCCACATGCCTGTATAGTCTTTAGATCATGCTTGCAGCGAAATGACTCCTCTATTCGAGGGAGATATGGCAACATACTGGCTGAGGTGTCTTGCATGGAACTGCTCATGCGGTATTGAATCAACAGGATGATTGCCTGGAGAGCAGCAAGTCCCCCCTTCTCCAAGATTGTCGATCCCCGCTTCATCGCCCGCGTGTAATGACTATGCGCACTTGGCAGCCCTTGCCAGTCAGACCGACAGATACTAGCCGTGGCGATAGCAAGCACTATATCGAAGATGAAAGCTTCGCTTGTGGTCCGCGTGTAGAGAGCTCCGTTTGTGCTGTATGTTTCCGAAAGTATCGACAAGAGTGTGGCAGGGAGAACTACGGGGTAGCGTAAGTGGTCATGGTTGAGATAGGATAATACAAGTCGTCTTGCTATCTGTTCAGATGGTAGGTCGCAAGCAAGCTCTGCAGCCAAAGCCGTTGAGTCTGTAGCTTCGTCATCACCAACTGGCGTTATCGATCGCGTCGAAGTTTCGATGTTCACATTGGCTCTGATGAAGTTCGCTAAAAGAACTCCGCTTGAGGATCCCAGGTAGTTCCTTTCTCCGGACGCATTAATCGACAGGTATGATACTTCTCCGGCGACGTCGGTTGACAGACGGTGTTGCGGACTGCTACTCTCGTTTGTAGGAAGATTATCCTGAACAATGATAGGAGTGTTCTGGCCTGTGCAAGATACTGGGTCAGTCCTATTGTGCTGCACCAGACTTCTGTTCTGGGCTTCTAAGCGCTTGATCCTGCGCTCAAGAGTGTCTACATGGACCTGGCTATAGGTACGGGCTTTCGTCCGATTTGTGTAACGACATTCCGATCCACTTAGGCTGCATCGTCGACATGGGACAGTTTTGTCGCATCGCACCTTTCTCTCGTGACATTGATCGCACCTACGCATTGGCATCAGTGTACTAGTCCGTGGCGAAACACCTTTTGACCAACCGGAAATGGGCTACGAAGACCTACGCTTGCATGGCTAGGATCGTGCCCTTGAGTTCCTAGGACAACGTTTCGAGCCTCGGTGCCCTGATCCGAGGGGTCGGTGTGTAGGCACAAGTGGAGCAAGAAGAGATAGGCTGGACCGGGTGGGCGTCAAGAAGAACGACGGTGTTCGGTATTCGGTGTTCCGCTCCGCTGAAACTCTCGCACGTAACTTGCCGAGATGTTAGTACAACGTATTTGTGGAGTTGAGTCGTTGATGCAGAAGTAAGAGTATGGCTAGGAAGCAGGTGGGCAGTAGCGTGGTTCGGCCTCGGCGCTCCGCGACCGAGGTTGATTGTCGTCAACGCACGCCACCAATGCAATTGGTTACCGAACGATCTGCCGGCATATCTCATTCGAAAAAGCAGACAACCCGGCGCTGTGGATCTTAGAACATGTACTCGTATCGAGCAAGAACGTCATTAGTTATATAGTCAAAACGTACGCATACTGCGTGTACCTAGGTATGATGTACTGTGATAGCCCTCGCTAATCTGCACAGCATCGATTGAAGTACGCGCAATCGGTATATACCTCAGGCCAGGTTCTCATGCCTTGTTGTTCGATTTACCACCACCTCCTGTTTGTATACACTCAGTTACCTCGATGTCATCTGATAGCAAGTATTACATGGTCAAACATGAATATGTGTGAAAAGTCAACACATTCCACAACTTGTAGCTCACCAAAAAATACTACAAAAACTGCTCAACTAATTGGTCTCACGATCGGCCCCACCATGATCGCCAAGATAATCAAGCAACATACCTAGTCTGTCAAAGATGACGCGCCGCTCATCACCTCGGACATGAAACTGTGATACTAGTCTTCCAGGCTAGGTCGGATGATGCGAACATGCCGAAAAAAAACAGCTTGACATTATGGTCGACCATGTAGGAGAGACTGTATGATTTTGATCTCATAAGAGCATTGTGCATGTGCAGTGACCCTGGCACAGCTTGAGCGGTCTGAGGAAATGAGATAATTCGATGCGACCGAAATTTTGTTTCCGTCACCCGTAGCTTTCTTGTTGCTCACACTTGCTTGTCGCCTGTGCTTTCTCGTTACTAAGAGGCAGTGCAAGGAGGGACTAGTAGTTGCGGTTACGCTGGGCATGTGGGACAAGATCTTAGTGTATGCTGAGACAATAAGCGTCATGCCTACAACGTGGAGTAGGTTAAGTATGATGTGCGTAGACATCCGTAGTAGTAAACTACAGACCTGTTGTATATGTTATTGAGACTGATATTGGAGCAGCCTGGATATTTCCTTTGAGAGTGAAAGAGTGTTCCAGGGGTGTGATCTGTGAGCTGCAATTCAGGATACTCTCGTTCCTAGCCGGTATCGGTGATGATATGAACTGCTGGTACATAGTAACCTTGCCAGCGAACAATCGGCTGCTGTGCTTGTGAGTGTGAGAAGACGATTGGAGAAGTGCGCGATTTTTCTTCTTTCTTTTCCCGAACAAGGAAAACATGAGCCTATCGTTCATCTCGGTCAAAACGACCGAGTGAGAGACTGAGATCATGTGCTCAATGGCAATGTGAGAATTTCTCCATCAGCCTGTGTTCGTGCTACTGCCGAATGTTGCGCTGCGCGGGATGGTGCGAGCGTGGCGGTGCGAACGTGGCGGCACGACATGTCTCTGGCTGGAACTGGAGAAGACATCGCTGTTGCATATCTCTCAGATGAGAAAGATGAAGTAACGAGACCCATATAATTTATTACCTGGTTTATGAACATTGAGCGGATGGAAAGTACAAAAGCTGTAGATCTTGGAGCGACTGCGTGTGTGTCGAATTTACTCCGCTTCGGAAGGGGATAACGGAAGCAAAAAGGCCAACTCATGATATCGTGCAACCCGAATGCGAAGAAGCAAGGATATCGTATGACTTAGCCAAGGCCGAGTACTGCGGCCACCATGATCCGTGATTCTTTTTCTCCTGGCCAACGCACCAGCATCGGTTTATAGAGCGCAGTATAAATTGTCGGAACAGCTGTAGTTCAGGAGTTCATCGTGTGTAACGAATTGGCTGTTGAAACGTCTTGCTAAGGTCTGTATCCCACAACAACATGTCAGCAATATCAGGCCGAAGACCCGCAGATCACATACATGACCGCTGAGCGGGGAATTTCTGATACGTCAACCTCCACATCTCGGCTGGGAGGTATCGATTGTTGAATTAGGGTCGGCCATTGGGACGAAGATCGGTCGCGACGAGTGGTATACAGTTATGATATCTTGTGTTGGTGTCCGCGACGCCGGAATGTAGTAGACTTCTTGCTTCAGAACCAGAAGTGCCTTCAATGACGATAGCGTTGGTATCTGTTTGTATCTACCCAGGTCGCTGTAGATCAGTGAAGCTTTATAGTCCAGCAGAGTAAGATAGTTGGGACGGCATAACTTCGAAATTATTGGTAGTCTCAATGGACGCACCGAATCACTCGCCCCAAGCGTGCGCCATTTTCTTCATGTTGCAAGTGTCAACCATGTTGTGGCTGGTATAGATGCTGTAGACCATAGTCTACATGAGCATATTGTTGAAACGCCTCTTGGAAGCACAAAGTATCCCCTTCACGAATGATACTGCTTTTTGAATTGCAGATCTGTGAACCTAATGCGGCTATAACTAGTCAGCCTGTATTCCAGAGTATATCCCATTAGAGAGGTTATGCATGTATGGAGCATACCTACTTTGAGCGACCCAATGGTAGCAGGATATGAACACTGGCATTCAATAGCACTTCATGCGGCAATGGCCTGAAAACGATACGACGTGCATGAACGCAGCTTGTGATGTAGTACAGCGTCCCTTGTAGATTCGAGCGGTTGACATCAGTGTCGATAGTTAAGAGTGTAGCGTATTGACTTGATTTCAGATGTACAAAAGTACGAGGTCACTAACAGTGCGTACAATCTGCCGATCAAGTCCTCGACCGGACAATACGGGTATACTTGTTGCACATGCTGAAGACTCTCGATGGCCATAGCGGTTGTTGAACGCGCGGACCTGATGATCATGTTGGTGATGGAGCACTTTCCACGACCCGAGCTTGTGCGAGCATGTGGGACTATCCAAAGTTAGCTGTGGGTTGCCGTATGTTTGACCGAACCCTGACAGATATGTCAGCACTGAGCTTGTCGATACATGCACATTTCATGACCCTCCCTAAGCCCATGTTCATGTGCATGGGTCACCACACCCACCAGTCCAACAGCAGTAATTTTCTTCAAGCGAGTCGTCCTGTCTAGGAGGTCCAAACACACATTGGCGTTGCACCAAAGCAACAATTGATGACAAAGCTGATCGCAACCTTTGGAAGTAAACAAGGGTCAGTTTTGCGTTCGAGCAATCGGTGAAGGTGCGAACAGAGGAATTGAATGTGGTGGAGGCCGAACAAGGCTAGTGTCAATTCGATGAACACGTGCTCCATTCCTTGCTGTGCATCCCTTTGTGTATACGATCGCTCAAGAAAAAGCCGAGAAAAGAAGACATCTAGACGTGCGAAGGTGACTGCCTATCTAGTCAGCTCGCTCCTACCTGTGGAGCAATGCAAAATCGCCCCAAATCAGCTCGGTGAACTGGCAGCCCCGATGGTACACCTACGAGTGGGGACTGCCTAAAGTAGAAATGACGTTTGCCGTTGCATCGAGGCAAGACAACGGTGTACAACAGTGTGCAGAGATCGTGCATGCTCATGGTATCGACACCAATGCGACCTGATAGGAACCGGCGGCAAATTAGAGGATTCGCCAATTGCAAGTGATACGAGCGCACTTGCCCATGCGAACTTTCGTCCAAGAGGTAACGTGAAAAACGTACAAGGCGTCTCATGCTGTGTCGCCACGATGGTTGCCTTGTTGCCTTGATCCCTATTCCCGTCGCTGGAAGAGCCTGTTTTTACATCTGCCGGTAGTATTACGGGATCTGGGTCTTTACACAGGGGCGTGGGCGACAGACGTCTGCGTAGTCATGTAGCGAAGTCTCGAAGAAGCGCTGGGCACGTCTCATACCCAAGCTAGGCGCGGAATGTCATGCCAGTCTTAGGAGCATCTGCAGACGGTACTACAGCTCTTAGCAGCCCAAGCGCGGGTATCCTTCAGATGACTATGGCGACCGTGTTGACTGTAAGTCTCCTCTGTGCTATGGAGGTATGCCTATAGCAAGACGTGGAGTTATCTCCGAGAGCCTATGGAAAGAGATGGAAAGCAACATGATGATATCCACTTCTGCGACAATTAATGTCATGCTTGGTGAGGCTTTCAGGCCCATACGCCGTTACTCAAGCATCATGTAGCTCCAGCGCTACGTCGTTGTGCCACGTGGAAAGCGAGCCCGTGACAGATTCGATTTTTGAATGCGCTACGATCATGTGAGGGGGAAGCGTGATGAAGCGTCATCGCAAAGGAAAACAGAGGATGACGATGTTGGGTGTTGTCGGGTGACAAGCGAGGCAGGTGAATGATGGCTGCGGAGGTGTGGCTGGTCCCATGGCGCTAGGCAGTGACATCGGTCCCGCAGCCTTCAACCCCACTGCCGTGCGCCCCTCCAACACCTTGAGCAGACACAATACTGAACATCACTACACTCACACAGACGGACTTGCACTCGATAAGCGAATCAAACCCAAGCCCAACATGGCCTACAACTTTGTCAGGTCCTACATCGACACGTTCCGGGAGCGGACCGCCGCTATCAGCCACACATCGACCTTCCGCGAGACGGGTCAGATAACACCAGAGGAGTTTGTCCTTGCGGGGGATTTTCTGGTCTTCAAGTTTCCCTCATGGCAGTGGGCAGATGCAACATCGCCGGCGAAGCGCGTATCGTACCTGCCTGAAGGAAAGCAGTTCTTAGTTACGCGCGGCGTACCCTGCCACCGACGGCTCGATGACAACTTCGCGGGTGAGGCCGGTCAGGACGAGACAATAGTACGGGATGGCTTCACTGCTGGAGAAGGCGCGACCGACGACGACGGCTGGCTAAGGACCGGGGGCATGGCGGCTAGTCAGGAGGCCAAGGTGCGCGATGTTCGGACGGTTGACGAGAGCGGCAACCTAGGCGCAGCAGAGGAGGAGGACGAGATACCCGACATGGAGGATATTGAAGACGACGAAGAAGCCATCATAAGAGATCCACAGGGCGACTCAAACACAAAGGCGTAAGTTTATCCGTCCTCGCTCTGCCAGCCAGCAGGGGACAGGCTGACGTCCACTAGGCCCCTCCGAACGTACACCCTCTACATCACATACTCCGCCCACTACCGAACACCGCGACTATATCTCTCCGGCTACGGCTCCACATCTGTCCCGCTCAAACCCATGGAGATGATGGAGGACATCGTGGGAGACTACAAGGATAAGACTGTCACAATCGAGGACTTCCCATTCTTCGACAACACTCTCAAGACTGCGTCAGTACATCCTTGCAAACATGCATCCGTCATGAAGGTGCTGCTCGACCGCGCCGATGCCGCCCTGAAGCTGCGGCTTGCCAAGCTTAAGGCCGGCAAAGATGTCAGCAAACTTGACAGTGGCATGGAAGCACTTGTGGATGACACACGGTTGCTGAAGCTTACTGAGCAAGCCAAGAACAAGGACGGCGATGAGGCCAAGGATGACTGGGAGGTACTTAGTGAGGGCGGTGACGACGAGGTAGCCATCCGCGTGGATCAGTATCTTGTTGTCTTCTTGAAGTTCATGGCTAGGTAAGCACAACTCGCCCCGACGTAGGGCATATCAGCTAACAATCTCATAGTGTAACGCCAGGTATAGAGCACGATTTCACAATGGGTGTCTGATTGTCGACATATATTTTGGGTACGAGGCGTTGGCGGCATCGTCATTGGGCAATTACTTTACTCAGCGGGCGTAGACATACCTAGGGCGGGTAGGCAGCAGTCTTCGCCATCACTATGATTCATCCAGGAATATACCATCCCCTTGAACTTATTTGGCTGTAGTTATGGCATTAGGTAGAACACGAAACAACATTTATATTGAACTCTATCGTCGTCGGAACCCTCCATATGATCGCTTCCAGTCCCTGATGCCCTCAGGCCGACGCATCTCAAGCTCCTTGCCTTCGTATCCGAAGCTGCTTTCCGCTCGGTGGAACATTGCACATAGCTTGTCAAAGAAGCTGTCTTCCTCTGAAGCCTTGGGAAGAGTTTGCGGTGATTCCAAGGATCCTGGTGCTACGTCGCCAGAGAAGTCTTCAGACTCGTCAACAAAGGCGTCTTCCTCATCGTCTGTTGATGTGGGATCGAAGAGAGCGTGGAATTTGTTGTTCAATCGAACGCGCCATGGGTCGACTTCAGATGATGCAGAGGATGATAGCTTCTCGGCGATCTCAAACTACGACGGTTAGTTACCGCAATCTTTGCAACAGCTGACGTATGGCTTTTTGACGTACCTCCCTTAGTCCTTGCAGCCGGAATTGCTCAGCCCGTTTCTGAAGACGTGGTGCTGATGGTGAAATTGGCATGGCGGAAGCAAGAGCGAACAGTGCCACGATGGCCATAACAATGAAGGAGCGCATTTTTGAAGTGGTAAAGGAACGAAGTCCGGACTGACGTAAAGGTGCTCGGTCGGATCGAAATGTGTAGCTGTCAAAGCTGAATCGGTGTAGTCTAGCTACTAGGTACCAGCGCTCTTCTCGAAAGTAGCGAAAAATGAATGAAGAAAGGAAGGACAAGCACACGCGTAAGTATGTAGCAAGAAGATAAGGCACGTTAATGAGTGGCGACGCAAAGGAATATCCACATCTATATCCGCTGCAGGAACGGCCGGGGTAGTAGCGAACGAAGACCGGTTCGTCTGAAATGCATCATCACCCGCATCTTAGCCATACAAGCTTACTATATATCCGCCAACCGGCAGGTCAGACGTCTTCAGAGGTTACGTCGCCCTGTCAATTATTCCGAAACGGCGGTCCGCGCACCAAAGGGAAACGATCAGCGGCAAGGAGGAGGTGTTCGCGCAATCTTTAGCCCGTGATGTTGGGGCAGAAAGTCAGGGTTTAGACCGCGTACTGAAGACGCCAGTGTAGGTTCAACCAACTTTTGCTTGTTCTCGACACTGTCAAAGGCAGGGGTGGCGACAAACGCGTGGACGACCTGCCCAATATGGTTGGAAGGAAGGTCATGACATGACATCCATGGATCCGTTGAGGGGAGCCAGGCGTGCATCAACGTCTTCAGACCAGAGCCAACCAACGCCAGAACCATTCGGCTGATGTTTCTTCACCCGAGATCTGAACAAGTACGTTTCTATCGCTGCCCCTCCGGTTGGGCACAATGTTTCAACTTGCATGATTCCTGGTACGCCATCGTCATGCCAAAGTGTGCGGATGTGAGTTCTGTTACAGAATACGCCGGGCGGTTGAGCTGAAGGATTCCGGAGATTTAGCCTGGAAGACGTTGGACTGGACTTGGTTGAAACAGATGTCACAGGTGGATTGCGCGTCAACGCGGGCGCTAATGTTAGCGCAGCACTAAAACGTGCACGGACTTGGAAGAACAATCGGGGTCAAACAAAGCAAACACTCCCAGCCTCTCCATCACGCCGACGTCATCAGCGTTGCGCGACATTGGGAATAACTTCATACTCACCTGGATAATACACATTTGAACATCACATGTTACCGCATACATATCTGGACCTCTTAACGATGATCAACTGGACATCCAAACAAGACAGTCGAAGACACAGGACTGGCTTCTTGGACACGTCTTGACCACCCTTGCTTGGAGCTATCGGCGCAGCATCAAATTACCCGATATGGACGATGAGGATCAATCACACCAGATAATACTCCCAGGATCACAGTCACCAGCATCCACAATATCCGCACAGGCCCTAGATCTCAGCAGACTCCCACCAATCGCTATATTTACTGCGCATTTGAAGGACGATGAAGTGAGAAAACTCAAAGAAACGTTGCGCCAGTACGACGCACCGCTTATCACCGATATCTCAAGGGCGAAAGTCTTCATCGGGAAGGTGGGTACCAAGAAAAGAGCTGAGTTCGAATTAAGGTCTCGAAAGCTGGTAGTCGAGGAACTCGTCACACCCAAACGGCCAGCAAGTCTCGTGAAGGCACAAAATCACGACAGCAAGAGACGAAGAGTTGGTGAAACATCAGGTCGGCTACCAGCGGACGAGCAAGACTCTACTACCGATGACGAGGCTGGTCACAACTCCGAAACTGAGGATGAAGCACCAAATACAAACAAGCAGCACATACCGTTACCATCACCTTCGAAGTCCGACAATGGTTCACATCCTGCACCAATGTTCGAGACTTCGTCAAGTGAAGACGTCATTTGGGTTGTCAAGTTTGACTGGGTTGAAGCTTGCGTAACTGCAGGTCATCTACTTCCACTACAGGACAATCTAGTATACAAAGGCAAAGTTCTTGAAAGGCCTAAGTCGTTGACCACGAAATCCATCAGAGATATATTTGTGGCGCATACCAAAGCAACGCCAGTGTCCCAGACGCTCTTGGCAACACGACCACATCCCGTGCAGGACATCTTGGCCCGCGCAAAATTGGATGCGCCTACGGCCTCGAAGAAAAGTACTTATCAACCTAAGGAACTCAGAAAGCATGGCTCTAAACGTTTCGATGGTAAGACTTTTACCCGTTCTTCCCAACCTGTTGGTCACTCCCATGCTTCACAAGCTGCACATCTTTTGCAGCAAACGACAAGCGAGTATGAAGGCGAGGACAGTGATATGCCTCCACCACCGGAGTGGGTGAAGAAGGGCATCAAGTACGCCTGTCAGCGCTTTACACCTGGCAACGGACCCAATGAAGATTTCCTTGACCAACTCAAGAAGATTAGAACTGCTCGAACCCTAATCGATGACGACATTGGTGTTCGTGCTTACTCGACCATCGTTGCATCCATCGCCACATATCCCTATAGACTTAGTCACCCACGAGAGATTGCACAACTACCTGGTTGTGATGAGAAGACTGCTGTCCTCTTTGTAGAGTGGAAGAACACGGGTAAGATTCAGGCCGTAGAAGATTTTGAGACCGACAAATCAATGAAGGTTCTTCGTTCCTTCTACAATATTTGGGGTGTTGGAGCGAAGACCGCACGGCATTTCTACCACAACAACCATTGGACTGAGCTGGATGATATTATCGAGTACGGCTGGAACGATCTGGACAGAGTGCAGCAGATTGGCGTCAAGTATTACGACGAGTTCTTGGTGCCGATTCCACGCTCCGAGGTTGAGCAGATCGCCGCAGTTGTTCGTGAGCACGCAGTAAAGCTTCGCGACGAACGAATTACTGTGACGATTGTAGGCGGATACAGACGTGGCAAGACAGAGTCTGGCGATGTGGATATGATCGTGTCGCACCCAGATTTGGATAGTACAGCAGGATTGGTTCAAGAGATCGTCGAATCATTGGAAGAAGCTGAGTGGATTACTCATACCCTCACACTGAGCCTGAAAAACACCAATCGGGGTCAACATGCGCTGCCTTTTCGATCAGCGAGGGGAGCGGGTGTTGGCTTTGATACGCTTGATAAAGCACTTGTTGTATGGCAAGACCCATCGTGGCCTACCCGTGACCAGGATATTCTAGAGAACCCTAAAGCAAAGAATCCCACTATTCATCGCCGAGTTGACATTATCGTCGCTCCTTGGCGAACCGTAGGTTGCGCAGTCATGGGATGGAGTGGCGGTACAACATTCCAGCGTGATCTCAGGCGATATGCGAAAGCAGCCAAAGGCTGGAAGTTTGATAGTAGCGGTATTCGGAGTCGAAGTACCGGTGAAGCTATAATGCTGGAAGGGCCCAATGGAGTCCATGGAACACCAGAAGATGCAGAAAAAAAGGTCTTTGAAGGGTTGGGCCTGGAATACATACCACCCGAGTATAGAGTAACATATTGACATCACACGGTACAGCATCGTGAAGGCTGTCTTTCTGCTTCACTAGTTTGCACTAGTGGAAGATTTAGTAAATTCGTCACGAGTCTTCACACGTGTGTACCACGTTCTGAGATGTCTCTACGAAATACACAATCGCCAATATGTTTAGGACTCTAACATCAGCATTCGAGCACAACCAACTAGTACAATGGAGGCCACAAAAACCGTGGACGAAACAAAACTTCCTTATGCCGTCGAGCGCGGCCGACTTACCAAGGGATTCGTCATGACTGTACAGATAATTATCAGCCTCGTCATGTTCATCGTTGTACTCCCATTCTTTGTACTATGGCGCGTTCCAATAAGCTTTCTCTATCTGATCAAGAAAGAGAAGGAGGAGCCAAAGAAGTCAGACCAAGAAAAAGAAAAAGAGAGGGAAGATGGGCAAGAGAAAGATCACGACGAAGAGGAAGAACCAGAACTTCCGCCCCCAAAAGATGCTCACGAGCGCGCCATAAGTCACTTCAACAAAACCTGGAAAAAGTTCAGAGACCTTTCCATAAACAAACCTGTCGTAACTTACTGGTCCCGCATAGCTGCCGCCATCCTCCTCGTAGTAGAAGCCAGTCTCTCCCTTGCGCTTCTCGAAAAGTCACTCGTCTATCATATCCCCTGGTTCATTGTACACATCTCCAACAAGGAATACAAGACTACTAAGAACAAAGAATGGTGGAATGACTTTTTGTTGCACGTAGCCGGCCTGACTATCACGTGTGCACCTCTCGCTGGATTGATAGGAGTGGGAGTAGGAATCATGTATTACATGGTCAAGATAACCAAGTATGGGAAGTTCAAGAAAGGAGCTCGGAAGAAGAAGGGCGGCAGAGGGTATGATAATCCGAAGGAAAAGTGCAAGGATGCGAACGAAGAGGGACATAAGGTCAAAGAAGCGATTATGGGGGTTGTGGATCATGTCATACATCCGCATCTACCGCACCCGCATCTACCTCATCCGCACCTGCATTTACATCCGCACGCCGGACATGAAGCCGGAAGAATACAGCCAGAAGATTCACCGTATGGTTATCCGGGATACAGTGAGGATATCGTATTCGAACAACCGGGAGACGGATCGTATGAGAACCACGATTTCGTTCAGCCGCCACCGGTCGTCATTCAACCTCCAGAAAAGACAGCCTGGTATGACAAGAATCCGTATACATTGGCTGGTATTGCATCGATCTGGACTGGCAAAGAGGAGAAGACGAAGGCAGGATACGATGGAAGATATGTGAGGAGGCGGAACTTCGAAGAAGACATCGAGATGGCGAATAGGGCAGGGAACAAGTGAGGGACAGCAATCAATTATGGTATCTCTGGAAATATAGTTTTTGCTGCAATACTCATAACGCCTTGCTAGCAAAGACGAAGGAAATAGCTAAACTGATAGTACATGTAGAAACAAAAAACCACTCCTACAGCACCTGGTATCATCACACAACTCTCAACCCCGCACCTCCTCTTACGCCCACACAAATTGTTTAGCAACCCACTCAAGTACTCTTCTTTCCCTCCAGATGCCACTTCATAACCTTCTCAAAGATTCCCTTACCATCTCCCTCCATGACATCTCCGTGACAAGGAATGATCCTGTTGAATCCCCACTTGTTGATCCTCTCCATACTAGCAGCAAAACCCGTCCTGTCCTTTGCACTAGTTCCATACCAGATGGTGCGCTGCTGCCACTTCGCGTCGCCCTTCGTGCCCTGCAAGGCCGTGAAGATCTTTGTCAGAATTCCACTATTCGCATCAATACCCGTTTTACTAAACTGCTCCGTAGCAGGCAGGTTGAACATGAGGTCTGCCTGAATGAGAGTACGGGTAGGACGGTGGTGGAAAACGAGCTCCTTGTTGATATGCGAGGGGACGTACTCCCAGTCGAACTCGGCATCGAACTCGGGTGATATGGACTCGACGCGCTTATTCTCGCCAAAGAGGATGGAGAAGGGGACCTTTTCGTCGTTTTGCTTTTCACGCTTTTCGGGGAGGACGTCGGGGCCCATGACTTGCGCGTTAGGGTATTCCTTGTGCCAGGGACCAAGGAAGATGTGGTGCTGTTGACTTTGTTAGGGAAAGTTCTAGGTGCTTTGAAGGGCTTGAAGAGCTTACCTCTGCATCCAGGGCTGCAATGTACTTCACTTCGCCCAACTCGGATACCTTCTGCTTGACATCGTCGGTCAGCGCGACAGGAGAGAAGACCGCAAGAGCACCGGATTCGAGGCGCACTATTCGCGTATATTAGTAGGTGCTTGTGAGATGTCGACCGGGTACGGCATACCGATTGTTCCTCTTCCGCCAATCTTTATGCGACCGAATCTCCAAAAGGGAACTGATAGAGTGGTGATAACGCGTGGAACGACATCGCGTATCACCATAACGGCGGCCGGGTCGGACGGTACTAGTTTCGACGACATGTTGAGTTATGTGAGTGGTGGAATGCGCAACTGGAGAAAAGCAGTGTAAAAAAACAAGTGTTGTTGTGAGGATGCGCCGGATGCTTGGTATCTAAGATAGAAGACGTAATGCAGTCAGACCCTGAATGACGCAATGTTCAAGATCTGGAGTGAAACGACTCTAGGAATGCGACTCAATAGAATAGTGATTGTGTTAGATGGTAACCTATATATCATTACGAACGTCTCATTCGGATGAAGGATACGATTTTGTCCGCTCGAAAGGAGGGGGTTATGGCATGTGGGGAGATGTCATTCGAGTAAGGTGCTAGCTGTCGCGTGAAGCTGCAGGGAAGCGTGGGCCGAGGCGCCGCGATTCGACAGTAATTAGACGCGGTCGCGCTTCCAAAGGTTTGTCAGCTACGTCACCGCGTCACAAATTCAAAAGATCTAGACTTGATGTTCAAACATATCGCAATGTGCTGATGCAGTCGGATATCGCAAGAAATTCACAATATTATGATGAACTCGGGATTGCGAATTTGATCTGATTTTGAGTTTTGAGTTCGCAAACGTACATGTAGTATGGTCTAATCTGAACTGTCGTTGACATTCGCATGCTACTTCTAGAATTTGCATGTCGCGCTCTGGTCTTCGGCTTTCCCGGTAGCCGTTCCAGGGGCCAACTAATCACCGACCCACATCATCAGCGGGCCCACGGTGCATCCTTTTCTGGAAACTTTCCTGATGTATATAGAGGCTCGGCGGACGAAGTTGGGCCGCGCCACAGTATTTGGAAGCGTCGCAGACTGGCCATCTGGCCAGACTTGTAGTCTCTCGTAAGGTTGTTCTGCTTCGTGCGATGTCTCACCTGGCATTTTCAGCGCTGAGCTCTGCCATCAACCCTCCGGCATCCCTTGCTTTGGCATCCTCTTCCAATCTCTTCTGAATAAAGGCACCCATCTCTTTGACCTTTTGCATTGCAACATTTGTGCAGTTCAGCAAAGCCAGTGGGTTGATCGTGGCTCCTCCATACTTCGCAATCTGACATATCTCGCCATGTTTGTTCATGGTAATGATGACCTCTCCCTGTCTGACTTGCTCTTCGGCCAAGTTTGCATCTACCAGGAATATTTCACCTTCGAAGTATGAGAAGGTCACGCAGAGCGGCTGATGGAGTATGGACAAGGGTATCGGTTCGCGTTCGCGTACGCTGAGGATGGTAGCTTGGTCGCCTTCTACCTGGACATCGGGTCGTCGGAAGTGTTGTAGTGCGGCCATGACGGCTATGCAAGATGCATCGATGAGTCCGCCATCATGGTCAATGATGTGTACATCTGCGCGGAGAGCGAAGCACTTCAAGCCAGCAATGATACATAGCGATTCGGTGTCGAGAGCGTTGGAGCGACGGATGGCTTTTTCAAGTATGCGCGAAAGGATGACTTCAGCATCTGTGGGACTAGCAACTCAGTCAGATACAGCGAAACATTGGTGGACTTTGGAATATGTGTACCGGCCAACTTCGAAGGCTGGAGAAGCCATTGGAGAGAACTCTGTGACTATTTGGAAGATGCCGTCAAACTTGCGCTCTGGTAGTGGTGTCGTCACATCTACCGAAATGCGCGCAATGACCCTGAAGAAGGTTAACTTGCGCACTCAGATTCACAGGGTATGTTGTACCTCGTCTTGCCCAGTTGAACATCTGCGACGCCATACTCGTCGCCAAAGGTGAGCTCAAGCGGACGGAAGGCGTCGAATGCGCGTCGGTCGATACGAATCTGCTCCTGCAGCGCTTGCTTGATGAATTCGCGCTCATTGAGCGATATCTCAGCTTCTCTGGGCATCTTGACCTTATACGACAGGTACGTGAGGTTGTCGTTGGTGAAATCATAGCTGTTCAATAGCCATAGAAAATGATGCGCGGGGACCGGCGCCGATCCTTAGCGTGATTTACGACTTCGAGCTTCTATGCGCCATTTCTTTCACGCATCAACAACTCACCACCCCAACTACGCGCAAGACTTCCGAAACCCGTGCCAACTCAAAATCCGACCAATCCATAATAAACCAACACAATGACGACGGCCCACAGACCTACGTTCGATCCCGCACGCGGTAAAGAAGCCCAGCGAGGGCCCGCCTATCATCAGCGACTCCTACCAGCGCATACGACACTCAAACACAGACAACCAGGCCAAGGCGGCGATGCCGATGCTCAACGCGACCTTCGCGCCGAACTTCTCGAGGCTGAGGCGCGTCACATCGCGAAGAAGAACGGCACCTACGTTGAACCCGAGGCAGCAGCCGAGCCGAATGCGCACAAACGTCAGATTGATGCTGTACCAGCAGCCGAGGAAGGCGAGGAAGATGAAGCAGCTCAAAAGCGGCGGCGCATAGAGGTGTTGGAAAAGTTCAGGGACGTAGATGCAGACGACAGCAGCACCGAGGACGAAAGTAGCGATGAAGAGTAAGTGTCGAATCTGTCCTGGCTTTCAACCCCTTGCTAACAACGTTCCAGGGACGAAGACGAAGAGGACGAAACCGCGGCCCTTATGCGCGAACTTGAGAAGATCAAGAAAGAGCGCGCTGCAGCCAAAGCCAAGGAGGAGGCAGAACGCGCCGCAGAAGAGGAAGAACAACGCGAAATCGACGTCGCCCGAGGCAATCCTCTGCTCAATGCGAAAGACTTCACCATGAAGCGCCGATGGGACGACGATGTGGTCTTCAAGAACCAAGCACGAGGCACCGAAGACAGGAACAAGAAGAAGGAATTCATCAACGACATGTTGCGATCCGACTTCCATAAGAAGTTCATGGTATGTACCCCTTGAATGTGCCACGCATAACACTCACTAACACTACGCGACAGTCCAAATACATCCGATGAGGTCATCGCCTTTCGCAGTATTACTTATCCGACTTTCGAATATCATGCATTGCATTTGCGGGCGTTAGGGTCCTTGGCGCACAGGCTCTGGAACTTTTTAAGCAATCTACAAAGGAGTGTGGGATACCCCAGATCTTGGCGGGTATAAAGTAACCAGTGACGAGACGGAACCTAGCGGGATTCTTATCGCTATCTTGGATCAGCGGCGACGACCACCATTTCTGGATGTCAGCTTTATCTCTCGCCTCAGACCATCGTTACTAGGAATCGATCGAATGAATGGCATCTATCGAGGTCCAAATCTTGTTTCAAAATATGTCAGAGAGAGGCCTCGCCGTGCAGCAGAGGCAGACTGCTGTGTTTTGCGCGAAGAATAGTAGCAGGCGCTCCTTGAGCGGCTGTGGAAGCGTAACTCCGTACAGAACCGATAGCTGAACCTTGGGCCTAGTACGAGCCACTATCTCCTCCGGTCCACATAAGCGGAATTTAGCGTGCCTACAGGGAACACCAAGCACACCTTGGCCGGGTCTTCCACCCTCTTATAGAGCTTCTGCTGCAGATGATCTACGCCTCCCCAGCAAAGTGACCTCATAAGGCTTTTCCGCCTTTGCCAGATGCTTGTTCATGCTGGGGGCCAGCACACGGCAGATAGTAGAGAAGGAGGCGCAGATATTATATAGTCAATCAGAGATCTCTGTGAAACTGCCCAAACAGAAATACCATTCCAATTAATTCTACGTCTTCTCCACATACTCCTATTCTGTTCCCTATTCTCTAGAGATACACGCATTTACTCACAGTTCACCGCACGGACAACAACGACGACAACAATGGCAGGCTACGGGAACCGCACAGCACCAGACTACGCCGCAGAAGACCTCCAAGACCAACACACCAACACCCGTCTCGGCCTTATAGATTCAAATACTGCCTACCATGAGCCCCATGAAAAACACGGTTCAGGCATAACAGGTGGTGCTGGTTTCGGTACGTACCTGATATTTCTCCTCATCTGCGTCCAAGAAAAAACAGCCATACCTATATATCTCTTTCAAGAGCCAGACGACTAACGATGCCTACCACCAACAACAGGAAACAAACGCTCCTCATCTACCCCTTCAACCGACAATTCTGAATTCCGCTTCGGCTCCCACTCAGATACGGCACCGTATTCAAACGCCACGCCCATGGGAAGCGGCTCCACGGGTGGTGCAGGGTATGGGAATAAAACCGGTGAGATGAGCGGGCCAGGTCATGATTCCATGATGGGAAAGGTGGTGGAAAAAGTCGGTGGTATGTTATTCCCTTTTTCTTGTTTCATCGTGGCGATACCGTGAGTGGTGGTGATGAGGACAACGGTTCCAAGGCATAGATGAGTTGCATCAAAACTGACTCGATGACAGGAATTATGAAGAACGAGAAACTATCGGAGAAGGGAAGGGTGATGCGAGAGAAGGAGGGGTTTGGCAGTGTGCCGGAATAGGGCGGTATATTGTTTCCTACAACGGAGTATTTGAAGCTTTATTTATAAACGATCCTTTCTTCAGAGAAAGAGCGGGTGCGCTTTAATTCTAGTCCTAGCGGAGACAGCAGTGTCCATCATTTGGAACACCGCAGAGGATATTGTCCAAGTCACATAAATCAAGAACCTGTTCGCAGGTTTAGGACAACAGGCAATGTGAAATTGAAGTATTGTGCTGTAGCTTCGACTGTCCATATGTCCTAGCCACACAGTGTTTCTACTTGCCCAAGAGCGCGCGTACACAGCATGGACTCCTCACTTCCTTCCTCACTCTCTCCCTACACACAAGGTACTCCAAGAAATGCAAAACAGAAAAGAAAAGAAGAAAATTCTCGCATGCCTCGCAACGATGTCCACTGATGCAAAGCAGTAGCAGCCGCAAACAAACTTAATATATGCCTTGTGTGCGGTACTGGAAAGTATCGTAACTATCATCATGTCAGTAAAACCGCCGTTGTCATCCAAAGAACGAGACAAGGGAAACAAAAAAAGGGCAAAACTCACAGTCGGGTATAATAACTTCCCACACTCTTCGCAACCAGCTCCTCGACGAACCCCTCAGCCTCCTCCCTACTCAAATGCAGCATCAACCTCGCCCTTAGACTGTTCGTCACAGTCTGCGCACCCGCCTTGAAACAATCCATACTACTATTCTTACTCATGAGATCAACTAGCATGATCAGCCTCTCTGCATCCTTTCTCAGCGCCTGGAACGCCTTTTTACACAACGTCTTGAATTCTTCGAACGCAGAGCCTGTCACACCGCCTAGCACGTCAACGTAGTCTTGCGTTAGCTTGAAAGGCGCGGCTTCAAAACCCATGCTGCCGGGACTGTTGGACAACATGAAGCCAAAGTCGATATGGATGATGTGGCCCATGTTGTCGATGAGGAGGTTACCGTTGTGGCGATCTTTGAGCTGCAGCACGTAGCAAATCATGCTGTAGGCAGCGAGGGAGCGGGCAAAGCAACCTACACCCGCAATGTAAGCTTCCGAGTCTGGTTCGCCAAAGGTCTTGAGCCAGTGATCTTTTAGGGTCGCGATGCGTTTGCGGGGGTTGGTGCCTGCTGCTATGCTGGCTAGTGTTAAGCTTCGCTTCAACGAGTGGAGAGACACGCCGTTTGTAATGGTTTCGATGAGTCCGCAGGATTCGCCTGTGACGAGGATGCGCATGCGTTTTGTCCAGACGGGTACATTTGCTTCTTCCCAAATCTTGGTGCAAACGTCGATGAGCTGGCAGGCAAAGGCTTCTTGACGTAAGTCGGCACCTGTCTTGACAATGACACTGATGAGGTCCCAGTTCTTCATATGGCCGTATGGTGAGGACCGTCGTATCCGTTCTCGCTTTGCACTCCATTCTTCACCGAAAGTCGCGGCACTGGGATCGTCGCGGTCACCCTTCCGCCGCATACCACCCGTCTTGAGATCATTCTCCATACGAGCTGCACCTGCACCCGAATTGGTCGCGACCGGTAGACCATCTTCAAGCTCTTCTGGTTCGCCTGTGATCGCTGTTGGATCTGATTCCGCCATGATTGTGTCGAATGTTGGTCCCTGATCCTCGTTCAAGAAGTTTTGCTCTTCCAATGTCTGCATACTAGCAATAATCTTGGCTTTGATGGCTGCCACCTCGCCCTTTGGCCGTTTTGCGCCGCTTGCTTCAAGTTGTGCGAGCATTTGAGCAGCAGTGCGCATGTGGGTTGCGAGGGCCGAGAAGTCTGGTTGGTCGACGGCCTGGTTCCGTGAATTGAGGTTTGCTGGAATTGTCATACGCCTGATAGGACCAGGGCTGTTCGATCTGCTGATTTGCGAGTCGGACGTTCGTGGCGTAGAAAGGGTAGCCACTGAAGATAGAGTGTTCGCTCCGCTTGAAGACCTTGGGGCCGTGGCTTTCCCATTGGCGGTTGCACCAGGTAATGTCACGCGCGCCATTCCAGACGCAATGTCGTTCTCATCCATGTCCTTGATGAGTGAGGTACTACCCAGGTCTCCAGTAGCAGGCTCGAACACACTGTCGGATCCGTTGGGTGGTGTGCGATCGAATGCAAGATACTCGGCATTGGTGATGTCGAAAAGACGTCTTCTCGAGGTGCCTTTCTCTAGCATCAACTTTTCGAGCAACTGCTGGTTCTGTTCAGTGTCTGGGTCGAAATCAAAATCCTCCTCCAGAACCTCAACCATGAGCAGGTAAGGTACTCGCTCTGCACTGTTGAGACTAGTTGATTCCGCAGGGTTTATGCGCACTATACGGTGATGCTGGCTTTGCGATGGGATCCCGTCCTTGAGAGTCGGAGGCGATAATAGAGGTATGTCTACTTCGGCTGGCAAGTCCTGATCTATCAAGGCTAGCTCAGCTCTCAGCGCGCTCAACCGTGCGGGTTTTGGAACAACAACCAAGCGATTTGAGATGTCCTCGAGAGCGCTCAGGAACTGAGTTTCGTTGCGGAAGTAGTTGGATCGTAGAAGTCGAATTTTCTGGGTACGGGTCAATGCAGTAGGTGTAAGAGGCCTTGGTGGTAGTCCCGACTTGCGTAAGCCATGTTGAAGTGGGCCTGGTCCTAAACCGGCAGTCGCTGGGGGAGTAGGGAGGGGGGACGATTTGCCGTCTCGGAAGTCGGGTAACGATGACGAGCTGAGCCGGGCTTCTGATGCTATTGACAACAATGAAGGGCGGTGTTGCATCGAAGGGGCCCGTTGAGCAGCTGGTGGCCGCGCTGCCGCCTTCCTTAGCTCTTTCGGGTCGCGGGGTCGCGAAGATGAAGCCTTGATCGAGCGCCCATCTTCGGGGTCTGAGTGCTGGGCTGCTACCCTCTTCTCCTTGCTTCTTGACGATCCTCCAGTGACAGTCTTGCTCCTTCCGACCTTGGCTGTCTGCACGTTATCCGAGATGATGTCCTCGACGGGTCTGGGTTTCCGCGCCTGCGCAATTGCCAGAGGGCCGGCGTGAGCTGGGAGAAAGGGCGCGGCTATGCTCGCAAGGACCAGACTAGAGAGCACTGTGACGGGAAGTACGTTCTCCTTGATCTTCTCTCGGCGCTGCGGCTCGGCGGATCCGAAGACGATGCGCTGGACCCTGTTGTATATTCGGCGACATGTCTTGAAGGCGATGGAGTTGGGGGCGCTTGCGAGATCGTGGAGATAGGTCTGGAACAGCCAGAATGTCTAGAGGGCAGAGATTAGCACCCGCAGCGGCTAACAAGACACGGTATCCGCAAGCCCACCAGAAGCGCGCCGTTGACCGACTCCTCGCACAAGTCTATTATGAATTCCTCCAGAGCCATGGACTCATTGTCGATGCTGATGAGCAGGTGACATAGCCTGTGCCCCGCGTATGTAAGCTAGCTGTTCATGTCGTCGTAGTAGTGGAGTGGGCTCGCGGCGACGTACTGCGGGAGGAAGAACTCGAGCTCCTCGTAGGCGAACTGGCGCAGCTTCGAACAGAGCACATAGTGGATTCCGACGTGATCTGCATACCGGCTGTTGAGATATTAGATGTCAGTCTTGGCTCCCAATGCGGTGGTCTCGGTGAAGGGACAGGGAGAGGGAGGGCGCCGCGGCGGTGCTGCGGGCAACGGTGGCTTCGGGGAGCGGCAGCGACTCACGCAAGGTATGCTACTGCGAGGCTCGGATCTTGGTTGAAGTGCTCAGATTCTATAAAGCGCTCTAGCAGATTCCAACTCATCTGGGACGGCTCATTGGGGCTCAGTACGGGTGGAGGGCGACAGCATGCGGTGAAATGCTCAAAAGGGTCGCATAGGGAAAGATGGGGCGCGACAGGGTTCAGCGGGCGGAGATGACCAGCTCCGCCTTGCTTGGGAAGATAGCTTAACAATGCGATCGTCCGCCTTTAGTCTTATATTACTTTCTCGCCACTAACCCGTCCTCTTGACGTTCCCATTCGCAATTTCGCCTCCGTGACATCCGCCCTTCGTTATGTGAGGAACAATACCAGAAACGGAAAAGGAAACACAGATACCCGCAACCCAACGCCGTGCAATTGGCCTTTGCAAGAGGCCCAGACCTGTTCGCGCGCACTGAGCAAAATATCGTACACCAGCAAATATATACAGCGGGCACGTCGGATTAGTCCGCTGCGTGCAAGTCGACAAAAATGTTAATAGCAGCCACCAGCACCTCAGCAAAAATAAGAATAATGACGATCCACTCAAGCAATTCGCCCTGCATCCAGTTAGCAAAACACTTGTACATGAAACACGGCATTACTTACGTGCGTCACAGTCAGTTGGTCCTTGAGAACAGCAAGCAAGTCTCCAATGACGTTCAGTCTTTCGGTCAAAAGACTGACTCTCTGATCCATCTCCAGATAGCTTCTGACAGCTTGGTACACAGGGTCTAGCTGTGGCTCAGCCCACATAAGCTCTGGCGCGTCCAGAACCGATCCTTGTAGATGTATACTAATACGGAGGATGAACAGCTCTCCTATCTGCATGTTGATTTGCTTTTTGTTCAGGTTGATCTTGCCAGAGCTGGCGATCTCGGCCGGGATGTCTTTTGTCTCATCGATAGTGTTGTCTACTAGATCCTCAAAAAGCGATGTCTTGACACTCTGAGAAAGGCCGTGGCTGATGGCCAACTTGATCATGTAGTTCTTCTTGTCGCGTAGACTAATGAAGTCGTTGTATATCCGGGCCTGATACTCGCGCGTGTAGTAGAAATTGAATTCTTCCGTCTCAATCTCGTCTTTGCCGAGCTTGTCGACTTCGAACTTGGCTATTTCCTTCAAGAACTTCTTCTCTTCTTGCAATGTCATACCCCAGATGACAACAGTGCCATACTCGAACAAGAACACTTCCGGAGTATGCACGCGTGTATCGAAATCTGGCGCGTCCATTTGCGGATCCGAGTCGGCGTGGGTGATCGACGGCCGTCTAGGGCCAATGGCTTGCTCATTCACAATTTCTGGCGCATCGCCATCCTCGTGCAAGTCGATGAGATCCTGCCTCCTTCTCTCATTCTCGTGCTCCACCTCAATGGCGCTGTCCGAGAACCTTCTCGGCCTCTCTTCCGTAAAGCCGTCGAGTACAGCAGTGCTGCTGACGTCTTCTGGGCCTTTTGTAGATCCATAGTTGTACGGCGAGTATATGCATTCATCGAAGCGCTTCGGCGCGGCTCCTCTGATCTTTTGCTTGCCTTTCAGAAATCGCATCATTTCATCGAGCTTGTACGACGCGGCCGTGCAATATGCCGTCACTCTTGGTAGTCGCTCCCTGTCTGCCTTTCCTAGTCTGGCTGCATCTCTTCGCGCTGTAGGGTCCTTTATCCTGGTGTATTGCACATAGACATCGCGTCCGCTCTCTTCGTCTTCGGCTTCATCCGCGGCCGGGTCGGGAAGGAGCTTGAGTTTCTGGGCTGTCCTCGTCGTTCTCTGGGGACCGATCTTGGGCACCGGCGCGGGGGGTATTCTGGCAGGCGCACCAGAGCTGTTCCTTCTCCGCAGCTTACTGTTCAATGTCGAAAGCATGGGCTGTCCACCCTGGGTAGTGGCACCATGGCCGGAAGCGGAGGCGCTGTGCGAGATTGACCGCGACGGTGGTTTCGGACTAGTCGATGTGACGGTTGGGTTGAATGTGACGGTTCGCTGAGGCTTGGGAGGTATCGCTCGACTTGAGCTCGACATTGACGAGACCAAGGGAGTCGTTTCGGTAGAGCTTGACGCCATGGTGATCAATTCCAGCCAAGGTGCGAATCAACAGCGAAGGTGAAAGTGTCACTAGAGAGAGAAGATGTCACAGTCGCAGATGCCCCGGAGTTCTGACGGCGCCATACGTCGGCGTTAGTGGATGCGGTTGGTGACAAGCGCGTAAGCTGTTTGTGTCGACGAGACTTCGAGCAATGACGTTGTAAGGATCTATGCTGAACTAACGGTCGCAGCACGGGCCTCCCACGTGCAAGAGAACGCTACCTGCATGGCGGCCGTTAAAAACCAACTTCCAGGAACCTGGATGTTGTGTGACTTCCAAGGTTCTTTTTAACGCCTTTGCGCTTGTGTGAGTTCGTACGAAGTTCGACCGCGCGCTTGCATTTTCAAGATCTGCATCGGACGCACTACGTACAAAAGCGGTTATGATTCGTCGAGCGTCTCTTGATACTGTACGCAATACGCGTAGGCAAGCTAGGGGGATATATTAAGTCAACTATCAATTATAACTCCATGACCTCAGTCTCGTTTGCTTCTCCATTGTCCTCCATCTTAGGTTTTACAATTTGAGCTGGCTGCTCCTGGGTGATGATACCAACCTCTCCCAGCATAAAGCGGCCAAAGTACAACAACGCGTCTAGCATCTCCTCTCCGGTGGGTATAATGTTTTCTTTAGGAAGCAAAAAACCGTAGCTGCCGGTGTCTCTCAACTTAATCTGGTAAGAGTATCTGACCTTGAGCTCGTGGTAGAAAAAGTCCAGTGCACTGCCGCCACTAGACTCGATACGTGGAAGGATGGTCTTCTTCTGGTTGGCGAAGGCAACATTGCCCTCGCATGCAGAGTTGACCTTGTACGTTTGCCCTTTGCGGGACACGCGGATAGCTTTCGCCAGGCCAAGAGCGAGCTCTTCAAGGTCCTCAATCGCTGGGGGTTCCTCATTGCAAGAGTAACTATATGGGTACAGGATCTGTTGAGAGTATGAGTGCAGGTCTAGGAAACCAACAATTTCAACATTGTTGTTGTCAGTCTCGTTCCTCGCCCATTCCGCGAAGCGCGCTGATTCTGCGCCTTCAAACGGAGCGCTACCAGGATATGATTCGCTGCAGGGGTTCGATTGCAGAGAAGCGCCGTCCCATTTGAAAGGGTAGCTGCGGTCGAGGTCAATGCCATGGCAGAAACGAAGACTGGTGGGCTGGCGGTTCTTGCGCCATAGACGGTCGGTCTCCCAACTGTAGACGTATCCGTCTGGGTTTAGGGTTGGGACGAAGACGAAATCAAAGTCCTCCATGAGACGAGTCATTTCACGGTCCTTGCCGTAAGCGTTGATGAAGCTCCAGGCTAGGTAGTTTACGGTGCTTGTGGATATCCACTCACGCGCGTGGATGCCGCCGGTAATGAGGATCGTCTTCCGCGGCTTGGATGGCTCCTCGTTGTTTGTGGGGTGCACGCCAACACGCAGGGCAGGTATGTCACGGCCTTCGTAGCTGATTCCAATGTTGATTCGGCGGACGTGTGTGGTGAACATGGAAGCCATCAGGCTCATCCATGGGTTTATGACGGAGAGTGGCTGGTAGTCTTGGAAGAAGATGTTGCCCTTGCCTGATCGCGAGGACGGTCGGAGGTTCGAAGAGAATCGGTCGCTGTCAGAGGCAGGTGCAGATTTGGGCGATGGGTAGGAGTTGAAGATTGCCTGTGCAAGGCCGATGTCTTGGAGGAGTGGTGCGTGGGAGTCCTTCAGCGATGCAGGCAGCAGTCCTAACAAGGAAGGCACCACGTCCTTGGATACCCGCAAGTCTGCCCAGTCCTCATTAAACTCCCATACGTCAAGGAAGAGGATGTCTGCTGCATCTGCCAGTGCCGAGGCTTCTTCGGCGGTGCCTATCTTGAACCTCAACACGACATCATCCCTATACTGCGCGACCAGCTTATCGCCCAGCGCATCGCGGCCAGTCTGCGCACTCTGCCCGCCCAAGCTCTTTTGTTGCTCTGGCAGTCGCCAGATGTTGCGTATTATCGCGTCGGAAAGCCGCCGCCATGGTCGTGGGGACGCATTGTGGGTCGAAGCATAGGTTCCTGCATCGTACGGAGACGGCGCTGCGTCGTGCGGGGCGGCCGTTGCCAGCTGTGGCCCGAGAAGCAGCAGACTCAGCAGAGCGCAAACGGGCTGGCGCATTGCGGGGATGGGTGGCCGGGCAAGCGGTGAGCCAACTATGTATGCGATGCTATGGTGGTGGCCAGCAAGCGCCGGGAAGAGGGTGGAGAAGGTGTCGTGTGCCTGAGCATAGCATGCCTGGAAGAAACGTGGGAATTGTGGCTGGTGGAGCTTGCGAGGCGCGGCCATTTACGCCAACGCTGCGCTAGGCACTCTCCACTGCGCTGCAGAGAAGACCAGTGCGCTCGTCAGTGCCTTGGTGACAGCTGATCTGCTACCCTTAGGCCTGGTATCCTCCCCCTATACAACATAGCGAGACACTGTGACGTCGACTGCCCTATCCAACACCTACGTGTCCAACGCCGTGCCCAGTTCTCGACCGGCTCTCACATCTCACCTCCCCGACTAATCCTAGCATCACTCCGTCAGCCTTGTGGGCGTGCCGCATCCGAGCCATCCTACAGTCCAAAGAGCCCATAAAGCGACGCCCTTGACTGACCCCCTCAACTGCCCACCCCGCTGTGCCATGTCAAGCACCGTGACGCCCTACTTGCATTCATGAGCTGCTAGTTGGCGCGAGCAGCCATGCCTCTGCGCTCCCTCCGCCCCGGCCGTAGCGAACGAGACCTCAAGCGACGGAGTACCCTCGACCCTGCCGGCTTCTTCAAGCGCGCCGACAAGGACGCGCGCTTCGACAGGTCGGCCGAGAATCTGGACCCAGGTCGAATCGCTGCCTCTGAGGATGGCTACCGTCCAACATCCACCGACGTTGCGCGGCCCTCGACAGGCCACGATGATGATGATGACGACTCCCCGCCTTCTCCACCCGTACAGGAACACACTCCCAACACCAAGCGCTTCAGTCTGATGCGCTTCCGCCATGCCTCTGATCCGCAACTCTCCGCCAAGGCAAAGGAACATGCCGCCCGGGACGACGATGCACCGCCCGTCCCTCGCGTGCCCGGTAATCCTGCGCGTACGTATATGGATGCATCCCACATGGCAGAAGGCTGGAGTACTGACGTAGAGCTGCGCAGCGCCCGCAATCATCACCACTGCACCCACCGTAGCCGACCACGAAGACGAGGACAAGACTCCGCCCAAACGGAGCAGGATGCAACAGTTCGCCCTGCGCCGGCGCTCGTTCGATCCGTCCACGTTTGACAAGCCGACGACGCTGCGCAAGTCGATGGAGAAGAAGCGGAAGCCACTAGGCTTCAAGAAGAGTCATGGAGACCTCCTGGACGAGAAGGCGCGAGCCTCGACAAGCAGCCAACGCCGCCCCGACGTGCTTGCCGAATCGCGAGAATCTGCGGAAAGCACCACCTCCCTGGCTCCTCCCACCAGGGCATCCGAGTCGTCCAGGTCAGATGGAAGCTCCGGTGGACATATTTCCTTTGAGTCGACCCCACGACCCGCTCACCCGGCCCGCGTTGGCTCTGGACGATTTACCTTTGGCCGTCGAAAACAGCGTGCATCATTATTTCCACTCCCTATGAAAATCGAGCCTCCGCAGTTCCCCGACACAGCGCCTGCTACACCACGCCAGTCCACTGGCGCGAGGAGTTCCGCCTCAATCCATCATTCACCAACCGAAAGTCCCCCATTGACCGCCCGGCGCTTCACCCATGGAGAATCTGGGGCACAGACGCCACCAGTCCCTTCTGCATCGCAAGTTGCTCTAGCTGCTGGTGCTTTGAATTTAGCCTCATCTGGTCCAGGCACTCTCTTTCGCAACGACTCGTACAGGTCAACCCGATCCGCTCGTACCTCGCCAAACAACAATGGTTCAGCTCGCATGGGGCTTAGGGGGCGCTCATCGACCATGGGATCAATGGGCGGGCGGTCGGACGGCGCAGGTTCGCCAACACCACCTGGTGGACCCAGCGGAAGAAACTCTACCTCCACAGCAGGAAGGAGTAGCTTCAGCAATTTGTTCGGCCTGAGTTCAAGATTTCGTCAGAACTCCGAGCCCCATTCACCTAGGCATGCTTCACCTGCTCACGGCCTTTTAGGAAGCTCAGCCTTGTCTTCACACCAAAATTCCATGAATATCAGCCGGGAAGCACTCATATTACCAGATCGCGAGGAGGGTGAAACACCTGGGCGGTATTTGGAAAAAATCGAGGCAAACAACTTCGACAAGAGCGTCGTTGCAAGCTATCTCAGCAAGACTGACGATCCGTTCCTTCTCGCAGTATTACGAAGCTACATGCGAAAATTTGCTTTCTTCGGTGATCCAATCGACATGGCCATCCGCAAATTACTCATGCAGGTTGAACTACCCAAGGAGACGCAGCAAATCGACCGTGTTCTGCAGGGTTTCGCTGATCGGTATCACGAGTGCAACCCCGGCATCTACATTAACACAGGTACGAAGACAGCTTTTTGCATCTATCACCATGACTGACACACTACAGACAAGGCTTATTTCATATCCTTCTCAATCATCATCCTGCATACAGACGTATTCAACAAAAACAACAAACGCAAAATGCAAAGGCCGGACTACATCAAGAACTCTTCCTGTGATGGAGTCTCGGCTGATGTCTTAGGTTGCTTTTACGACAATATTGTCTATACTCCATTCATCCACATCGAGGACGAGGTCGACCTTAAGAACATCACCTCGAAGAAAAGCAAGAGAACTGCAGTGCTCAAGGGGCCAATGAACGATCCAGCGCGCAAAGCGGCCAAGGAACCCATCGATCCGTACACACTTATCTTTGAGGGAAAATTAGACGCCCTCCGTCCTACGATTCGAGACGTGATGCAACTGGACGATCCTTACAATTACACTGGCACTACTGCGACGCTGGACACCAAGAACGTTTACAAGTTATTCTCCAAATACGGCGTCATACAAATCGTGTCCTCTCGATCAAGACCAGAAGCTTTCATGTCCGATGCTGCCCAAGAGAACCCCTTCGGCACCTCAGTTGGTATCGTCGAAATGCCGGTCACAAAAGTTGGAGTCTTGTGGAGAAAGGACACAAAGAAGAAGAAGGCACGATCGCCTTGGCAAGAATGGGGCGCTGTTCTTACGCGGTCAGGATTGTCTCTTTTCCGAAACTCTACTTGGACGAAGAACTTGATGAGCCAGCACGATCAACATCTCAAGCGTGGTGAGACTGGCCCAGTCGTATTCCAACCTGCACTTCCCGACTTCAAGCAAGACCACATCATACCCATGGATGGTGCGGTCGCGCTCGTTGACAATACATACAAGAAACATAAGAATGCGTTTGTCATGTTTTCAAAGGCAGGCGAGGAGACGTTTCTGGCCGATAGCGAGAAGGACTTGAACGAATGGCTAGGCGTGCTAAACTATACCGCTGCGTTTGAGACACTCGGCGTTCGATCAAGAGGCATGATCGGTGGGCTGTACGAAGGCCAAAAGAACCGTGGCATGCGACGCCTTGAGTCATCGCATTCTACCAAGACAATACCAACAGCTACTGGCGATGTGACGATACAAAGTGGCAAGATCGACAGCCAGTTTGCAACGCAAATGATGAATGCCCGAAAAGATCTTATGCAAGTGCGCATCACTGAATCCGAGGACAGGCTTACCAATGCTATAAAAGAGCTGGAAGCACGCCTACGGGATGCGAGACATCTCCAGATTCTTGCACCTATCCAACCAAAAACTCGCGAGCTCGTCATTCATGCTGCGGGCCGGTTGTCAGCGAAGCTGAAATGGATACGCATTGACATTTGGCGGATGAAATGCCACCGTGACATTCTGGCTCAGGAGCTGGAAGATGAGAGGCAAGGCATTGTTGAGCAACAAGCACAGAGTGACCGAGCCTCAGAGCCTACCCAAGCACAGCAGCCACAACTTTCTCCACAGCAGTCGAACAGAACGTCAAAAGTCAGTGGACTCGCGCGGTTGACTTCAAAGACCAGCTCAATGACCAGTGGACCCAAGCAGGTTCCACTGTCTCCTACTTCATCAGCTCGTCCAGGTACCAAATCTTCTAGAGATACTGATTTTGGTGGAGATGAAACTTTCAAGACACCACCAGAGACGACACAGTCAAGCCCTAAAGACCCTTCAGCACAGTTCCAGGCTTCGCCCATGTTGTTTTGTCCCAGCACATCTGACCGTCGAAGCTCGTTTGCCAGCTCCTCAGCACAGTCTCCAAGGATGTATCCTTCTGACCATAGGCCCTCGATATCGACAACTGGCGACGGCACATTAGGCTCAGATTCTGACTCCGATTCTGATGATGATTCTCGCTACGCTACTCCACCTCCAGGTGAGGTGGGTGACCTGGAACCGAGAACGCCAGAGCCCACACCTTTCGAGGGCACTCAACCGGAATCTGCCGTTGATGTTGACTATGAGCAATCTCTCGCTGCTTTGACAGGGTCGCCTAGATCTCGTACAAAGCAAAGAAGAAGTCTGCATCGCACTCTTCGAGAATCCCGTGGCAGCTCTTCTCACCGCCGCGGCCACAAGGGTAGGGACTCTGCCTCTACGATTACCAGCGAAAGCACAGAAGGTGACGGGGGACTGGCGCGTAGCAAGGGTAGCTTTACCGTCCATGGCAAGAAGGCGTCCGTCATTCAGTTTGGTGGCGATTGGCACAATACCACAGCAGAAGAACGCTTGAAGACAGTAAAACAACTCCAAGAGGCGGCGGAAGCAGTCTCCCCTGATGAGAGGGATGGCAGCGTTTTCAGCCATGGCACGGCGGGTGCGCTCTCTCCCGGAAGCGACGGTAATGAGCCGCTTTACGTCCGCAAGATGTCTGCAGACACTACAAAGTCGCGACACGTGTCATCCCAGACAATCACGCCTGCAAATTTCCGCGAATCATTCAGAATAGACCAACCTGACTCTGATGGCGAGTCTGACATGAGCGATATTGCGGAGGAAACCCAACGAACCTCAGACGACCAGCCAACGACGAAGGGCCAAAGTCCAATCACCGAACACGTGGAACGACCCATACATAGTCCAAGGACGACCACAGCATAATATTTGCTTCTCTCCCCTCTTTTTCCTTTGCATTTTGGATTTCAAAAGTGAATTTATGGACATACCAGCATCGCTAGAGCGCGTTCGTGTTTCTCCTTTGTCGACTTTACATACTCTTCTACGGAACTTGTACGCACCTTCATACATAGCATGGCGTATGTGGGCATTGAATTGAATTGCGACGGGGGCGCTTCATATGCATAGACGGACTCTCAGGATGGCGTTTCCTCGAGGATAGGATTGGTCGAAGACACAGTGAGGATTTGGGTTAGCGGATATGGTCGATACCAAAGTTGATGCTGCTCGTATGTGGATGATGATATTTCGATAGTGGATGATAATCGAATAAGTGATTGAGATCCCTGTTCTCATCGTTGAAGTGAAGATGTTCCTTCCCCATGACGATGGCGCTAGTGTTGATTGGTCACTAGCCTCGCACGACAGTTTCCTACCCAACAACAACTTTCCTCCGGGATTACTACCACACAAGCGCATCATCCACGATGTAATACAAAACCACATGTCTGCGAGGTTTCTCCTCGCTCACACTCACCAGCTCTCGCACCTCGGCTCAGCGGCATTGAGCAACTCCTGCAAAACTCCCTCAACCCCCTTCTCAAGCCATCCTGCATCCCTCTCGAACAGCCAAGCTATAGTGGCGCACCATATTGCATGAAGAGAAAACTTGCCTGGCTCCGCAAGGCTCTATACAGACCTACCCTCTATTGGACGAAAGAGTGAAGTTTTCGGAGCTCGGCAGCCGCCTTTGGCTTAAGCGACTTGATGTTGCTCGCATCGCGAAGATCTCAAACCTAAAGCGTCGCGAAACTCCAAACCTGACGAACGTGACAGCCCTGTCAGGATTGTCGCAACGCTCTTAGTGATACAGGGACACCCGCGAACGTGTGCCTGATTGCCGTTTACGCGCCTAATACGATACCTCACGATAGCATGATGAGGGCGTTTATAAGAGAGGCGTGATGGCGCGCTGTTTGTTGTCTTTTCTTGGTTATCGATCATCGGTTTCGTTCCAAGTCAGTCTTTACGTTCTACATTCTTTTCCTTGCCCTCCGGTAGGGTATCTTACTGCTTATTAAACGTTCGTTTCTTGCTCTACAGCCAATCACGTATTTTCTATTCTTCTTATATATATAAGACGAGACATTCATATACGGAACCGAAGATGTATACCAACGCCATTACTATCCTCATCTTGCTCAGCGGTCTTGCTATCGCCGCTCCGACTGCCAACATCACACCCCGCCAAGGCAACGCGTGCTTCATCATCGGCAACGAAGTCCTCCCTGGCGAAACCGCCGATGTAGTCAACCAAATCCAAGCCGCTGTAACTTGCGATCCCAACGCAAAGACACTCGAAAATGTCCCCGACGTGACTTCTGGCAGTCAGACCTTCTCTAAAATCGACTTCAGCACCTCTGGCCAGACACCTCTACAGTTTGCTACCAGCACTTTCACAACAGCGGTGCCGCTTGCCGACTCCAACCTTGAGGCTTTTCAGGACGCTCTTAATGTCTATCTAGCTACTGAAGCTGGCTTGCGCTCTTCGGGTGGTAACTTTGGGTTAGTCGTTCCTGTACAAACTGAATACAAAACACATACTGACATGATATATCTTAGGTTGATCAAGGCGCCAAAGTTCTTCTTGGAGATGCAAATCAGTAGGATAAACACGGCGAGGGGACAGCCGCCTACGGATGCGGCACAGCAGGTCGATCATCTGAAGGACAAGGTTACGGAGAACGCTGTTCGAGAGGATCAGGCGATTCTGGACCAGGTCGCACAATTGGCTACTCAGCTATCGTAAGGGCGATGGAGGAGTTGTGGTTGGAGTGATGGAAGGAGGAAGAGTGGATGGATCTTCACAGGTCTTAATCAACATTGACCATTATGTATCACATTCGTCAACTAATCAAAATGATACCCATACAACTATCTCACAACTCGCATCTCCTTCATAATTTACTATCCCCACCACCAACCTTCCCCCGCCATCCTGTTAAGGTTGCACCTCCATCCATCTCCACGGCGTTTCCGGTGATATGCGCACTAGCCTTGCTACTCAAGAAGAGCACCAGCCCACCAAAGTCACTGGGTTTGCCGATCCTGCCAGTTGGCTGTCCAGACGTCAACGCATCAGCGTATTTCTCCAAGCCGAAATTCGTCATACGGCTGGGGAAGACTCCTGGACAGATGACGTTGACCATGATATTCTTGGGGGCGAGTTTCGAGGCTTGCATTTTGGTTAGGTGGATGCATGCGGCTTTCGCTGGACCGTCTGTTCATACTGTCAGGGCGGCAAATAAGGAAACGTTAGAAGAGACAACTTACAACTGAATGTTCCAGTCCCTGGTTTACTCAATCCACCTCCCTCTCCGGTCGTAACATCCACAGTCGTGATACCAGCCATACTGGCGATATTGATGACTCTAGAGGGATTGTGCATATCAGCCCCCTTGGTCAACAATTCCTCACACCCCACCGTCATGTAAAATATGCTCTTCACATTCAGTGCATATAACTTGTCCCACGCATGCTCTGGATAGTTATAGTAATCGTCTCCCCAACTCGCCCCCGTATTGTTCACCAACACCGTCAACCTATCCGTCTGCTTCTTCAACTCTTCACAGAGACCTAGGCATCCGGCTTTGTCCTTCAGGTCCGCGACAATATAGGAGCAGCGGCCTGGGCCGAGCGCGTTGAGGCGGTCAGTAGTAGAGCGCAGTTCGGATTCTTTGCGTGAGGCGATGAAGACGCGGGCGCCGTTTTGGACGAAGGCTTGTGCGGCCATTTCTCCGAGGCCAGTCGCGCCGCCCGTTACGAGGACGACATGTTCGGTGAAGGAGAAGAGCGTGGTGGCGCGTAGGTCGTCTTTCGAGGCCGCGTGCGTCATCTTGGAGGTGGTATGAGATGTTACACGGTGGTTGTGGAAGTGGGTTAGGTGCAACTGAGGTCAACGGAGTATAGATGAGCTTCAAGGGGGCATGTGTATATGCGTAAGCATGCGCGGACGCGTAACGATCGATTCAGCCATGTCGGTAGAGCCGTAGTGGAGAGATGGTGTGAACCTCGGCATCTTGGAGATACTATGCGGGGTGCTAGCGCGTCGCGCCGACTCCACCTTGAACATTCGACATGTTTTGTCGATGAATTACATTGCCGATGCCTTATGTAACGCGACTTTAACTTGTCCATCGTACTACCCTGGGAACAGATCCCTCATTTCCCGTTCCACGCTCAGCTTTTAGCTCATGCAACTTCTCTACCGGGTTCTCTGGGCTCTCGGAATAGTACTTGATCGCATCTTCTAGATAACCGATAGCGGCATCTACGTCTCCGAGTGCTTTGCAAACGATATGCGCCTTGAAGCTCATCAAGAACTTCTGCTTGCGAACCGGTATCTGCACTGCGTCCGAAGTCATAGACTCTTCTTGCGCACAATAGGGCTTATCCGACAGGAAACTAATCATCTCCTCGGCAACCTTGCGCGCCTCTTGTAGCAATGCCACACTGTCCGATGCATCCGCTACCTCTAGTCCCTTAGGACCAAAGGTGCCTGCGAGATGACATAAAACCTCGACTAGATCCGCAGCGGTTGTACAAGTTGCGGACCATAGCATAAGAACTGTGTCTTCTGTCGATGGGCTAAGGAAACCTCCATAATTGCTGCGAATGCAGTCCAATTGGCAATCGTAGACTAGGCGGGCGTACTTACAGACCATCTTGTATTGTATGACTGTGTTCTCTGGGGTATCGCTATTCACGTTTCGCCTAAACATGTCAATCTTGAGTAGATAATATCCGGCACTCCCTTGTCGCTGCCAGTGCTCCCTCAAATCCGCTGCCAGGAGTGGAGGTATTGCGTCGTTGGTGTTGATAGCAAGAAATCTCTGACGGAGAGAGGGGTCTTCTAGCCAAGGGCCCACGAGGATCTCCAGGGCTCTGTCTTTGGAATAGGAGAATGTCTCGAGAAGTGTGAACGTGAGAGACGTATCGACCAGGCTAATAGAGGTTAACAAATCAACAGGGTGTACAGTGTGTACTAAATGCACTCACGAAGCTGACCGTTTTGTGGCGATCTGTGTCAATTGCATCATGCTTGTGACCGGCATCAAGCAGTATGGAGTGCTCTCTGCTAGCAGCCTGCTTCGAAATACGCAGCTGTCCCATTCCATGGCAACAGGAAATCTAGAACAATCTTTTTTGATAGCTCCGGAGCGGGACTGTAATTGCGAAATGAGCGGCAAGCGGTAAACTTGTTCATCGAGGATGGAATTGCTGAAACGCGAGTAATTGGTCTTGACCACCACGCACAATTGGCTGCTCAGAAACTTCAACACTTCTGTGTTGATTTGTCGGTTCAGAGTGAGCAGCTTGCATATTGGCGAGGACGGTGCGACATCTTTGGTGGCTGTTTCGGATGGAATGTAGGTGAGAAGCTCGTGGTAAATTTGCTCACGAATGGTGATTGGAACAGTCAGAAGGGTCTGCATGGTTGAAGTAGAGTACAGGTTTGGAATGGGTAAAAAGGTTGCGTCTCTCATGAGCGGAGAAGATGAACAATGTAGTTTCTTTAGTATCTACGATTGCGACTAGGCAGCTGCGCTGCCGTCTACGAATGAGAGACGATAGGAAAAAGCGGGCCTTATGTAGTTTCTTAAGTTAGGCCACCACAGTCCAGCGTGGTCCCCACCATAAACTTAGGTAGCTCGTAATCACTTAAGCTGCACTCCTCAGTGATATGCTACATATTATACCTACCTCGGAAGGTATGGTATCGTATCTATCTGAATACAGATGCAATGTTATAGCGCGGCAAGTACTGTTGGTGGTCCAGCTTGAAAGCAAGCTTTTGTTGGCTTAACAATGTCTTGATATTTTCACAACTGTAGACTGCCATACTCGGCTGTAGCATAGTCTTTCCCTGAACGAGAGACGGAAAACTTATTGCTAGTTTGGCTAGACTTGTGGAGACTGACATCAAAGACACCAGGCACAACCATCGGCCTCTTGAAATGCACTTCCATCCACAACGATGTATCTAGCAGGAATGTTGAGCCTCCCAAATTTGGCACACGCTGCAGAGCTTTGGCGACGACGTGATTTCCGTGCGCTATCTTTCCTGGTAAACCGAAAACCTTCGCAGCCAACCCTGACAGGTGTATGAAGTTATAGTCTTTGCAAATTGCAGCCCATCTCAGCGGATCGTCCACGGACAGCGATACCTGCGTAGTGCTTTCGAACAAAGGGTTTGTCACCATGCTAGGCGTTGTCTCATCAGAATTTTGTGAAACCTTCTTGGGTTGTACTTTGCCGAACTCTAGCATGGTGAAGATTTGGCGAAATATGGTATCCACAGTCCCATCGCTCCTCCCTGTGGGAATATTGATCATGACCTCCAAATCCCACTCGATACCTCGTTTTGCTTGTCTTTGGTTTTTGTGTACTATAGCCTTCAAATTAGCTGACCTCATACCCACAAGCGTCGCTACGTGGCATAGATCCTGGCGTAGTATCTCGAACCTGTTGCGGACGTTGACGGCACCCAGGGGACTGATTGGACACCAGGGGCTTGCGAGGAGGAGAAGCATCGCGGGCTCAGTCATAGCGGACAGAAAAAGCATGAGTTGAGCTGGTGGAATCCTTGATCCTGCGCCAATTCCTCGTCCAACTGCTAGTTGATATCGAGCGACGTCTTCCGCATCTATGATGAAAGGCGAGTCGAGCTCTAGTCCGGAAGACTTTACGCGCGGAACTCCGGGTATCGCGTACAAAATAGATTTCACGATCATCGCCATGATAGCCAGGATGATCTCCCCCATTCGAAGTGAGGCTGGGGAAAAGGATAGAGTGACTTTCCTAGGGCTGGACAGCAAAGGAGTCAGGCGATACCCAAACGAGACGAGCACGCCGAACAGCATGCCGGCCACAAGCATCAGCATCATGGTTCAATATATTTGTAATGGGATTGATGCTGAAAGGTTCGTGTGGAGATGATTCAGGTGTGGCAGGAGCCACCTGGGCACTTCTGTCGCTAGCGGCACCATGATGTCATCACTAGGTAGCGTGAAAGTCAAACGCGACAGCTCCCAGCCTCCTGCATACCAATCACAAGGAACATACTCCATCATCGCGCCATACGGGTAACATCTCTCAGCAATAATCCACAACGAGCGACTTCGACCGTTTGCTTAATCTCTTCGATCCAGTTCTCTCCAGCCACAACTCATCCGTCCGCGCAAGCCCCATGATGGCACATCTCCTCCGGCACTTCCGATGTCCACAGTCTGGGCATTTGTTCCCAACCTCAGTAAACGACCATATTTGTTCACCTGGTGAGGTCAGCAGATGGTTTCACATAAGATGAAGATGACATGCAGTGATGACAGCGCCAGCTATACGCGGTATCTGAAGCTGTACTGCTTGTAAAGTTTCCCATCATACGCATGCAACTTTCCTCAAGGTTTGAGGGGGCTGGGTACCTGGGTCGCGTTGATTCTGAAGAAACGGTGGTGCGGTTGAGAGAAGTATGTCTGATTTGTGCAGTCGTCGCACAAGAACTTCAAAGCGCTACGAGCTTTGGGGAGTTTGGATCTTGAGTGTATGTGTGCTGGTTACTCATATTACACCGCTTATATACGGACATAGTTTAGAGTTCTGGAAGCGTGGCGTAGTTTGAGTTGATTGCTTACGTTGCTTAGCGTAGTTGCTATGGCATTCACAGATCATAGCCAACAAAAGTTGTGAACGATGAACGATCTATCCCCCATTATGTTTCGCTCATCTGGAGCGTGACAGGCTATCAAGATGCGCTTTACCATACATGAAAGGAAGAACAAGAGTAAAGGTGAAGCTACGGCTTCGACGTATGATTTCCTGAATAGAGCTCTGAAGGCCCGTACTCAGAAGTATTACCTGGCATCTCTGCAGGGCTTTGACCGCAGCTTTCCGTTTGGTGGTGCCAATCATCAGCCATTTCAAAGACCTGTAGAGGGTACGCATTCGTCTGGGTGTGCTCGGATTTTCCGTCTTGATATGTGAGATTTGTAGGCTGGAAAGGATGTTCGTCTTGTCCTGAATCGGCTCCAGTATATCGCATTCTGTCATTCATCTGTCTCCTTTTTGATAGAAACCACAATAGCACTGCAAGTAGTGCTAAGCCAACAATCGGCCCTAGCACTGCGCCAGCGATCCAGGTTTTGTTCCAAGAATTCGAATCTTGAGGTAAGGGTGTATTGGTCGCTGTTGCGGATGAGGTCGCGCTTGCCATTGCGTTGCTCGGAACGGTCGATGATGCTGATGCGGACCCTGAAGAGCCTGTGCTTCACTTTAGACCAGACTTGCTTTAGCACATGAGGGACTTACTGCTCAGCTGGGCTGTGACTGTATTGATAATAGTAGATGGTTGCGGAGGGCCGTTGATGTAGAATCCTGAAGACGAAATCTGCTCTGGATACGGGTCGTCCGGCCCAACTGGTGCGCCAGCAGGTGTGAAGCGCAATACCCAATAATCATTTGCTACGAGTGCTGCAAATGGTATGTTTACGTCCCACTGGTATGATGAGTCAGTGGTGATGTCGACGCTACCTATATCAAATGTCAAACCAGTCGCTACATCATGATAGCTCTTATGACTGAGAGGTGTCGCTTACCAGCGATCTTGAAGTTGTATCTAGCATCTTCAAAACTCGTAACCCAGAGATCGAGCTTCTTGACGTCGCATGAAGTACAGTACATACTGAAAGCTTCTTGCAGTTCTGATTTCCAACGAATGGTGAATGGAGCACCGCTTTGCAAACTTGTAGATCCATCAGGAGTCGCGGGAGCAGTCCAGCTGTCCTGTACGGTTTGACACCATGCAATAGAGGCTATGATAGTAGACCAAAAGACTAGAGACAAACAGCGAACCATTTTTGTAGAGTGTACGAGCACTTGAGATATCTCGTTTGTTATGTAAGAAGCATGCAAAGAAGCTTATCTTTAGTGCTGCGGTGATCATTCAGAAGCGTTGTACCTGAGCGCCAGCAAGAAGAGACCGTGCATTTGCATCAGGGGTTGATAATGCACATGAGAGAATGCCGAAGGATCGGAGTTGCAAGGAGTATACATGGCTGGGGTATTGTGATAGAGACGCCTCGACCAATGAGCACGACGCGAAATAGACAACGCCGCAACTTTGCAGTGGTCAAAACACGCCAGTTACGCGCTGTGTGTGGCACTCTGAAAGCTCAAACCAGGGAACGATACTCCAGTCTGTGATACTATGAAGTCAATCTGTTGGTATCGTTGTTGAGGACTAATAGTTCACTCATCTAGAGCGTTGACGGTCTTCAACGTGGTTGAGATGGGAAGGTGGGAAATTAGCCCCCAGAATAATTTGCGGCACAGTTGCGAAAGCCTTCTTCGTCTTAATGTGAAACGATCCAAGCGCTATAACAGGATGGCAAGCTGTAAGTTGCTGCGGCAGTGCGCGTGTGAAATTTCCGCTCAACTCGTCTCCTCGTCTCCCTGAGCGCCTCCGTCGTGTTCCCCTGCCGGAATCTTAGGGACTCAACCATGTTTTTCAGAAGATGGAAATGGAGTCTGGCCGTCATCGCTACCATTCTTTTCCTTGTAACAATATCCTCTTTTTCAGCTCAGCTTACACCTTCGAGAACATCCATTCTTCCACTAGGACACCACGATCAAGCACCCCCTTCGCCGCCGAAGCCACAACAAATTCCAACTGGGAATTCTCAAAGCTCGCATGCGTGCCCAGCGATACCGCCTAACCCAGTTGTGACTCCAAATACTGGCGCTCGCTTTGATTGGAGAGCGATTCCGAGTCACCACCCGGTCGACCACTATGTGCAACTATCGTCGCAAAAGCCTTCGCTTAGAGAAGCTGTTCAACGACCTCCCAATCCAGCGGCATTGGACGCGAACAAGATTGCCTTTCGCCGAGAGGCTGTCAAACAGACTTTCCAGAGGAGTTGGAGATCTTACAAGGAGCGTGCATGGATGAGAGATGAGCTTGCACCTATCTCGGGTCAACCTCGAACCACTCAATTCGGTGGCTGGGGAGCCACCTTGGTTGACTCATTGGATACGTTATGGATTCTCGACATGAAAGATGAGTTTGCAGAAGCTGTCGAAGCAGCGCTCCAGATTGATTTCAAACCAAGTGATGATCGCGAAAGCGAGATCAACATGTTTGAGATCATCATACGCTATCTTGGAGGCTTCATAGGCGCCTACGACGTGTCCGGTTGTCATGACGCCCGCCTTCTGAACAAAGCACTCGAAGTGGCGGATATGGCATATGCGACATTCGATACATCGAATCGTATGCCTGTCTCGAGATGGAAACCAAGGAAAGCAGCGGATGGAGAAGAGCAACTGCCAGCACTATCAGTGCTCATAGCTGAAGCAGCATCTGCTAGCGTAGAGTTCACTCGTCTCTCTCAGATTACAGGGGATATGAGATATTTCGACGCCATCTCCAGAGTTACGAACGTCCTGGACGAGCAACAAGGATCCACCAAACTTCCTGGCATGTGGCCGATCAGCGTGGATATGAGGACGCCAAACTTAACCTTTGATGTTTTCTTTGGGCTGGGTGCCATGGCCGATTCAGCATTTGAGTATCTGCCAAAGATGCATCAATTGCTCAACGGATTCGATCCAGCTGACCAGTATCGCAGAATGTACGAATACGCGATGGACACCGCGATCACGTACACCATGTTTCGGCCAATGGTGGAAGACAAAGCCGATATTCTGATCGCTACTGCTAAACACGATGGTCCTGACGGGCAGAGAGATGACACTGGGCAGCATCTGGTATGTTACGCGGGAGGTATGCTGGCGCTTGGAGGGCGGCTCTTCGACAATCAAACTCATTTCAACGTGGGCCGAAAGATCTCTGATGGCTGTGTGTGGACGTACATGAAAGCGCCAAACGGAATCATGCCTGAGGTCTTCTCCATGACGCCTTGCCCATCGCAGTCGGAATGCGATTACATACCGGGCGCTGCTCCGTTCAGTGCCGTGCATGACGGTCGTTATATCCTTCGACCGGAAGCAATCGAGTCGGTCTTCTACATGTTTCGGCTAACTGGAGAGACCAAGTATCAGGACATCGCGTGGGATATGTTCAGGGCCATCGAAGCAAACACCAAAACTGAGTTCGGTAGTGCCGCACTCCAGGACATCATGAAGACTCCACCAGAGAAGAGTGACAGCATGGAGGTAAGTCTCGAATACCTAACGCGCGTGAGACAAGCACTGACATCTCCGCAGAGCTTCTGGCTTGCTGAAACTCTGAAATACTTCTATCTTATCTTTAGTGATCACGACGAGATTAGCTTGGACGACTTCGTGTTCAATACTGAGGCGCATCCGTTCCGGATACCTTACCGATGATGACGCGATGGCGCGAGGCTCAAGGGAAGTTCAAGATGTTCGTTGGGATATAAAAGACTGGGTTACACACGACGGTACGCGACTGCGCGATGTACATCATGACAAGGATAAAGATATCAATCCTGGAATGTATCCCGTTTGTGCAGCGTTATCGACGTGCCGTGAAGAACTGTGGTGGCTGTGAGACATGTTGGCCGGGGTTGACCGGATCCGGGAGCGGGAAGATGCGCCGCGACCAAGCTTTTCCCTGAAGCTTGAGCGCGGATGGCGTTGCTTCGAGCCTTGACCTTCGACACGCACAGGAGACGCGTACGTTCACTTCATAGCGTCAGGCTTGCTGAAAAATCACAAACTCGAGTATTGCGACCTATAATTCCGTGCTAGGTGCCGACTTGCCTTTCCGTTGACTTCTACTCCTCATTTATAGCGCGACTACGCCAGTTCGTCGGTACTCAACGAACATGATAAGCCTCGGTGTGTCGCTGCCGAGTTCCAATTCCGCTTCTCGATTAGTAGGATGACGAAAGATAGCGACAAAAACGTGACGACGACGGCTAACAACCCTTGTCTGAAACCCGAGGGCTAGCGACCAGCCAATAATCCTACATCTGGGGTCTCCACTGGGGGTCCCCGCGAAAGTCTTCTTCCGCAGTTTAATCGGTATGGGGAGAACGGGTACATAATATGGGGTTGCCACCTAAACAAGTGTGTTCGAGACTGCTGGCCTTTCTCCCTTGTACTACACCTCCCCACGGTCCACCCATAGGGCCTAGACACTGAGAACCACCCATCAGTCATGGAGAACGACAAAGAGATCGTCGCAAGCGAGCCGGTTCGTAGTGAAGATATAGAGCGTCTACCTACTCACGGTACCTATCTCGACAAAGATGAAGCAACGCATCTCTCAGAGGAGCATCGGCAGTATCTCTTGGAAAGACATGGCACACTTGAGCTCGATCCTATACCCACTATGGGTACGGCCGATCCATACAACTGGCCCCAGTGGAAGGCAAGTCACTACGAACACATCAATTGGACGGCTACTAACGAAGGACACAGAAAGTGATGAACCTCTTCTTTGTTGCCTTTCACGCCATGATGTGCGCATTTCCTGCTGCAGCAATTATTCCAGCCTACGAGGATATCTCCGAAGACCTGGGTGTTAGCCTCCAAAGAGCATCGTATCTTACCTCTTTGCAAATTGCCATCCTTGGAGGCGCTCCGCTGTTCTGGCGGCCACTCTCTACACGATACGGACGCCGACCTATCTTCATTATATCCTTGATCGGCAGCTTAGTCTTCAATGTTGGCTGCGCGAAGAGCCAAACGTACGCTGCCATGGCAACTTGCCGAGCTTTCCAGAGCTTCTTCATCTCACCCCCGAATGCAATTGGCAGTGCCGTGGTGGTTGAAACGTTCTTCAAGAGGGAGAGAGCGAAGTTCATGGGTATCTGGACGGTCATGATTACCCTTGGTATCCCTCTGGCGCCACTCATCTTCGGCTTTGTTACATACAATGTCGGCTACCGCTGGATCTACTGGATCCTTGCGATCGTGAATGGTGTCCAAGTCATTCTGTACACCCTTTTCGGACCAGAGACGCGTTTCATCCGACACGGCGACGTGCAACATGCACAATCAGGTTTCGCAGCCTACAAGGAGATGTACTTGAAGTTCCGTCGTATCGACCCTACACCTATCACCCTCTCAGAGTTTATCTCACCCCTTCGACTGTTCAAGTACCCATGTGTAGTCATTCCCGCTTGCGCATACGCAATGGTATTCCTCTTCGCGTCTGTTCTCGCAACGGTTGAAATTCCGCAACTCTTCGGGGAGAAGTTCCACTTCAACGCCCAACAAATCGGCTTACAGTTCCTCGGCGTCATCGTCGGCACTGTTATCGGGGAGCAAATCGGCGGACACTCTAGTGACCTCTGGATGCGATGGCGTGCAAAGAAGATGGCTCCCCTCCGACCTGCTCCAGAGTTCCGCCTTTGGCTGAGTTACTTTGGTATTCTTCTCACCATTTGCGGTGTGGTCGTGTTCCTCGTGCGCATCGAGCAAGCCCCCGACCTACACTGGAACGTAACCCCCATTGTTGGTGCCGGTATAGGTGCAGCAGGCAACCAGATTGTTACCACAGTTCTGATCACATACGCTGTAGATTGCTATCCTGAAGAAGCTGGTAGCATTGGCGTGTTCGTTACTTTTGTGAGGCAAATTTGGGGCTTTCTCGGTCCGTTCTGGTTCCCTCCCATGTTTGAGAATGTGGGAATTGCGAACAGTGCTGGCATTGTTGCGGCATTGCTTGTGGGCGTTAGTCTTATCCCGGTCATGTTCACGCATTGGAAGGGCTATACTATGAGGGGCCACATGTCGGAGAGAATGTAGAATCAGCACAAGGCTTTCCCTCGTGTCGATTCCACAGAATTTCCGTACGTCTGAGTAGTGTATCGTCACATCAATGACACCATAGGCATCTTGCCAAGAAAATGCTTGTTGAAACTGGTAGTTCTGTAATGCTTCTGGTTCTTGCATGCAAAAACCGGAACCATTGCGCTAAAATACGAATCCGTGATGACTAGCTCATAACTTCGCTTCCAGTCCTTCCTTCTGGCACAGCTCTTCCGCCTCTGCTACGACATCGACGCCATACACCCGCGCTTGTATATCCGCATCAGCCCACCTGTCCGGCACCTTCCCTGAACCTGCCTTCATCGCTGCGAAGATCTTGTCACGTTCCTCTTTGGCCTTACCCGCTCCGAGGTGCATTTCTCTTCCGTTTTCCGCTGCAAGCTCGACGAGTGCCTCCGCCCTTGGTTTCCTCAGCTTCTCATATAGTCGCAGTGCGTGCTCGATGGTCTGTGGCTTCCCGTCGGCGATCCGCTTAGGAGACAGCACAACACCCAGTACAGCACCGTCTTCGATCGCCTGAGCAGCACCTTGTGCCATGTGCGGAAGCGTAGGATGGCAAGCATCACCAACCAACGCGGCTGTACCATGCACCCAGGTGATCAATGGGTCATGGACCCTTAGCTTCCACTCGACGACTTCACCTTCTGGCACTAGATTCAACATGCGATGTATCATGGGACAGAAATCGCTGTAAACTTCCAACATGGCCTTCTTGCTGCCCTTGGTTGTATATTGAGCGTCCGGTGCGCCGGCAAAGCTGATATCGGGCTGTGCGGTGGAGATGTTGTATATTTGCTTATTGTGGATCGGGTAAGCGATGATATGCTTCCTCTCACCGATCCAGCGTGTCACGGTATCGGATTCGATCAACTTGAGTAACTCGGGGTCATTCTCCATTTGGTCGCGGTTCAACATGATTCGATAGGCAGCCTGACCCGAATCGCGAGCAGCGCCGGTGTGACCAAGTTCCTTGAGCATAGCGACGCGTGTAGAGCTTTTTACACCATCAGCGCCGAGAAGAACATCGCATTCGGCTTCTGTTGATTCCCCTTGACCTGAGGATGGCGAAATAGTGAACTTTGGTCTTGCGCCAAAACGCACGTTGGATATGTTGCAACCCAATCTGAACGTGATACCACTCTCTTTTTTGCAACCCTCGTACAAACCGTTCGCCAAACTAGCTCGATGACCAACCATGTGTGGATATCCGTACTTTTCCCGGACGTATCCCAGATCTACGTACCCTAGCTCTTTGTCTGTTGTGCCTTCCCGGATGGATGTGTTTGCGCATTGGACTGCCTCGTCGCGGATTGGTCCCCAGCAACCTAACTTGTCCAGGATACGAGCCATATTGGGTGCAAGTTGGATACCAGCGCCCACAAACCCCATGTTTGTTGCATTCTCATATATTGTGATGTTCTTGTGGCCTGCTTTCGCAAGTGAGAGTGCTGCTGCAAGACCACCCATGCCTAGTATGTTGTTAGATGCTATCAAATTGTATAGAAATGAGACGTCGAAGATATCGTACCTGCTCCAACAATGGCTATCCTTGTGTTTTCCGCCATTCTGGACGTTGTGCTTGTGCCTCCTTTCACTTCTTGGATAGTGCCAACGATGTGGTATAGGATCGGAAGCTGTTGATAGAATGTGATCGTAGTCTGTTGCTGGATGGATATCCTCCGAGAAATAGAGAATCTGGCAAGAGCTCTTAAGACACTCTTCAGCTGCTTCTATATTTCTGCGCACTCAACCTTACTCCAGGTTCTCCACTACTTCCGAGCTCTTTCCCGCGCGTAATGTTCAGCCACCGGAAGAGGTATTAACCGGAAGTCTACGAATCCCCAACGTCTTTCAAGAAAGCAAATACGTCAATAAATGTCGCAACGGCCGAAGCTCAATCGTATCCACTAAGCATGGACGCCGTCGTGAACATATATCGGAGAATCCTTAAGGCCCGATTACACTTGAGATGGAGTCGCTGTGGCCAGCTAACACCCCACAGTGGCGGGGCAACGTTTCGAAGGTTAGCGCATCTTCACCCAGCTTCCTGGCCCCACCGCCGTCATGGACGAGCGATGTTCGGCATATGCGGAGTCACGGAGTGCGGGTGTGCCGACCCTGCATGTTACCATCGCATTGGTCGTGATTGCACGATCTGCGAGTGAGGCTCAAGATAATGCTGTGTTTGTCTTTCGTAGCATTTAACGTGATGACGGATGCCAAAGCGTCGATGGACGGGTCATCACATACTACCTGACAGTAGGTATCAAGCAGGACTGCGACTACGCCCGATGAATGCTTCACCGCCGCATTAGAACCACCCTCCACTTGGAGACCCATGGGAAGCGCATGCATTCTGATGCTAGATTGCTCTTCCTCCGCTATGCTCTGCTGCGTATCTTCGCTGCTTCTTCGGAAGCCCACATCGATGATGAGAGTTGCTCATTTTAGATTCGGATACTCCGGATACGCAGCCACAGATGCATTCCTTTTCGGTGCATTAAGTTGTTGCTAACGTGCGATTGGCATTACCGCTGCAATTGCTACAAAGCATAATCAAGCGCCAAACTTAACGGCAGACACTCAAAGCACCCACTTGAACATTTGGCGACACGATCGACTTCATATCGACATTTGGGTTTGCCGGTCAAACATCCGATGAGTACTGGCGCTCTCTCTGAAGCGGTGGTGACGTTCATCAAAGATAACTGCTTCATAGCGTCCGACATATAAGAAGCGAGGTTATGGTGCATACGATACTCTAGCAAAAGGTGGCTGGAAATGTTGCATGTTTCGCGTTCTGGTTACAAGCTACGCCAGCCTAGTTAGCTCGTACACAACAGATCGGGAGCGCGACACATAGAGAGCTCTATGTATATCGAGCCGGAAGCCGATTTCAGTCCCGTGGATACGTGATGAGGGGCTGCCATACCCCGCGCTAGCGCCTATCTTCCAATGTGGGGTGACTTCCCGAATATCTCAAGGGGAGACAGAGAATTTCCCACTCTCCACAGATCTCACGAGGGTGGTTGTGAGTTCATCAGCCGTTGCACTGAGAATAGCTGCATGCTCATTGGATCCTGGATCCGGCCATCAGAACAACCACTCATCATTACGTGTTACTAAGTTCGCGTGGAGGAAGAGCGTTCACCCGGAGCTGGCTTCCAACTTCAGAAAGCGAGAGAAAGACCGACGCGGGCATAACGTGACCTTCGGCGTCAGATCAAGCACCTGAAGATAGTAAGCATCGTCGCTGTCATCAGGATTATAGCTTCACGGAAAAAGCTTCTACCCTTTACACCAGCGTTCCCTCGCAAAGAACGTCAGAAGAACAGGGTCGTACACGAATTGACACATAACAACACTCAACCATGGCAAGACGAAATTCATTTGACCAAGCATCAGCTGGCTTCCGCGCCCATCTACCGGACCTTAGCAGTCCGCGTTTCACAACAGCGGCAAAACAGAACATCTACGAGTATGTTCAAGATATGCAAGACAACCGTGCTCCACCATGGCTGTACGATCTGACAAAGGTCTGGGAAAAGCTACTGGAAGAGCCATACAAAGGTATCACAAATGACGGAAAAGTAAGGGAAGGTCTCTTCAAGGCACAAGACGAAGGCGCGGATGTGGATGGTGCGGTTAAGAAGGCCGAAGAACTACTCGCCGGTCTGGACGGTGAGCAGAAGAAGAAGGTCTCATATCCAATTAATGCGAGAGAGTGGAGAGCATGGAGTAACCCAGAGTTCCTTCTAAGACCATTTGGGCTGAGGTTGGAAGAAGGTACGCACACAACGCCTAAGTGCTTGGTTATATGTTGACTTTCTAGTTCCCGAAAGCACTGCACAGTCAATCCTGGCGGTGGTAGAAGCATCTCTTTCACCAGAAGGCTACCAAAAGGCTCTTGCGGCCATGCGTGTAAATCATTTCCTGGGCGAAGTCTGCAAGCTACCCAACATCTTGAACAAGTACTCTTACAACTTTCTGCTGTTCGGCACACCCTCCTCCTCCGCTACATCGCCTTGGGGTTGGCTTCTCTACGGCCATCATCTTGACATTTCATGTTTCTACAAAGGAACCCAGGTCATTATGAGCCCCTCATTTACCGGTGCAGAACCGAATATCATCGACGAAGGAGAATGGAAAGGCACCAAGATCTTGCACAAAGAAGGAAGCCTAGGCTGGAAACTCATGCAGAGTCTCAGCCATGAACAACAGCAAAAAGCACAAATCTTTAAGAAAATGAGAGACGAAGGCATGAAGCAAGTTTACGGCAATTCCAACAATGACGAAACTAAACGCGATGAGCTCATTACCGATACTTGGGGTCCGGACGACCAGCGGCACAGATGTGGCGCCTTCCGCGACAATCGTATCGTGCCTTATGAAGGCGTTTTGGTCTCGTCCTTCGACTCCTCCCAACAAGAACTTATACTATCCATATGTCAGGAGTTCTTGTTGTATCATCCAACCAAGGCGCGCCAGCTCAAGCTCGAACAGATCAAGCAACACATCAACGAAACATACTTCTGCTGGATTGGAGGCTTCGGTGAAGACGACGCGTTTTACTTCCGTATCCAGAGCCCGGTCATCTTGGTCGAGTTTGACCATCACTCCGGTGTATTCCTAACAAACAAGGAGCCAGCGAAATACCATACGCATACTATCGTAAGGACACCGAATGCAGGAGACTACGGGCAGGCCATCAGGGAAGGAAATGGGAAACTAGAGTAGGTCACAGGTAGCGAAAAGATCAAACCGACGTGTTAAGAATAGGGCAGAGAGAGCCTGCACCGTACACCTCGGTTGTGAAAACTTCTATACTGAATAGGAAAGAACATAAACAGCTACATGTGTCATGCCGCATTCCCACATCACCGGCATCCTCCGCTTGAAACGATACAAACTCTTGGATTATCCGAGGCTTCTCCATCTCTATGACCTTCCTCCTACGTCAAAAACTTCCACTGGGGCTGTATTCTGTACGCATGTAGTAGACAATCTAAAAACCATCACCTAGTACATCAGAAATACCAGCTGTCAGCGTGAATTTGTTTCTTGGTTCACCTTGATCAGTCGTGGGTTTCTGTGTGCGCCCTGCTGCGTGTCTTGGTGATCGTAAGTTCGTGTAGAGCGTCCTAGCTTTGTGGGCTACGAGTTTGCTTGTGAGTGAGTCAGTTATACGATGTCACCGCGTATATCGGTAAGTGAATGAATGTGTGATGGTCTTTCGGCTGTTGCTTATTAACTTTTCCGCTTCTATGAACTTCCAACTTTCCAATCAGTGTGCGCATGCACAGTTCTGATAGTATACCAGATCCACTCATGTTGTAACCCCAATGGATGATCAAATACCACCATATCACCATTCCCGTCTGCTACGCCTGTGCCAGGTATAAAGTTCAGACGCATATCGCCAGCCTCCATCAGAACTCCCATTTCCAATATCATGAGCCTTCGCAGATCCCGCTTGGCTTCTGCCATATCCAATTTTGGTTTCTCTGCGATCCTGACAGTCGTCTGGGAATCTCGATCCACCTCAGCGGTGAGTATAGCCACCTGCACATTTTCTTGTGCAGCGTATACAGGGTTCATCACCATATGCCACACGATGCTTGTGTTTTCAAAGAATGGATAATCATCCGGGTTCTGAAATCGTCGAGACCGAACGCGGATAAGTGGAGTTCTGGAATTCATTCTGGAACTGCGCACGACAATGTAGACAGGAACTGTGGCCATGTTCGTGTGTTAGAGGTGAGAGAGTACGTAGGTACATTCTCTAAAGAAGATCCGTGAGTACATATAAGATGCTGGGTTGCTACTTTACCTGATGACCAACTGCGCATGACCGCAACAGGCTACGTGATCTGCGCGGGACTGAGCTCCTCAATTGAACTAAAGCAATACCTTGGAGTGTTTGACTTTAATGTTTAAAGTGAGAGTGAGAGACAAGACGCTGGCACAACGCTGTCGAATTGCGCTGTATTGTATCGCTGTAAGCTGTATTTTCTAAACACCTTGCTCCACTGCAGGCAACTGTATACCAACACAACTACCTTTCTCTGTTGACTGTATAGACTGTCTCACCTGGTCAACCGCCCACCTTCGCCCAACTTGAATTGACATACCAACATGCCATCGACTATGAACAATAAGATGTATTCGCCTCACGACAACGATCTACAATCTTCATCCTTCGGCAGTTCCACTTCGATGCAATATGAGGAACTCGCCTGTTCTCTGATAGCGCCGCTGTACGACAAACACTTTCGAAGGAAACTGTCAAGAACGAGCTCGCACGCTCCCAATGCAGCTGGTTTTGTCGACAAGTTGGAGGAAGTCAGCACTGCTACCACTGATTCCAAGGACATGACATGCCCGTTCCGCTATCTTCCCTTCGGCACTACCACAGTAGAATACGATCTATCGATTCTCTATATGGGACATCGATATGTAGGGATCTGAACTGCGCACAAAGCCGCCAGTTTGTAGGGGAAAATGGCAATGCGGGATATGCAGCCTTGAGTACATGATCGCATCACGTAGCACACAGATAATATGAAATCTTGACTTGTTATATATTGATACATATGTTAATGATGTGTGATTTTCTTATCTAATGCGGCCGGCGCAATGGATGTGCTTCAGTGTTGCTGTGCAATCATTAGTATCACTTCTAAAAACGTAGTCTTCAACACGAGAAAGGTTAAACTCACAACACATATTTGTCCAAGCTGACAAGATCTGGTTCACTGAAGATCAGATAGAAGTACTTGAGTGTTTCAGCCATCCAAAAGCTTTCACATTCATCTAGCTTAAGTGTCTCTTGGTCTTTCGGTATCGTCACGTCTGCGATGGCGGAATGCGCAAACTCGGCCATGGTAGCATTGTTGATGGACTCAAACATGCGCCAGGCAGTATCTTGGAGGGTGGTGTCGCCGGTAATGCGATAGAGGACGAAGACAGATTCGATGGCTTCAGGGCTGTAACTGCTGTTAGCGGTGTACGTATGAGGTGGTTTGCGTTCTTACCGTAGCAGGAATCGAGGGTCTCCGATCTTAGAGAAACCAGGCTGGAGCCCTATCTCTTTGATGACGTCTTGAACGTCATAGTGTTCAGCGTGGATGTTACTAGAATACGAGTACTTGACAGAAGCGTGCCACTTCTCCACATCCCACGCGCAGTCTTCTTCGCCAAAGCAGGGCATCATCCTGAAAGTCTCTGGCATGATACCAGTAGGCATCGCTTCATAAGCCCAAGTGCAACCATCTACCAGCTTACGAGCGATATCTAGCTCGTCGGTTCGGTTGAAGATTTTGGCACCTAGAGCAACCATGCCACCCGTGAAGCAAGCAAGATGTTGGCCATTCGGTTCCAACTTGACAGAGCCAAAAGAACTGATACGGGCATCGCCAGAGACGAGGATATCTTGACCCTGCGGTACTCTGGGCCTGAAGAACAAGTGTTTCTTTGCTGGCTCGATGGCGTTCTCATATAGCTTCCGGTATTGATCCGTCAGTCCCCCCAGCAGTAGATGCTGTTTCGGCAAGTATTCGTATAGCGAATCTGTCATCCCACCCATTGTGAATGTTCCATCAACATTGTATACTTCCGGACCCGGGCTGACGAGTACCGGGAACAGGCCGGGCAGCTTGGTTCGATTCTGATGTTTCTCAAGCATATTGGTGACCCTCGCTATCGCATCATAGTATTTCAGGTCGCCGGTTAGTTGCGAAAGGCGAGTGAACTCGAGCGTCAGAGATCCAATCTCTGCGCTAAGTGCTTGCGCATCGGCTTCTTGGTGGCCGTTCAAGGCAGCGCTGATTTATGTCAGTATGTACGGGTCGCCGGCGTGGCACAATCTTACTTCTCCCAGTCCCATCGCGTGATTGGCATCCTGTTGGGTGTATCAAATGCAGCATATAGCATGTCTCCCAACTCAGTCGCCTTGTGTAGTAGTGTATGGTGTTTCGCATTGCTCAGATCGTATGCGCTCAGCAGACCGCCGAGGTAGCGAATAGTAGTTTCGAAGATATTTAGACGCGCGACGCCTGCAGTGGTGAAATCAATCTTCTTGATAGCATGTACAGCCTTGTCGAACTCTTCTTCCAACCCCATGATCGCCAACGTGTCGAGCGCGTCTACCAGTGTTGCTCCACGCTGTCCAAAGCCATTCTTGAAGCCTCCTGTTACCGGAGCCACTTCGTCTTGCAGCCATGCGTGTGTTTTGTATCCTTCCCAACTATGCAGGAATGCCTTCTTCACAGCTGCTTGTCTATGCAACCGTTCCGCCTTCTTATGCTCGGTCTCAATTCCGAACTCATGCTGTATCCGTGGGATGGTAACCGGCGTGCCAGTGGGTAGAGGGGCCAGCGAAGAAACTGGGTTTCGTATCGGTACGCGCTTCCATGCTACAGCATGATCGATTCGATTCGATGACGTGAAAGTCGGCGAGGGAAGCTCGTTTCGGGTGCTGAGTTGGCGGAAAGCGAGTATAACGAAGGTCGCGAATACGAATAGCACAGCAATGCGTCGGATAATGGGGCTCATAATGCCAAAATGTCTATTGAGGGTATCTCATGCGTCTAGCAACTAAAAGGGAAGAAACGCGACTGCTGCGTCGCAGTACACAGGCCTAGCATTCGAAAATGCAAAAGAGTGATCGGATCAGAAGGAAATGTATCGGAACTACAATAAGCAGAAAGAATGAGAAAAGATACAACACACAGGACGTAATTGTTAATGGTGGGATGGAAGAAGAAGCCCCATGGTGAGGCATGTGCTAAAGATAGGCTCAACTGCCGACTTCCGACCCTCCGACCCTGACCTAACAGGGGCTAATGTCGCATCGCAGTCGTCGACCCCTTCACCATCACGATTAATGTCCGTATGTTACAAGCTGTGGACACGATGAGGAAGATACAACAGACTCCATAAACAGGCCGTCGCTTAATTGGCCAATTGCATGCGCATCACATGATCTGTGGTAGGCAGCAGCTTTCCAAAGAGCTCACGAGCAGCGTCAGACTGTAAGGCCCTCAGCCACCAATGTCATTGGTGCATCGCAGAACGGCATTCCGTTCACGGTATGTAGGATCACGTTGCATTCCGACATGTCAGCAAGAAGCCGGGAATTTAACGTTGCTTGAAGTTATATGAACTGTGAACGTGAAGCTCTTAGCTCTTGTATTCTCATCACTGTATACCAAGTCTTAAAACCAAACTCGTGCTGACGAAAGACACTACATCATATCTTGACACAATGTTCAGCCTCTTCGGAGATCGCGCTCCTTCGTCGCCTCCGAACCCTGCGAAGCTTCAACTCCGACCCAACGAATGCCAAGTGCTCAGCCTACCTGACGGACGCACTCTTGGCTTTGCAACCTATGGCTCTACGGACCCCTCCCACCCAATCATCTTCCTCTTCCATGGTCTTCCAGGCTGCCGACTGGTCGGAAGAAGTTGGGACAAGCTCTGCAGAGACATCGGCGCACGTCTCATTACTATCGATCGACCAGGCTGTGGAGATTCGACTCTCGCTGACCGTCGCCTCATTGACTGGCCAAGCGATGTCGTGAGCCTCGCCGACTACCTCAACATTGATCGATTCAGTGTGTTAGGTGCTAGCGGAGGCGGACCATATGCTTTGGCTTGCGCACGCTTCATCCCCAAAGAGAGACTCCGAGCGACAACTGTCGTATGCGGCATTGGACCTATCGAGGCGCTCGTAGACTTTGCACCATATCTCCCATGGCACGCCAGAGACATAACGCTATGGCTGCTACGCCAGGGAGCCCTCCACGTCTTTCTGCCACACGTCCTCATTCGCCCCTATCTTACTAGGGACCCTTCTCGTCTTAAGCGCGTCCTCGAAGACCAGGCTAAGACTGAAGAAGAGAAAGAGCAGTTTCGTGACGAAAAAGGAGAAACTAATCTCGATGATGTTGTTGCATCACTACTTGAGGCCTTCAAGCAAGGCTCTGGTGGGTGCATGCACGACGGCGCTGTACTTACGGAAGATTGGGGCTTTGACTTGAAGGACGTGGACAACGAGCGAGTGTGGCTAATACATGGCGATCAAGATGCGCAGGCGCCATTGAAAGGTGCGCAGTGGATTGATGAGCGGTTGGGGGGCGGGAAACTCAAGATCCTGAAAGGCAAGACGCATTTCACAATTTGGAAGGAACACTCGGAAGAGATATTTCGGCAAAGCGCTGAGGCGTAATCGAGTCGCAACGAGAGATCGGGGTACGGATTGTGCTGTAGAGGGTTGTTTTCCAAGGCTTGGTAGTGCAGGGCGTAATGCGCAGGCAGTCTGCGTTGCTGTTCCACCGCATGTCCGATTCTGTCACTCGGATTTGCGGACCTGAGGTCGGCTCTAGACTTCAGCACCAAGAATGTCTCCAGTTTCCAACATAGTCATGTAGGTCTTCCACTGGGTGTGAAGGTGATATAGCAGTATACACACATATATATATACTGTATGTTTGCTGCTTTCCAGCAACCATAAAGTGCGACAGCTTCCCTAGCATACCATCTGAGAATCTTCACAATCACAATGCATTTTTCCATATTCAACCCTACCTTGTTGGCTGCGGGTCTGCTCATCACCGCCGCATCATCTGCACCATCTTCTCGTCTATCGCCTTCATGGACACCACTTGCCCCTATCCCACTTTCTCCTCGCCAGGAACAGACCACTGTATTCGTTCCGCCGTCCACTATCGCAATCCTCGGCGGCGTTGTCCCGTCCAACACTTCGTTTCCACCTGTAGACACTATTTCGTTGATGCAGTTCTACTCGATCACGGACGATATATGGACCACCAAAGCCGACATGCCACGAGGACTAAATCACGCCAATGCCGCTGTGGTGGATGGAAAGATATATGTCCTGGGCGGTCTGGCGGAGACAGGGGAAGCAGGGGAAGGAAAGAGGGTGTGGGGCGCAGTGCCCGACTCTTGGGTGTACGATCCTGTCACTGATTTATGGAAGACGATACCAGGTGTACCCGCCGGGGAAGAAAGAGGCAGTGCAGCCGTCGGTACTTACCAGTCAAACATCTATCTCGCCGGCGGCATGACGGAACTTGAGCTGTTCGAGAACGGCACTCAGAATAGCGTCTCAGTTGTTTCCATCTTCGATACTAACACGAATACGTGGCTCTCCGTCCCTGAGGCTGCAAAGTATATACCAGAAGCCCGAGATCATGCAGGTGTGGCAGTGGTAGGCGCAAAGATGTATGTTCTAGGTGGACGAGATGACGGACAGGAGAACATTCGCGACACGGTCTTTGTTCTTGATCTCTGTGATCTCGAAGCCGGTTGGAAGGCTAGCGCGGCGCGCATGCCTACTCTTAGGGGCGGTGTTGCGGCTGGTGTAATTGGAAAGAATATATACGTCTTTGGCGGCGAGGGCAATGCACAGTCGAAAACTGGGGTGTTTGATCAGGTTGAGGCATACGACACTGTCTGGGACCGATGGGTGAAAGCTGGGAGAATGAGGCTACCTAGACACGGAACCTACGCTGCGAGTGTGAACGGCAAAATTTACATTCCTGGGGGTGGCGTAAGTCAGAGCGGTGCGCCAGTGTCTGACTTCGACGCCTTTGTGTTGTAAACCTGGATGATGGCATGATAAGGAACCGATAGCCGGTTGCGACCGGCGTGAAATGACTCGAACCAGGAATGTCCTTGGGACAGCATTTGTGATGGTTTGAGTGGAGGGAAATGCTGAGACGACAAGCTGGTTTCCAGACGACGACGGTCTTGCTTCAATCACTTGCAAGAGTTGGAATGTCGGTATGGGGTAGACAACTCGCTTTACTACACTATATCGTGCGAGAATCTAGTCAACATACTCCTTCTTTTACTCAAGTGCATCATGAATCTATGCGCACAGTGAGCATCGAGCGGTGCTAGCTTTTGGTTAAGTCTGAAACAGAATACCGGTTATAAGGCCCACGACAGCCCAGGGGAAGGCATCTAGAAGCCTGGGGCCTAGAAGAAGTGGGGTTTCGCGTAAGATTCGCTGCCAACGGAAACGTCTGCGGGAAAAGCTGCTACGTGCAGTGCCTATGGTGTTCCCTTACTCGTGGGTAACGTGTTCGCGTTCTGCCGAACTGCTGCCGACGCCACAAATATAGTATTGAAATGTGTGAGACAGATGCTCGTGTTGGAGTCAAAGTAACGGGTAACCGGATATCATAGAAGCAAAGGCTTGTTTAGATTAAGGTGAAATATATGATACTAGTTTCACCGTCTGACATTTCTGGGTTGCTCGCTTGTGATGTGCCGGTGGTAAGCAGGAGGTCTTGCTTCGGCAGATCTCAGTCCGTCCGGAAGGCGATAGGAATTCAATGAATACCATCGTTCATGGTCGCAATAGAGTTCGACGATCAACTATAGCTTTGCGATGGATACATGCGCGACGATGATCTTTGCGGAGCGTGGTAGCCGCAAGAAGCAGGAGACAGTTCAGAAAAGAGGTAGCGTGGCTGATTTAACGCTAAAAGAGGAACCTCGGAACGAATTCACCACCATCAATGTCACCACCAGGATCATTAGTCCATCAATCTCGCAACTACCACAACCTCCATGAAATGCTCTATTCGCCTTATGCGCCTTCGCCATTTCTCTTTGTAGTTGCGAGAGCGAGAATTCCACTGCCGAGACTGCTTGTTATTATGCCGCGCCACAGAATCAGGCCTTTGGCTAGGCACGTTTCAGTATCCGTGCCGTAGCCTTGGAATCGCCTCAGGCGTTTAAGCATTACTGGGCAGGTACGGATGTGGCGCTTGTCACCAACTACACAATTTCCAAGCCGGCCGCTTTCCGACGCACTTGCATGCCCCCTAGCACCACCCTGCACCTACACGTGCTGTCCTCACCCGTACGATCCACCAGTCACATATCGCGGTTATCCCTTGAGACGTGAAACACCATCTGCACCCCTCACGCTAGATTGCCTGCTAGGCATGCTCTGAGCAAATTCTCCGTACCGGCTTCTTAATGCACATACCGAGATTCACGTTTCCACCACTGAGAAAGTGGACTATGCCAGCACTGTCAATTTCGTCTGTTCACGTCTGGTCCATGCCAAAGGTTTCGGGATGGTCCATATTGGGATGTTTCTCAGGGTTGATATATACCACCGGTAATATATAGGTTGTTTACCAGCCGCAGTTGTTTCGTTTCCATCAACACTCACATTCAAGCTTTCCAAGCCTTTTCTCTTCCGCTCGCTACCAATCGCCAGGATGCGTTACTCTATTGTTGCTTCGTTGCTTTCGGCTGTTACCGCAGTCTACGGCTATGCCGACCCCATGGCTTGCTCTGGTATCTGCAACAATGCTCACGATCCAGCCCTGATCCGTCGCTCTGATGGCACCTACTTCCGTTTCTCGACTGGTGGAAAGATTGCTATCCACAGCGCACCTTCGATCACTGGCCCCTGGACCTACAAGGGTGCCGCGATTCCGAAGGGTTCCAAGATCAACTTGGCTGGCAAGGACGATCTCTGGGTAAGCACTAGCGTATATCTATATAGTTGAAGATAAGCTGACCAAACTCAGGCTCCTGACGTTACCCTAGTCGGTGACACATACTACCTTTACTACACTGTCTCCTCTTTCGGTGTCCAAAACTCTGCCATCGGTGTTGCGACCAGCAAGGACCTCAGCACTTGGACCGATCTCGGCGCAACTGGCATCCAATCGAGCGCTGGAAAGAACTACAACGCCATTGATGGTGCACTTTACTGGGACGGATCGAAGTTCGTCATGTCCTTCGGTTCGTTCTGGAACGACCTCTTCAGCCAGAACATGGCCAACCCACCCGTGAAGACCAGCTCTTCCACAGTCACAAACATTGCCTTCAAGCCTGACGGCGAGCATGCTCAGGAAGCTCCGTTCATTGCTAAGAACGGCAACTACCACTACCTCTTCTTCTCCGTTGGCAAGTGCTGCGGCTTCGATACCAACAGGCCTGCTAAGGGTCAGGAGTACAAGATCCAGGTCTGCAGGTCTACCAGCGCCACTGGTGGCTTCAAGGACAAGAGTGGTAAGGACTGCCTTCAGGGTGGTGGTACCACTGTCTTGGAGTCCCACGGCTGGGTTTACGGACCTGGTGGTCAGGGTGTCTACTACGACCCCAAGGAGGGACCTGTCCTGTACTACCACTACGTCGACACCCGCATTGGTTACGGCGATGGTCAGAAGAAGTTCGGTATCAACAAGATCGACTTCTCCAGCGGATGGCCTGTCGTATAAGCGTTTGTCGCAGGTCCGGCACAGACTATTAGCCCAGCGTAAGCTGCGTCTCCGTCCACTTTGGGCACCTTCTTGTCTATATTTTCACAAATACTCTCACTGTACATACTTACAGAATACATATGCATCTGCCAACGATTCCACCGTCTTTGACAGCCTACCTCGGTGATTTGTGATGTATAGGACTATTGAGCTACCTTGCCCTGTACAATCAGCAAAAAGATTTTCAATATCGGTAAGCACCACTACCGTATTAACGATGCTGCCCATTGAATTTGCACAGAGCTATAGTAGTAGCTGCGGATGTACTTGGTACTTCGAGAAGATATGGCCGGCGAGGAGTTGCTGAAATGGTGTTCAAGATAAGGGGCTGCGCTTCGGTCCACGTCGAGCGCATAAGGTTTGCGTCACCAGCCCAGCCACAGCCGAGCAGCCACAGCCACGCGTCCACAACAGGTGCAGGAACCTCTCAGAGCACTGCAAAACGTCGCGTCATGCTCAAAGTATCCCCTGTTTGCTCTCCACACACACCCGAGGTATTTTTAGATTCCACGATATATATCATATGTATCAAGGTTGCTCTGCGCGGCCTCGGCAAAACCTATCGCGATGCGTTCAAGTACCATAACTCGGCCTATTGTAAACCGGATCTGCACGATCTGCCTCCGCATACGCATTGACTGAATTTCTCTTCAGTCATACCAAGAAACCCGCACGCGCTTTACGAGGAGCGCGTCGCGATGCCAGACACCAAACTCACGAGCTTTCCACCATCCCAAAATTCCAACAGCTTCCGATATCGGCCGCTGGACCCCTCAGAGGGTGAAGATATTCGCCTCTTGTGTCTCTACCCTGGCGAATCCCACGAACCTATCCGATGCGACCTTCTCCACGCGAACCTGGACGATGACATCGAATACGAGGCTCTCTCGTATACCTGGGCCTCCGAAGATGGGGACGCTAGCTTATCGCAGCGCATCAGCTGCGCTTACTTTGGAGAGGAACAAGTCTCTGATCTGCCAGTAACATCAAGCTGTGCGTCTGCATTGCGCAGGCTGAGGTTGATTTCACAAGAAAGAATGTTGTGGGTCGATGCACTCGCTATCGATCAAAGTAATCTGCAAGAGAGGAACCAACAGGTTGCGATTATGGCAAGGATCTACTCGGGCGCGTCACAAGTTTTGGTCTACCTAGGAGAGGAAGATTTAGGATTCGGCTCGCGCACTCTGTGGATGGACACCGAGAGACGTCAGACCGCGCTGAAGAAACTTTTCGCAAAGAGATGGGCCTCACGAGTGTGGGTGATTCAAGAAGTAGCACTGGCGCAAAAGTTAACGATGGTCACGGGGAATGCATCCTGTCCTATGGATGCCAATCTGATGAGCCGTATCCGAGGTAGAGCCAAAATATCCAGACTGCAAGTCCCTGGCCCATTAGCTTGGGATCCGCTAGTCAGTGCTCCGACGAGGGATCTACTCACGATGTTACAAATGACACACAACTGCTCGTCTACAGATCCCAGGGACAAGGTGTATGGTCTTTTGGGCTTGGTTGGCGAGCGCCTGCAGAGCCTCATTGAGATCGATTACTCGCAAACCGTGGAGGAGGTAATGACACGTGCGGCCGCCGCGATCATCATCTGCAGAGAAGACTTTGAGATATTAGCATACGCGTCACTCAGAGCTAGACCCGCGCAAAAGCGCTTGCCGACTTGGGTACCGGACTGGGCAGAATTTGATGGCGAAATTACGCTGCGTCCTCAATTCCAAACATCAAAGATAGGTCCCTGGTCATCTCTAGAGAAGTTGATGGGGAGCAGGTCATCGGATCGTCGGCTCAGCGAGATAGATTGGGGAGCAGTGGTCGATATACCTGCAAGCTGGCCAGTTAGCCTCTCTTCGAAGCCGTCCGTGGAAGTTCGTGGACACTGCCTCGCGACTATCGACAGCACAACCAAGCAAGAGCATGGGAGTTCACAATGGCAAGATGCCCAGGATTTTGGCGACAGCTTGGGGGCTCTGATCGAAGATCATTCGACGCCTAAGGATTTCGATATGCGGTTATGGCCTACACGATTCCAGTGGCTCTTCAATCCCTCTTACATGCGCCTTGATGACTCGCAACTGCAGCCAGACAGCACCTCGGCTATGAAGAGTTTTTCAAATCTCCATTGGGCCGGCCTGCAACAGTTTTGCACTGAGCTTCAAACACTGGGGAAGAACAAATACATCTTTCGAGCTGAATATCTACCTGCGATAACGAACCATGACTTCGATGTAGGCGATACTGTATGGGCAGTCGATGGCTGTACAGTTCCACTGATTCTCAGACCTGATAATCATGCAACACAGGGCGATGCCAGTCGCCGAAGTTATACGATCGTTGGTGACTGCTACCTGTTTGCGTTGTCACATATGGATTGCTGGACGACATCAGGAACGGGACTTGATCAACGATGGGATTTCAATCCGTTCCGCCATATGGATGCGTTAGGAACACAAAGAATCAATCTACATTGATGCGCACAGTCCTATACTCATCGGAGAGCCCAGTCTCAGCCTGACGTGACTGGTAATCACCGATTGGTCAAGCACAGCCCGCACCATGCATGCACTATGCCACCACAAAAAGACCAGACTCCGCTTGCTGCCATCCCCTATAACTCGAAGTCGCTACACTGACGTTCGTCCGATATGGCTTAACACTCCGAACGGATGCGCGACTCTTGTAAGACAGCTACGAATCACGATGACCGAATCCCTGCGCAAACATCCAGATGTACGCAAGTTCGACGGAATAAGGTGCTGCCTAAGCTGTGGCGAGGCGGTGCTCGAAACCTTATCTTCAACATCCCGCATTCACACAAGTGATGCAACTGCTTCTTATCAATACACAAAGCTGAATTACAAACTCGGTCGCCAGATCCGGCTTCTTCGTCTTCTTCCAGGCAGTCTTGGGGATGAGATTCGATGCGATATCACACATGTAAATTTGGATGACTACCCTGTGTATGACGCTGTCTCATATACATGGGCCACTACAAATGGAGACGCAAGCCTCTGCAAGTCGATATATTGCGGGCATGGCAATGCCATCAATATTACTGCGAACTGCCATGCTGTTCTTCTTCAACTCAGGCGGTCAGAAAGGCGACCGCTTTGGGTTGACGCAATATGTACGTATCAAGCTATTTCGAACAGCAGCAAGACCCGTACTAATTTCTCGGACTAGGTATTGATCAGACCGACATCAACGAACGCAATCATCAAGTCAGGTTCATGGATTCAATCTATTACCAAGCTCGCTGTGTTCACGTATGCATCCATGATCCTTCGCCAAGGACTCCGTTACCATACTGGCGATCACCAGACTATCATCAGTTATTCCGTTGGCTGCGTGACGATGGGCCTAGTAAAGGCTTTGACACTGAAACTTCTCTCGCCTTAGACCTACGAAGTCTTCTCTCGTTACCATACTTCCGTCGGATCTGGGTCATCCAAGAAGTGGCCTTAGCCCGAGCTGTGTGTCTGCGTGTGAACGACCAGGCGCTTCAAATGACTGCCGAAGTCATGAGTCGCTTGACATGTCTTTGCAAGCATGAGTTTGCGAGCTTTGAGCTGCCCAGCGTTCTGCGGTGGTCTTTGGATCAACATACTAAGCTCGATATCGTTACTTGTCTCGGCGCAGGCCTGAGGTGTGACGCCACGGATCCACGCGACAAAGTCTACGCAGTTCTGAGCTTGATGGAGTCTCGTATCAGATCGCTCATACCTGTCGACTACTCCCTGGACCCTGCGACCGTCTGGAGTAATGCTATAACAGCTGTTATTATAAGCCAAGGGAATCTAGACATCTTATCATACATCGGCGTTTTAGAACGAATGCAGGGAGGAAATCAATTCCTGAGCCGGTATCATTTTGAGGCGCACCAGATGTCTCAAGACTACGACGCTTCCTGTCCTCTCACCTTAACTAGTCTCGAAGAGCATCACGCGACTCCTTGGTGCGCCACATTAGTAATGTCGCCATCAGATCATTCGAACACTTCTCAGCAATCAACTACCTTCTTTATCACAGGGCCGCCTGTAGATTACATATACAGAAGCTTGCTGCCGCAATTCTGTGTACGCGCGCATTATATTGACAGCGTCGACGTAACAAGCCTTACTATCTCCCCTCCTGGCTCGGACGGCCCAATTCCCGACATAAGCTCTGGATCCGGTTGCAAAAGCCTTTGCACAGACCACTGGAATCGAACATTGTTCGAAGATATCAAAAGCAGTGAAATTTGGCCGCTTGCAGCTTTCTTCAAGGCGGATGTTGACGACGTATCCGCGACTAGCCTTCTTGTACCTCTACACGTGACCTCTGGCTTCAAATCTGATATAAAATCCGGCAGAGTTGCTCACCAGAACACATCTAAGTACCGCTCGACTGTTCACGACATTCAAGATGTTCAAGCGCGGCCACGCTTGGTCAAGGACGACCCCAGCATCGCAGCTGCAGACTTATCGAAATTCCTCGAAGTTTGTAAATACTCAAGAGGCAGCAATCAATTATTCACCAGTCACTTTAGTGTCGGCTTCGCAGGTTCTAGGTCCAGTACTCAAGCCTCGTATAAGACAGCCCGGAACAAGATAATGATGCAGCTTGAGCAAGGCGACAGGATATTTGCGATCGATGGTGCAAGGACGCCCTTCATCTTGCGTCGAATTGGACTATCAAGTGATCGATACAGAATTGTGTCTGAGTGCTATCTATGGGCGGCACTAGAGCTTGATTGCTGGAACCCAGGGACTAGGAAGGGATGGTGGGGGCCGGGGGTTGTGAGACCTACTAGCAAGCAGACACGCATGATCAACGTATGCTGATACGAATCTATGTTGAGTTGACAGGCCCAGTAAAGAAATGCCATGCATCTATGTATCCCGCGACAATTCAAGAAAGAGAACATATAAAACAAGGTGGGACTGCAGGGTCAACAAGCTAACAGAGAAATGACACTGTTCTGGTTGTATGGGTATCATCTCATCTGATAAGTCAGTTCTCTGTAGCAGATCGATCATTGACATAAAGCTGACGCGATGGCATCGTGTAGCACGTCAAAGCATAGACATCGGGACGGCGTTGTAAGATGTAGCCCGATCGGGTCGGAGCGCCCATGCACTCCACTCATTTTCGATAGTCGACGTTGTAGCAACGTCCTCGAACTGACACTATCGATGTCTGAAACCATGTGCATGCGATGTATATTTCCTGCCTGGGCAGATGCGACGAACTGCTTGTTGTCAGACTAGCGTGTATAAATGACGTATAGATGATGCTCAACCATACTGTATGCTCTACATCCTCAGAAACCTTACTGAAGATCATACTCCTCCTTAAAATACTGCATCCCTATACAAATACATCCTTAACCATGTCGCATCAAGAGAACACCAAGAACGTACCCGAGGAACACCAAGTTCACAGGACAGGTTCCTGGCTCCCAGCAGACCACCGCGTCCACAAGAAATGGCTATCAGGCATCATTGAGCGGGTAGAAGGCAACCCCAAAGAGCTGCATCCTGTGTTGCGAGAGTTCAAGGATCTAATCGAGAACAACACACGTATCTACATCCTGGTAAACTCCATGTTTGAAGAGATTCCTACGAAGAAGCCGTACAAGAACGATCCCGTGGGCCATAAGCAGGTCAGGGATTACCATCACATGTTGGAGCTGTTCAACCATATTCTTACAACAGCACCGGAATGGAGTGACCATGAGTACTCTATTGGGATGGTGGGAACCCCTTTCAATGCCATCTTGGACTGGCCAATGGTGAGTATATATGCTCGAGCCGCATTCAGAATGCATGTTAATCGCATTGCATAGGGTACACCATCCGGCTTCGCCTTCTTTCTAGATCCCGAAGTCAACAAGATGATCAAGAAGGTACTCAACGCATGGGCAGAGTTTCTCGACTCGCCAGCATCAGCATATGTGCTCGGTACTGATAAGATCGGCTGGCTCAGCGAACACGGCACTCACGATCTCGCATTGACAGCCAACATTGGCCAAACGTCTCACTCTTTTGAAGAGATGTTTCAATGTGACCCATCCAAGGAACATCATGGTTACAAGTCATGGGACGACTTCTTCACCCGCCACTTTTACGAAGATAAGCGACCTGTTGCCAGCCCTGAAGACGACAGCGTCATTGCCAACGCATGCGAGTCGAAACCGTACAAGGTTGGACGCAACGTCTCCAAGCGTGACCGCTTCTGGCTGAAGGGTCAACCTTACTCACTCATGGACATGCTCGCCATGGATCCGCTGCACGAGCAGTTCATTGGCGGTACCATCTACCAGGCCTTTCTATCTGCAATGAGCTACCACCGCTGGCACGCGCCCGTCAGCGGCAAAGTCGTAAAGTCATACCTCATTGAAGGCACATACTTCTCGGAACCACTTTTCGAAGGTCTCGGTGATCCCTCAGCCAAGGGTGGCATCGATGAAGAAGGCGAGAAGACCGGCCAAGGTTACCTCACTGCAACTGCCACACGCGCCATCATCTTCTTCGAGGCAGATAACAAGGATCTTGGCCTGGTCTGCTTCATGGGTATCGGCATGACTGAGGTTTCAACATGCGATACCACTGTCAAAGTGGGACAACACGTCAAGAAGGGTGATGAGATAGGTATGTTCCATTTTGGTGGAAGCTCTCATTGTATACTATTCAGGAAGGGTGTGGAGTTGGAAGGCTTTCCGGATACACAGAATGTGGAGCACAATATGCCTGTGAGGGCGAAGCTGGCGACTGTGAAGAAGGCTACGTGAGAAGCCTAATTGAAAGGCAGCAGCGGATCAGCTCAAAATGCTGATCGGCCCTCAAAATTCTTATACAACCTATCCGTACCGAAATTTAATTCTTCCAAAAACGATAGCAAAGAGTGTCAACTCGTCAGATGTGTCAAGTGCTTAGCCTCCAGTGCTGAATTGAGAGGAGCCGTTCCAATCGGGGAGTACGTCATACGGTGAGCGCCAACTAAGATATCTAGAATGCAGCATAATGATGAATGACTATGCAGTCGGAAGAGGACCAAGTCCAAATTCGAGTATCTGTGATGCAAAAGATGTGCTTGCTCCAGGATGCGGGAGGCTGAGGCTCTTCGGCGGATGTTTGGACCTAGCGTAAGGCGGTGGCCAAAGCGCCCCAGCTCCGAGCGTGGATCTCTACATCACTGACGAGCCGCAACACCACCAAACAACGTCGCCGCCCCATCCCACACTTTCCTCTCTCACATTCGACACTTCCATCTGCAGTCTCTGCTTTACTTGGGAGCAAGTGAATACCCCGATATCCAATAAATATACACGACGACCCCGCCACCATGTCTAGCGGAGAAGTGCTCAAGGCCGACAAGGACTTTACCAAGGAAGTCGATGCGGCTATTCCAGAGGCGGAGAAGCTAGCTTCTGTATGTTCACTGGCTCCCGAAAGTGAAGCAAAGCTAACGTAGTTGATCAGAGCAATCCGCAAGCTGGCATCGATAAGCTGCTCACGCTCGAGAAGCAGACCCGCCAGGTACACGACTCGCAACCTTGTGCGCATGGGCATGTATTGACCTTTTCCAGGCCTCAGATCTCGCCTCCACTTCCCGAATCATAATCGCCATCGTCACAATAGCAAAGAATGCGAAGGACTGGAACTTGATGAATGAGCAGGTCCTGCTCCTCTCCAAGAAGCATGGACAGCTTAAGCAAGCCACCACCAAGATGGTACAGACAGTCATGGGGTTCCTAGATGAGACACCCAACCTCGAGACAAAGCTATCAGTCATCGAGACACTACGGACAGTTACTGAGGGCAAGGTAGGCGGCACTAACGGATGGGACACGTGCTGTTGCTGACACAGTAACAGATCTTTGTCGAAGTCGAACGCGCCCGAGTAACCCGCATCCTGTCCAACATCAAGAAGGAGCAAGGCGACATCGACTCAGCGACAGACATTCTGTGCGAGCTGCAAGTCGAGACGTTTGGCTCCATGACCCGCCGCGAGAAGACGGAGTTCATCCTACAACAAGTCGCGCTATGTATACAGAAGGGCGACTGGACACAGGCTGGTATTCTGAGCAGGAAGATCAGCACAAGGTATTTTGCCCGGAGACCGAAGAAGACTCCCGAGCAGCTTGAGAAGGACCAGAAGGAGCGGGAGGAGAAGGAGAAGAACCGAAGCCCCGAGGACCCGCCCATTGAGCCAGAGGACGATGTAACGGATCTGAAGCTCCAGTACTACGAGCAGCAGATCACCTTGGCGAAGCACGACAACAAGTACCTGGACGTTTGCAAGCACTACCGACAAGTATTGGACACCGAGGCTGTGGAGGAGGATCCTAACAAGCTCCGAGCGGTAGGTTTAACATCTGAATATTTCTTTAAACTATTACTAACGTAAGTGTAGATCCTTCAGCGCGTCATCTACTTTATCATCCTCTCGCCGTACGATAACGAGCAGTCCGACCTCATTCACCGTATCCAGCGCGACTCTCGCAACTCTCAGATCCCACAAGACGCACAATTAGTTAAGCTCTTCACTGTGCCCGAGCTTATGAGGTGGCCAATGGTAGCTAAGCAGTTCGGACCTCACCTTACAGAGACGGACGTATTCGACGCGGAGAAGGACGACTCGGACGACCCCAAGGCATTCCAGAGATGGCAAGATCTCCGAAAGCGTGTTATTGAGCACAACGTTCGCGTTGTCGCCAAGTACTACACGCGCATCCAGATCCCGCGTTTGACAGAGCTGTTGGATCTCACCGAAGATGAGACAGAGAAGAACATTAGCGAGCTAGTGTCTGCGAAGACCATCTACGCCAAGATTGACCGACCTGCCCGGATCGTCACGTTTTCGAAGCCTAGGGATGCCGATGATGTGCTGAACGAGTGGAGCGGAAACATGAAGAGCTTGCTGGGTCTTCTCGAGCGTGTTGATCATCTCATCACCAAAGAGGAAATGATGGCGCGCATCCAGCCTACCAAGGTGGACAAGAGCAAGGCGATCAAGGGCAAGGCGAAATAGGAGTCGCGAAGATCCTCAGGTCTCCTCAAGACATGCGTGCAAGACGGACTGCATTTGGTTGTGTAATGGCCTTGTGAACTATAACGCTGATGATGATGCATGGAAGTGGGTATGATAGTCTACGAATGGGCGCGTTTGCAAGCAGACCCTGAAGGTCGAGCTTGTACCGATGCGCTGCCTGCGTTGGACATGTCGCATGGCTGACCTCGACACGCTACGAAAGATAGAGTACCTGTGCATTTGCCATAGGATAACAAAATAAATCAAAGCAATAGCTACAACGAAGACACTCCGACTGAATTGCTGTGTTACTATCACTGATGTGATCGCTTTTGTTCATGGCACATGTAGCAGCTAAATGAAGCACCCGCGCGTTGCATCATCTGCCAAGACACTTAAGTACAGACGCGGACTAGCGCAACGCGTCCGACGCGTCCCTTCCTTCCCCGGAGTATGGCAGTTACAGCCGTTGATAGTCTCACACTCTCATTACTTTCACCCCCCACACTGTAACACCACGATAACCATGGCTCGCGGCGTCGAAGGAAATGAGATGTCAACGCCTCGCGCTTCACAAAAGAAGCAGCCCGCCTCCGCGTCGCAATCGGCAAATGGCCAAAAGTCCATTTTGGGTTTCTTCCAAAAGAAGTCTACCAACTCACCAAGCCCCGCGCCATCCGATGCCACACCGGTCAACAAGACTCCAACATCAAAATTGGCCAAGAAGGCGTTCAATGATCCGCCCGCAGCCATCACACCTGTGCCGAGCAGCGATGCCCCCGACTACTCGAGTCCCATCAAACAAGAACATGAGTTGACAATAGGAAGAGGAAGGAACAAGGAGAATGGTGTGTTATTACGTGTCCTCAAATTGGATTCCGGAACTGACAGCGTACTACCAGAGCCCGCAGATGTCACTCCCAGTAGCCCAACACGCAAGGTACGTGCAACGTGCCATTGTGCATTTTGACCGCACTCGTTAACGTTTTCACACAGGCACGAAAGCCGGTCAACTATGCCGAATCCGATGACGAAGAAGAGGACGTATTAGGTCCAATTGCGAACAATGCTAGAGGCAGAGCGACGAAGCGCCAGCGGGTCGTTGTCGACGACGATTCAGACGACGAATTCGGATTAGACGCGGCCACACAGAAGGCTATGCTTGAGGAAGAAGACGAGGACGACTTGGAAGACTTCGTTGTTGCAGATGATTCTGACGAGGAGGTTGTATCGAAGAAACGCAAACGTTCAGCAGCGCCTAAGAGTCGTGTCAGGTCAGCTCCCGCATCATCACCGCCTATAATCGAGGCAAAGGACGATGAAGAAGATGGAGACGTTGTAATGACTAGCACGTCGACTGCACAACAATGGATCTACGATCCCGAGAACCCGATGGTCTTCAAGCCCCGCACGTCCATACAAGCGACCAAGAAGGACCCCAGTAAGAAGACGAAAGAGCGACCAAGCGCATCAGAGCCTGAGACGAGATATTCATGGCTCGCGCACCAAATGGACGCTGATCGGCATCCAGTCGATCACCCAGACTACGACCCCCGTACACTTTATATCCCTCCGGGCGCTTGGGGCAAGTTCTCAGCTTTCGAGACGCAATATTGGGAGATCAAGAGCAAGTGGTGGGATACCGTTGTCTTCTTCAAGAAAGGCAAATTTTACGAGCTCTACGAGAAGGACGCCTCGATTGGCCACCAGCTCTTCGACCTCAAGCTGACTGATCGGGTCAACATGAGGATGGTGGGTGTACCAGAAGCTTCGCTGGACATGTGGGCAACACAGTTTGTAGCGGCAGGACACAAAGTTGCCAGAGTCGACCAGATGGAGTCGGCTTTGGGCAAAGAGATGCGGGAACGCGACGACAAGGGCAAAACTCCGAAGAAAGCTGGCAAAGAGAACAAAGTGATTCGAAGAGAGCTCGCTACAGTACTCACATCCGGTACACTTGTGGACACAGGCATGCTTCAAAGCGAAATGTCCACATATTGTATGGCTATCAAGGAGATCGACCGCAATAACCTGCCAGCGTTCGGAATAGCGTTCGTCGACACTGCTACTGCTCAATTCCAACTCTGCGAGTTCACCGACGATGTCGACATGACGAAGTTCGAAACCCTCATTGCGCAGATGAGACCTGGCGAGTTACTCCTGGAAAAGTCTTGTATATCTGCGAAAGTTCTACGAATACTCAAGAATAATACTCCACCCACAACGATCTGGAACTACCTGAAGCCTAACAAGGAGTTTTGGCCAGCGGATATCACCATTCGCGAATTGGAAGCGAACAACTATTTTGAGTCACCTACAGAAGACAATATTGAGGCTTGGCCGCCAGTTCTCCGCGAAGCTCGAGAGCAAGAACTGGTCATGTCATCATTCGGTGCTCTTCTACAATACCTGCGGTCGTTGATGATCGAGCGCGATCTTGTCACACTTGGAAACTTCCAATGGTACGACCCCATACGGAAGGCTACCAGTCTGGTTCTTGATGGTCAAAGCTTGATTAATCTGGAGATATTCGCCAACACATTCGACGGATCAACTGAAGGCACTTTGTTCGCCATGCTCAATCGCTGCATTACTCCGTTCGGCAAGCGATTACTCAGGCAATGGGTATGCCACCCTCTTGCAGATGCGACCAAGATCAACGCACGTTTGGACGCCGTGGATGCACTGAACGCCGACTCTACCATCATGGAGAATTTCAGCGCGTCTCTCAGTAAATTGCCAGATCTTGAACGTCTCATCTCTCGCGTACATGCGGGCCGATGTAGGGCGCAGGACTTTCTCAAAGTATTGGAAGGCTTTGAGCAGATCGAGTATACTATTAGCTTGTTGAAGCAATTCGGCGAAGGCGAGGGTCTTATCGGACAACTCATCTCCTCGATGCCTGATTTGGCTGCATCACTGGCAAAATGGAACTCAGCCTTTGATCGAGACATCGCCCGGAAAGAAGGACTTCTCATTCCTGAGCCTGGCATCGAAGAGGACTTTGATAACAGCCAGCAGGAGATCGACACTTGCAAAGCTAATTTGGATGTACTGCTGAAGAAGGTTCGAAAAGAGCTCAACTCAAACGCTGTTCAATATAACGACATCGGCAAGGAGATCTACCAGCTGGAGGTGCCCAAGAAGGTCAAAGTTCCCAACAGCTGGGACCAAATGTCAGCTACTGCCAAGGTCACTCGATACTACACACCTGAGCTTCGAAAGCTAGTACGAGCACTACAAGAAGCACAGGAGACGCATGGCCAGATCACCCGTGAAGTTGCTACTCGCTTTTGCCAACGCTTCGACGAGGACTACAAAGTCTGGCTCGCGGCCGTCAAGATCATTGCTCAGCTAGATTGCTTGATCAGTCTTGCGAAAGCATCTGCTTCACTCGGAGAGCCTAGCTGCCGTCCTGTTTTCGAAGATGGCAACCGTACTGTCGTTGAGTTTGAAGAACTCCGCCACCCGTGCATGCTCAATACAGTCGACGACTTCATCCCCAACGATATCAGGCTAGGCGGCGACTCTGCCAACATCAGTCTGCTCACTGGTGCAAACGCAGCGGGTAAATCTACCATCCTTCGCATGACTTGTATCGCGGTCATCCTCGCACAAGTGGGATGTTACCTACCTTGTACATCGGCCAGACTCACACCAGTCGATCGCATCATGTCCCGTCTCGGCGCCAACGACAACATCTTTGCTGCCCAGTCTACCTTCTTTGTTGAGCTCTCTGAAACACAGAAGATCCTTTCGGAAGCTACACCTCGCTCTCTTGTCATCCTCGACGAGCTCGGTCGTGGAACATCTTCTTACGATGGTGTTGCGGTTGCCCAAGCTGTTTTGCACGATATCAGTTCACGTGTAGGCTGCGTCGGTTTCTTCGCCACCCACTACCGATCTTTGGCCAAGGAATTCGAGTTCCACCCTGAGGTCGAGAACAAGCGTATGCGTATCCACGTCGACGATGCATCCAAGTCCATCACCTTCCTCTACAAACTGGAGCAGGGTGTGGCTGAAGGTAGTTTTGGTATGCACTGTGCAGCCATGTGTGGCATTCCGAACAAAGTCATTGAGAATGCAGAGAAGGCGGCTAGGGAATGGGAGCACACTAGTAGGCTGGGAGAGAGAATGGAGGTCAATAAGGATGAGGGCGGCGTGTATGTACCACTGGGTCTGCAGAGTGACGTTGCTTGGACGCTGAGGGAAGGCTTGGAGGGAGTCGGTGATCGGGCGCTGGATGTGCTGCTCGAGGCTATCTCCGCGCTATAAGTGTGTGGTGTCGTCCAGGGAAGTGTGTAAGATATGGTAAAAGGCGTAAGATGGTGGAGCTGGTCAGGCTTATGGGATATATTCATATGGGACTGGGTACCAGATGTCGGTTGATTTAGCATTCGCGCTGTAATTATGTACTGTTAGTTAGCGTATCGTATGTTAATTCAACCTTGTAAGAATGATATAGGAGCCTGATGATCTTCATGCTGTTTCGCACTGCCAACTATCACGCAGAAGTCTGTAAACTACTCGAGGGTTATATATACCGGAGTGAAATCGAAGCAAGTTATTCATGATGTAGTAGTAGTTATGCCGCACTATACGCAGGAGCGTGTACTAGGCAAATACTACTTGTAGTCGCCACAGCCTCAGGATGCTCTACCAGATGCTGTACCCATACCGCTAAACGCCTGACTGAGACCCATTTCTAAAGCACTACACGAACTTTTCGACTTCCTCCTCCACCCACCTTCCGGTCTTCAACCACCCCCATCCTGCTCCACATCTTAAGCGACCGACTTCCTGTATCCAGTAGCTGCACTCCTGCCTCCACCAACACCACCACCGAATTTCTCAATGCCATCAAGGAAACCGTAGCTTGCGCCACCACTACCGTTATCAAGGAAACCAGAACCTTGCTCGAAGCTCGGTTCCTCCTTCTTGACCTTGACCTTCTTGTCGCTCAGATCACCAAAGTCTTCGTCATCGTCACCGTCGTCATCGGCTGCCGAAACATCCTCGGAGGGCGATGAAGTTGGCTGACGGGCGCCCTTTCGGGCACGCTTGGCGGGTGTACTGGAAGAGGTAGGGGGACCACGCTTCTTAGGGGTAGAAGTTGGAGTAGACGTAGCCTTGCTACGACCCGGACCTCCGGCTTTCTTGGGGGTGGTGGGACCGTCTGTAGAGAGGGACTCGCCGAGGAGCTTGATCTTGGTCTTAATCTTGCCGAATGTTACGCCGGCGGAGCCGACGGTGTAACCGGTCAGGGAAGCCAGTTTGTGCATGTCGACCTAGGGATGGACGTGTTAGTATATGAGAAGAAAGGAAGACGATGAAGTGATAAAGAGTGTGTTGAGAGTGTTGGGAATTGACATGATGGTGATTGGGAGAGCTAGAGGTGGTACTGGAAAGTATATACCTTGGGCTGCGTCTCCATGCACTGCCAGGCGAGGGCGAGAACCTCCATCTCACGAGGTGAGAAGCTGACCTCTTTATTACCAGCCATGTTGATCTTGTTGTTTGGGTGTAGATATGATGTATGTTAAGTGTTTGCAAGTGCGGTGGGGCAAAAGCTATCGCGAGAGAGTAATGGAAGAGCGATGGAAGAAAAGACTGGAAGAGGCGGGGATACGTTGTTTATATGCTTTCCTACAGAAGTAGAAAGACCCTTAAAATCAGCGGTGAAGATGGCAGTTTGGTGAGATTTGAGCGCGTGGTGAGAGTGGCTAGGCAACCTAAAAGAGGAGAGAAAAGACGCCTTCGCCTTGTCTTTAAAGCTCTAATAGGAAACTGTAGGACAGCATAGCGCGCAAGTGAGTCTGGCTTGAAGATTTGTGCAATTCATATAGTATATTCTTGAGGGCAATTGGAGACGCCAGCACACCGCCGTGCTAAATCCTGCGCACTTCCTTACCCTGTAACTCGGGTCTTTCCACATCCAGCTCGTCCCTCAGTGCCGCATATAGCGAGTCTCCCAAGATGATCGATAATCCCAAACTCCAGACGAGTGTAATAGCGTAGAAGAAATTGGCGTTACCCGATCCAGCATAGATCCACAGATGGTAGAAGGCGGGGCCCAAGAATGACGTATATAGGATGCTCGCTGATGCCAAAAAGGTATAACGCATGACTGTGATATAGTTAGTTTTGTCGCGGTTTCACGGGAAAGGCAAATACTCACGAGGAAACAGATGGCGGAACATGGGCACCAAAGAAAGGTAGAGCGCAGCATCCGCTATGCTCGGGTATGGAGTGAAGATGGCAAAAACGCCGGTCAAGCAGCATGCCACGAACAATGGCTGCTTATGAAGTCGGATCGTCAGGCCAGGCATATACGACGCCGCGTGGAGCCAGAAGACGCCAAGGAAGAACTCGCGGAAGGAATCGAACATCTCAATGAAGAAATACCACCAGAGTCCCACGTTGGGTGTGAGATCCGGCAGGAGAAGACGCACACCGTATGTCGCCGACAGGAAGTCCCATGAATCCATTAACAATGCGGAGCCTGTGAGCAGGGCGCCTATTGCGCCTGCAAAGCCAACAGTATGGGTTGTGATGAAGGATGTGACATTTGGCGCAGTCTTGGACTTTAGTGTCTTTGCATCATAAAGGAGGACCATCAGCGGAGGGAAGAGGAGTATCGGGTGCATAGAGAAGTACGAAGCGAAAGCCGCGGATAGAATGAAGGTGAAGCTGGCGCCTTGGGAGGCCTTGGCCATGGCCGTGAGGATGAAGAGGTTCGTCAGGGCCGAGGTAGAGCGTGCGATGCATGTCAGAACGGTGAAGGGGTTGAAGAGGAAGCTTCGAGATGTTAGCATATGTTCTGTAGAGGAGTGTAGCAGTCGTACCCTGCTGCGACAGCCGTACTGCTCCATTTCAAGTCCTTCCGCGGCGAGGCGAACAGTCGCGTGACAGATGCGAAGCCGCTCTCTGCCACCTGAGCCAGTGCATTCGCGCTCAGTAGGTCGACGATAGTATAGAAGATGTTGGTGGCCAGAGGGGCCTGTGTCGGGCTCGGGAAGAGGGAGAAGAGAGGCAGCAGGAGGGGTGCCTGGTGGTATACGCCGCCGTCGTAGGGAGAGACATTATGGGTGTAGAGGAAGACGCCCTCTTGCACTATCACGTGTCAGTGATAGCATATACACTCCACGTCGGATACATACATCTCTTGAAGCTCGTCACTGGTGTTGACACCTCGACACGTCCGGCGAGGAGGTCTGGTAGTGCGGGAAAGACAGTGAAGAGGAGCAAGCGCACAGCTGCGGCGGCTCCGAAGAGCAGCAGCTTCTGCTGCGTGTTGTTCTGCTGCTTAACGGCCATGGTAACTCTCTCCTACACAATCATTGGCTCCATGGCGGGTCTTCACCTCGGCGCTGGTGTTCTGGCAAGATGCATGTTGGTGGACCCTGGTCGCGCGCTAATGCCGGATCCATGTCCGCTAGTTGGCCGCATCTCGAACTTTTTTGCGCCCGCCAAAAGTTCGACCATCTGCATCGACAGAATCGCGATTCTATACAGACAACACAATGGCCGGTCGCTCAAAAAAGAAGGGTATGCACGCCTACAACTGATCGAGACGTCTTTTTCGCTAACCAATCCATAGGCACCTCTGGTGCGGCCAAGAACTACATCACTCGTACGCGCGCCGTGAAGAAGCTTCAGATCTCGCTCCCGGACTTCAGACGACTATGTATCTTCAAGGGAATCTACCCCCGTGAGCCGCGCAATAAGAAGAAGGTCTCGCGAGGCTCTACCGCTGCCACCACCTTCTACTACACCAAGGACATCCAGTATCTCCTCCACGAGCCGCTGCTGGCAAAGTTCCGCGAGCACAAGGCTGTCGCAAAGAAGATTGGTCGCGCCCTCGGTCGCGGCGAGTCGGGAGATGCATCGCGCCTCGAGAAGAACCTCATGCCCAAGGTCAAGCTCGACCACATCATCAAGGAGCGCTACCCTACCTTTGTCGACGCCCTGCGTGACCTCGACGATGCTCTCTCTATGCTCTTCCTCTTCGCCAACCTCCCCTCGAGCGACCACGTCCCTGCGAAGACCATTGCCCTTTGCCAGCGATTGACCCGCGAGTTCGAGCACTACGTAATCACCTCCCACGCCCTCCGCAAGTCCTTCCTCTCTATCAAGGGTATCTACTACCAGGCGACAATCCAAGGTCAGGACATCCTTTGGCTCGTACCATACAGGTTCGTCCAGCGAACCGGTGGCGACATCGATTTCAGGATCATGGGCACCTTTGTCGAGTTCTACACCACTCTTCTCGGCTTTGTCAACTACCGCCTCTACACATCAGTCGGCTTGGTATACCCACCCAAGTTCAACGCAAAGAGCGACGAACAAGGTGGTGAGCTCGCTGCATTCCAGCTCGAGGGCAAGGCTACTGCCAACGGCGCGACCAATGGACACGATGAGGATGCCGAGATCAACCCCGAGGCACAGGCGATAGCGGACAGGATTGGAGCTATGTCTGATGTTGATGAGGAGGAGAGCACCACAGCTGTAGCCAAGGTTGCTACTGAGGACGATGAGGAGGAGGCCAACGACGAGATTGACAAGTTCGAGCCGACTGCGCCCGATGCCGACATCCTACCCCAGCCGCAAGCAAGCAGCGCTGAGATTGCTTCCCTCTTCGCGCCATTCACCTTCTACCTATCGCGAGAGACACCCAGAGCATCGCTCGAGTTTATATTGAAGGCATTTGGCTGCAAGAGAGTTGGTTGGGATGGAACTCTCGGCGACGGTGCTTTCACAACGAACGAGTCGGACCCGAACATCACACACCAGATTGTCGACCGACCCGCTCTATCCAACGGCGCGCCTAACGGAGATGACGAGGATGCTGCTGCTCCCAAGGTTCAATGGCCTTACTCCATGATGCCTGGACGCACCTACGTTCAGCCACAATGGGTTTGGGACAGTATCAACCAGGGCAAGCTATTGCGACCAGACCACTACTCCCCTGGCGCAGACCTGCCGCCGCATCTTAGCCCTTGGGTCAAGCCCAAGAAGGGCGAATACGACCCCAACCTTCCCCTCGCTGCGCAGCAACCAGAGGGTGAGGCCGAGGCGTTTGAAGACGAGGGTGACGAGGACGAGGAAGCCTTCGACGTTGACGGAGATGAGGACATGGATGCCATTGTTGACCGCGAGGGCTCAGTCGAAGTTGGCGAAGGCATGGATGTCGCTGACGACTCGGAAGATGACAGCGAAGAATCTGATGAGGCTGATGAAGGTGAAGAGTTTGACGGCCTCGACTCTGACGCTGAATCAGACATCTCAGAAGGAGAAGCTGCTCGTCTCCAGCATCAGCGTGAACTGGAAGCTGAAGCCCTTGGCAAGAAGCTCGAGGTCAAGAAGCCGACGAGGAAAGAGGAGAACGCCGCCATCCGCAAGAAGGCCGAGAAGAAGAAGCGCGCGGAAGAGGAGGAGCGTGAGAGGCAGAAGATGATGTTGTCCAACAAGAAGCGCAAGCTCCTCAAGCGTATCGAATACGGTGAAGACAAGCGTGCTAATGAATCCGAGAGCCTGCGCAGGAAGCGTGCAAAGGTCGAGAAGGCCAAGGCTGCTGCTGAGGCCATATAGGCCTGAGTGACATGTATACGATGCATCAAAAGCTTGGGCCGGCGTTCATTTGGGCAGGAGTTTTGGGCGCTTAACGATAACTCTATATGTTGCATGTAGTAAAATGCGATACCTATACTGGCTCCAAGTCATGGCCGTAGCTGTCTATACACACATCCTGACCAAGTATGCTGTGATTGGTGATGAGCATACGCACAGACGGGGGCTGTCAGACGGGTGGCGCAACCATCTTTAACCAGGAGACTCATCAATACTCGATGACTCAAGCAGAGGTATAACAACGACGCTTCTGCACCTACTGTGATCGATGCTCACATTCTAATTGCAGTAATATTTACATACCACCAACATCTTACCCAACAGCATGTAGTCTTACTTTGCTTGCAAACTCTGCACCATAATGGTTGAGCAACGCTATTGTCAAAACTCAACCACAGTTGACCGTGGAACGTCCTATCTATTTGGCATACATACCATGGTATAAGCCCATCTTCAAACCTGCGCGTCAGGTCAAACTCAAAATGTATGTCTTGTCCACAGCAGTCTTCTCTGTCTACCCTCCTCAGAAAACGCCATCAAAGGGTCGAACAACGTCCGCGGACTATCCTAGACACAAAGAGCTAAAACGAGAAGATGAACCCATAACGAGAGACCCGCATACATATATTAGTACCCGATCCACCATCGTCGCCGCTACCTAAAAGCGCAAAGTGCCGAGCCGCTGCCGAATAGCACCACTTCGGACGGAAAAATTGTTCTTGTCCAGATTTTTACTTTCTTCCAAGTACCAATAGCAATAGTTCTTGTCAAAGGTATAGAGTTCCTTGAAGCATGGCAGAAGCAAAGCTGACATGGTATGAGCGTTCCTGGTCATTGCTTTCACCTGGGGCAACAGGCTACGCTGTCACGTGATCTCGCGTTCACTCGGACAATTACTATTGTATCTTCAAGCCAATAGGCTCGGCTGTGGTCACCCAACTTCTGCTTGAAGATTGGCCCATCGGTGGTATCACGGCCTAGTCCGCTTCTCGCATCTATATCTCACTCTGCCGGACTCGATACCAGCAATTCGAAGTCAGCAACGCGACTATCGGCCCATCCTATCGAGCATTTGGAAATCCAGGTATCCACCTGCAACGCTCCAAGCTTCACCGAAAACGATCAGATATGGCCTCCAGTATGCCCTTGGCAACTCCTCTCTTCCCCAACCTCCCACCTGAACTCCGCAACGAAATCTACTCCTACCTTTCCATTCCCCCTTCCGACTCAATATCTCTAAACTCACACCTCCCTCTGGGATTAAAAACATTCACCTGCAAACATACGACCATCAACCTCATCCCCACGCACCACGGCTCAACCTCCCTGCTCTCACTCCCACGGGCCACTTTCCCCGAAAGTCTAGAATACTCTTCGCATCTCCTCAGCAACGCGATTACCCTTCAAATTGGAGTACATTTCCACGGACGCGTCAACAACTTCGTGCAAGTGGATTGGAACAAGAAAATTTCAACACATCTGAACAAACTGGCCAAATCTTTCCCATGGCTGAAAAAGGTGGCAAAGTACGATATCCAAATACTATGGGAACCAGTTGATGGGGCGCTCAAGAGTAAAAAAGGAAAGAGGGTCGCGGGTCAGATACCGCTTGATATGGTGGTGTGTCTGACGCAGCTCATGGATGCCGAGGTGAAGAGGAAACGGGGGGCTGTGAGCGTGGGTCTATGCATGGAACATTCGTTCGCAATCCAAAATGCGCTTGCTGAGCACAAGTTTGGATTGAACACGTTTCTCTTCAACAACGGCAGCGGGGATCATGAGTTTAAGAAATTTGTGAGGGAAGTAAGGATGACGGCACATGAGTATCATCTGCCAACGCATCCTCACCCAAGGTTTCTTGCCGTTCCTTCCCCCGGGGACTCGAAGGAGAAGGCATTAATCAGGGTGCAAGATGGTGTGGTTAGTTGGAGCGAGTGGACCAAGGGGCTGCTGGTTATGAGCAGGACGCTGGATGCGGAGGCGCCCAGAGGGAGTGTGCTTACGCAAGGGAAGGGCGAGGCGGAATTCCCAATGTGCCATCTCATGGCGGAGTGTGTGATGAGGTAGTGGAGACTACACTGCATCGTTGATGTCTGAACGAAAGATTATTGCTCACTGTGATGGCTACCAGTGGTTGTGCTGTAGTGGCCAGTAGCGATCGACTCTGTTTCTTGTATATATAGTCAGAGGTTCTGAACATACATAATTTCTCTCATCCTGCGACCAATTATTGCAAACACGACCCTATAATGAGTGTAACGATAGTTAAAAGGGTGTATCCGCCTCAGGTCCATCTACATTTTGTTCGCTTCGTCCTCCAGGTTCCTTGTCTTCCCTCTCCTCCATCCGGTATCTCTTTTCCACCTCCATCTTCTACCCCCCTTCTTCCCAACGGGTCTTCATCCGATTTCAATGCTGCCCCTACCATCGCGTCTTCTACATCCACCTCTCTACGCCCAAGCCCCCACCAAACTCATGAGGAAGGCTCCCAAGAACACAAGCAAACACGCATACACCCTGCGCTTTCCCCTGAGCACCTTCCAACTCTCATCGCTCAAGAAATCCTCCGACATGAGTTCCACAAGACTTGCGTAGACGAGGAAACCCGCGGAAATAGCATTCATGATGCCGACGACGAGAAGACCAACTTCAGAGTCGGGAGAGTACAGGGTGTGAGTTGCTATGCCGATTGCCATGCCGCCTGGTGTAGTGCAACCGTATGCGAGAGCCATGAGCCAGGGCTGTGCAGCGCAGGGCTTCCAGTTGATGTCCGCGATACGTACACCGAGGGCGAGGCCTTCGAAAGTTTGATGGAAGACAATGGCAATGAGCAACACGGTGAAGTCGTTACCAACGGAAACGGCAAGCGACATTCCGATGAAGATGCTGTGGAACAGGATACCCATTTCCAAGAGAAAAACTTGCATAATGGCTTTCTTGTGGATTTGCTCGGGTGTGAGCACATGGTTGTGGTCTCCAATTTCTTGATCCTGTTCGATAGCATACTCATCATTGTCTTCCTTGCTATGAGCGCCTGGAATCTCCGCTGCAGACCCACCAACAGATTCAATCGCGTCAAGTCTTTGGCCGTCTTCGCGGTAGCGGGAGAGTGTCCTACTGATGCTCCCAACTCTTCCACGCAAGACACCTAGATCTCGGACTCGCATGCTAGATTCGGAGTACGTCCTCTGCATTGCTGGTTGTGGTGGAGCCGGTGATTCAGTAGTCTCGTGCTTTGGCTCTTCCTTTCGGCGAGACACAGCCTCCGCGCCCTCGTTACCACCGCAGACATGCTGGGCCGGAGAAAAGATCATTTCAATCAATGTGACGAAAAACACACTAGCTAGCATGATAGCGCCCGGCATAGCCTGGTAGTCAGTTGTCCAGAAACTTGACAGACATGGGTCATTTAGTGAACCAAAAGCGGTGGGAAGTAAATGGACAAATGCGGTCGCGACTAGGACACCAGTACCGAAATGCTTTGCGCCGAAAAGGAAGGCAGGTGGAATGCGCAGCCGCGGGAATTTGAGTACGAGCATTGGGAAGGCACATCCAGTGCCGGATACGAAGAGGATAATGAAGAGACCAGCGACATGCAGACCCAGATCGTAGTTGGGCTGCGCTTTGCCATCTTCGCAGGTACTTCGCCTGGGAAGACGTTGGAATGATTGATCTGAAATTCGTTATTAGTAGTGACGCTTTGACGCAAAACGAGTTGTTCCATCTTACCTTTGGGCAAGAAAAACCTGGGAGCAGACAGGTTGCCGCTAGCCCAGGAAATCAAAATTGAAGTACACAGTACTGATACTAGCCACTTTGACCAGCTGATGATAGTGGCGGTGAGGCCACCTTGGTACTCGCTCACATGTCTGGTTGTTCGGGTGCAAGGTCCTTTAAACGAGTCAGCATCGCAACCTTCATTTCCGAGTTATCGGAAAACTGCAACATACCGTTTAGGGACCCTTTGACACCCTCGCCCGTAGTGTTCGGCGGTCTCTTCTCCATCTCTTGAACATTAGAATCATCGATTCCACAGCGCCGGAGACTCTGTGTGCCGCTGCGCAACCGGTCTGCTTCTCCTAATTCCCTTGCATTCGCGATGCCGTTTAGGTCCTCACAAGTCGTCAGATCAGCAGCGAAGCGTGGCGGACTCTGGTTCCATTCTGGATGCCAAAGGACGTCCTCATCGGTTTTGGAAGGGCAGTTCATCTTGGGACCTCGGTAGCCAAGCCCTCCTTTCTAGACAGGGAGACGATGGAAGGTGCGTTTTGTAGTAGTGACAGCAATCTAGTCGGTAGAGCACGAACGATGGGTTGATACGTTTGGAGGATGACCTGAAGATCGATCAATAACGGTGGGAATAGTCGGGAGATATGACATCTGAAGGAACTAGTAGTGGTCACTATGGTCGGTTAGCGGCTCTTCCGCGAGTGTTATTGCCCAATCACATGCTGGGGCCAAGTGCCAAGACATTCCGATCTCCAGTTCCGCCACGCGTAGACGGCCGAACGGGTGCTGGATCTTTTGATGGGTCTGTAATACAGCCGCCATTACTCCAGTCAAACTCCGTGTTTCAAAATTATACAAAAAGCCATACTCGCTCTCATCACCACCTCAATTACTGGAATCGGGTGTTCGGCTTGCCCAGCACGTAACGATGCGCGGCCGGTGGAGACTCTCAAGAAGATCGAACCCGATGTCTCCCGTAGAGCCATGAGCACCAAGACGTGCAAACTTTACCGATGCGGAAATTTCTGGGGTAATGGCACCAATAGCTAGTCTGGACCATGTGGTACTCCGACTGCTGACTACAACATGCGATTCTGGGCATCGATTGACTCAGACCTATTGATGAGCGCCACGAGTCAGCAGCATCTTAGAATAGACGCTATTATGTGACGAGTAGTTCTGAAAAAGAACATTTTCTTTAGTTGGCATGTGAGCACGCGACCTGCAGGACAGCCACGATTGTTTTAACGTTGCATTAGTTGCTCCAATGGACATGTGACGGGTAGCCCACACGGTCGCTTCCGAACATTTCTTAGCGCATGTTGAAGCGCGTTCTCGTATCATTGGTGTCTATGGGTATCACTTTTCACTGCGCCTTGGCTGTTTCCAATACTTCAAGCGCACCGCCAACCAGGTGCAAGCTTCCAGTTACCAACACCATAACTTCAGCATCGGCCCCGGCCTGCTTGGCATAGTCTTGCGCCACCTTTCGTGCGGTTCCGACTGCCTCTTCGATTGTACGTAGCACATGCACTTCTGCAGTGCTGTCAATATCAGACCACGTGTTCGCGAGCGCCTTCTGCACTGCCAATGTATCTACATCCTGCTGGTTGGTGTTCATCGACACGAGATCAGGCTTGTACCCTTCGCTGAAGGTTTGATTGGTCGTAAAGATGACATGTGTGAAAGGAGACTGCGATCCAGACGTGATACCGCTCTGCAGAGCTGTGTATAGAGCTTTGGCAAGTGCATTTGCGTCTCGGGTTTGTTGGTTGAAGATCAGGATTCGAGGAACCTTGGATCGCGAGGTAGCGGTGGACGTAGCCATTTTGATCTGCTCCGCGAACCACTTTCCAGTAACCTCGATGCTTTCCATTGTGTGCCCTCCGTCGATGTGCCATGCAACGTTGGTCTCGCGTCTTATCTCGCATCTGCCAGCCCATCGCACTTGCTCTAGGCCGCGAATGAATTCGGAAGGGAGTTCGATATGGGGAACGACGGTGGGGTCGGGCACCGAAGTGTGGCCCAGTGCTCGCAGGTGTGCAGCAGCAGCAGCTATTGCCACGGACGCATTGATTTTCTGGAACGCTGCACCTAGCCCAAGCTTGATCTCGTTGTTGGCTAGAGCCGGATGTATGTCGATGGTGTGTAGCTTCGTGCCCTTCTCTGCCGCCCGTTCTTCCAGAACGGTCATGGCTTCGTCCTTTTGACGCGCCGTAAATGCGACACTGCCTTCTTTGAAAATTCCTGCCTTGTGCCAGGCTATCTCTGGAAGTGTAGAACCGAGCATCGCGGTATGATCTATCCCTAGACTCGTGACGGCTGTGACAGTGGGTTTTGTCAAGATGTTGGTGCTGTCATATTCGCCGCCAATGCCACACTCAATAACAGCCGAGTCCACACCCTCCTTCAGATACGCATGTAGCGCCATAAGGGTCAGATAGCGGAAGTATACTGGCTTTGTGGGCACGTCTGCGGGCGCATTTTCGGTCTTCGCTGCTGCCTCCAGCTTGTCCCATACCTCGAAGAAGTATTTGGCGAACTTCTCCTCTGATATTGGCTCATTGTCGATTTGTATGCGTTCACGTACGAATCGCAGATGTGGGGAGGTGTAGAGGCCGATCTTCGAGGGTGGAGTCTGCGCATCGCGGGAGGTCGCGTATTGCGACAAGATAGATGAGATAAAGGCACTAGTTGAGCCCTTTCCCTTTGTTCCGGCGATGTGTATAGGCTTCAGCCTGTCAAATTCTGAGGGCTGGACATGTCGTCAGTCACCATCCTCAGGTGGGGTTCTCGGGAGCCGCACACCTCATATCCAGCTTTGCGACACCATTCAATCATCTCCGGTATCGCCTGCTTGTTCATGCCGCGACCCGACTTGCGGATCGCATCGACTATGGAGAAGTTGGACTGAAGCGTGTTCAGCGCCGCAACCGCAGCCTGCGATGGTCAGCCCAATCCATGCGCACATTGCTAGAAACATACCGCATAGTCGCGCTTCTCCATCGTGGCGGCTGTGTGATGAAGGCGGGCAATTGGTCTAGCGCGCAACCAGCACGTGCGTGTCCGGGCTATGAACATGAGGGCATCGTGATTGATGCTTGAGAGACTGTCTGCGACTTTTGTTAGTGAAAGAAAGCCCGCCGCCGATAGCCGATGACGCATCAGCTCGGACCCTCGTTCTCGCATGCCTCAAATGGACCTGCGATCCACCTCACCTCTCGCTTCACCTCCTTGAACCGATGCATCATGTTTTGCTCTTCGCAAGCAAATATATTGACCTACTCAAGCGACTACTGACTTAGTGTCTATCAATGCTACTTATACAACTAATTTTACATACAATTACAGGTTCATCGTGTTGTACGCCGCACCCTCATCCCAGAGCGGATAGTACGAGCCGAACAAGTCCAGCGACTCGCCGTCGAGCATTGTCCCACCGTCATTCCGAAGATTCCATCCTAGAGGGAATGGCTGCAAATCCGCGTATGAAGGAAAAGCTGATGGCGCCTCAGCGACTGTTGTTTCCTGCGGCCCCTCAATCGGGGCCACACCTTCGGCATACATGGCAGACGATTTTGGGTGGCTATTCTTCTCAGAGTCGTTTTGCGCCCGCACATAAGTTCGCGCTATCTGTGTGAACTCCGATGCGATGGACCCTGGGAGTGTTCCCTGCGAAGCGTACTCCAAGCCACTGAAATGACCACAGCCAACATCGAGCAAGGCCAAATTGGCTGTGGTTTTTGGATGGGTCGGATTATCTATGACCATGTCGAAAAGAACAAGATAAGCAGCCAACGGAACGCTGGCAAGAACCCTGCAAATCATCAACAACTGTCACACGAGCAAGGATACTCAAACTTACCAAATGGGTGTGTAAGGCTGCATATCGATAAACTTTGTGAGCTCGAGCACCGTCCGCGCTGTACGCATAATGCCGTCCACCAAATCAGACCGAGCATCAGACTCATCCTCCATCTGGAGAGCAGTACGATCAAGATGCAACATGGTGCCATGGTACAAATAATGGAGCCGTATACCAATATCAATCATTTGCGTGGTTTGGGTATACGGCCGTATAGGTTGCCCTGGCCGAAGCTCCATGGGTATCGTCTTTGCCCATGCTCCCAGCTCGGACTTGAGGTTGTAGATGGTCGTATTGTAGTAGGCTTTCGGTCTACCTCGTACACTGACAGAGAACAGAGATGCGTATATGCGACTAAGGAGTCGTGATATCCGGATAGACGCACGAGTCCAGTCAAACGATGTGCCACTGCACAATAACGGCTGAGTTGGGATAGCACTGCTGATGTCCGAATCCATGATAGTAGAGCATCTGCCAATATTGAACGACATGTTCTTTTCAAGGAAATAAAGAACATAGAATGTGCGGTTCCGTTCATCGTTACCAGGAGCCGTCGATCTGTTGTACCCTAGTGTTTGTGCCTTCTTGGCCCCTTCTGACACCATGGCGTATTCAATTTGCAGACACGAAAGATTCGAGGCAAAAATTGCCATGGCTGTCAGTGCTTGAACCGTGTTCAATGTGGTTCTGCTAATCAACAGATCTGGAAAGATGGCTAGAGCCGTGCCAAAAAACCGCCAGCTTCCACTCTTTGTAGGCTCATAGCTACCTCCATCGTGGTACTGCGAGCCCAGAGCGAGAACAGCGTAAAACAGTGCGGACCACGACTTGTCGCTGGCGAGTTTGTCGCTCAGATTCGGACTGAGAGCGATGCTTTCGAATCGCCGCCTGTCGAGAAATGGATGAATCGGGTCGACATGCTCAAAATAGGCTATTCGGTCAACCACGGACGTGAACACCAGACGTTTACGAACTTACCTTGAATGCAAGTCGCGATGTATTCTTTTTCGATATCAAACACACGGATACGATCGGAGTCTGGCGCAGGAGCAGGTACTCGCTCGATAGTTTTCATTCGCTCTCCAATGATATTGGTCACCTTCGCCCGAGCATGTGATACGCGGTCATGACCAAGACGGATGGCCAGCTCCTTCAGTCGAGCCTCGGGGAAGAACGTCAGACTGTACTCGCTCCCTGTTTGAATTTTGGTAAGCTGACAGCAAAGAAGCAAGAACTGGTTTATGACCCGAACTTACCGAAAACACCGAGATCTTGCAGGCTCGGACTCTGCGCACTGAGCGCATTGTCTTGATCGGGAGCAGATAGAAGCCTGTCTACGTACAACTCTTGGAGTCCGTCATACTTTGACATGCCTCCGAACGAGCTATGATCATCGTGGTGAATCTCCGATTCGTCCCTAAGTTCGGGGTCCACTTTCTTTGCGGAGCCTACGACGGATTCTTGCTGCGAGCTTGATGCATATCGTCTCTTCCGTATGCGGACAGGACTGAAGTTGCAGACCTCGTTTCTTCGAGCGCAGTTGAGACACTTCGTAGCACCTGGATGTCCTATTCAACTATCAGTGTCACACTTCTGAGGATGAAAGGGTGGATCAGTAATCAGCGACCTACCGATACCACCACAACGAACTTTGCGAGTTTTGCATGGATCGCATGTTTTCATCAGTTTACCGCCGAAATCCATAGTTCTCGAAGAAAGGCTTTGAACATGCAGGAAGACTTCGGGTGCGTAAAAGAACGAGGGATGGCGTCTTCATAAAGCTCGGAGCCGAGGAGGTGCATTGATAGCGTTCGGATAGACCCGCTTTAGCCTTACGCGGCTACCGAGATGCGAGCTTCCTTCCGAAAACATGGAAACAAGTTCAGAGTTGACTTTCTCTCGTCATTACCGATGAGTAAGGAGAGAAATGGATGCCATGAGTAAGAGTTTGATATATAGATCTGGTCGTTCGACCAGATCGAGCATTCTGCCATCGCTGTACCATCACCCTTGAGCTGACCATGTCACCCAATACCTCTGATGATACAGATGACGAAACAATCACCTCTTCTGCCCCTCAGAATGATCAAAACGAAGAATCTCTTTCACCTGCTGCAGTCGCGCGCCTTGTTCGACGTGTCTCGGCTGCACACGACCCAGACCGGAAAATCGACCCTTTTGACGTTGACGACCCAAACTGGACTCTGGAAAGGACGCTTGCAATTGCTATCGATCGAGGAGCACGGGATGGCGCAGGGCCTCTGTCACCACATGTGACGCTTGTGTGGAAGGATGTCTCCGTATACAGCGACGATGTCGGCAGGGCTACACAGCAAGACGCGCTGTCCCTCTTCACCAATCTCATCACTATGATCCGCAACTCATTGAAGAAGCCGCAAGAGAGAAGAATTCTCCATGATATCGACGGAATACTCGCTCCTGGCGAGATGATGTTGGTCCTTGGGCCTCCATCCAGTGGTTGCACGACATTGTTGAGAATGCTCTCTGGACAGATCGAAGGCTACCGGAAATGGTCTGGATCTATCAGCTACAGCGGTATCAATCTTGAGACTATGCGAAAGCGATTCGCAGGTATGCTGACCTTCAACGACGCCATCGACCACCACTTCCCCTATCTTACGGTTTCTCAAACTTTGGAGTTTGCAGCCAGTACCAAGACACCTCGGATGCGTATGGACGGTGTCTCACGAAAGCAGTACATCGAAGGCATCAAAAACATCCTCATGGCAATCTTCGGTTTAAGACACACAGCCCAGACCCGCGTGGGCAATGACTTCGTACGAGGTGTATCTGGAGGCGAGAGGCGTAGAGTTTCAATCGCTGAAATGGTAGGTCTTGTTGGAACAGACACCATAATGCTTACAATGCTGACTGTGAATTAGCTTCTTACTCGAGCTTGCGTGACCTGCTGGGACAATCCAACAAAGGGTCTTGATAGCTCAACATCTTTAGACTTCGCCAGAGCGCTGCGTGTTGCCACCGACCTCACCAATAACGTATCCATATCTGCTTTGTACCAGCCAGGTGATTCACTGGCTGGCACGTACGACAAAGTGCTGCTTCTTCATGAGGGTCGCCAGATCTACTTCGGAGACGTGCACGCAGCGAAAGGTTTCTTCGAAACCATGGGCTTCGTCTGCCCCTCTCGTCAGACTGTTGCAGAGTTCCTGGTCTCTATAACAGATCCAAGCGCACGAGTTGTGCGTGAAGGTTGCGAGAACCAAGTTCCACGTACTGCACAAGAGTTTGAGGATCGTTGGAGAGCCAGTGCTGATTACCACAACTTGAGGCTGGCGATCGAAGAACATCTCGACACAGTTGACTCTATGCAGAGTCAGGAATTGAACCGATTCAAGAGCGTGCGATCTGCTGAAAGAGCCCCCGCTACTCGCGTATACTCGCCATACACTCTGAACCTTGGCATGCAGTTCACCACGACTTTCAAACGAGCCGTTCAACGGATCCAAGGAGAGTATGCCTATTTTACGGCTATCACAGCGACGATGCTCATCATCCCGTTGATCATGGGGTCGATGTTCTATCAGATTGATCCTGGAACAAGCGGATTCTTTTCTAAAGGCGGTATCATCTTCTTCATTGTCCTCTTCAACATCATCATCAATTTTGCTGAAATTGTCGCGCAATTTTCGCAGAGACCGATTGTTGAGAAACATCATGCCTACAGCATGTACCACCCGTACATCGATGCTCTGGCTACAATGATTTCGCAATACCCAATCAAGATCATCAACATCATGCTGTTCACGGTCATTGTTTACTTCATGGCTGATCTAAAGAAGGAAGCTGGTCCATTCTTCCTCTTCGTTGTCTTCACCTACCTTACTACAGTAACCATGACTGCCTGGTTTCGCATTATCGCAGCATTCACTTCGACTGTGGACATAGCGTTAGCTGTGGCTGGACTATCCATTCTCCCGCTGGCCATGTACGGAGGATACGTCATCCCCCGTCCTTCGATGCATCCTTGGTTTAAATGGATCTCCTACATCAATCCCATCTACTATACCATCGAAGCCCTCATGGCCATCGAGTTTCATGGACGGCAAGCACCTTGCCAGCAGTTAATCCCGTCTGGCCCTGGATATGAGAATGTAGACACACAGAACCAAGTCTGTGCCGTTATCGGAGCTAGACCAGGTGTCCCGTACGTAGTCGGAGACGAGTATATCGCTTTGTCGCATGGGTACTCATATGACCATGTGTGGCGCAACCTCGGCATATCGATCGCTTTCTTCCTAGCATTTACCATTATTTATGCTGCGACGACCGAGTTCATGAAGTCGTCTAATGGTACTTCCCAGATGGTCTTTCGGAAGAATTCGCCTTGGGCTACAGCAAAGCCTCATGACACGGAAAGCGGTGCAGCTGGTACATCTGGCACTGATGAGAAGGTTGCGACTGGTGGGAGTACGCCAGGTATCGAAAGCGGCAAAGATGTCTTCTCTTGGAAACACCTCAACTACGACATCGATATTAAAGGAACTACACGTCGATTGCTGTCCGATGTCGAAGGTTTTGTTGAGCCTGGTACACTGACGGCACTTATGGGCGCTTCTGGAGCGGGCAAGACCACCCTACTCAATGTACTCGCACAACGTGTTGGTGGAGTGGGTATCGTAACTGGTGATCCAACGATCAACGGCGTTGCCTTGGATGCCTCGTTCCAGCAGCGCACTGGCTATGTACAGCAGCAAGATATCCATATGGCTGAGATGACAGTCCGCGAGGCTTTCCGTTTCTCTGCGTCTCTTCGTCAACCACAAGAAGTATCTTTGGAAGAAAAGTATGCCTACGTCGAGAAGATCATCTCAATTCTTGGTCTGGAAGACTTCGCAGAAGCCGTGATTGGCATTCCAGGAAAAGGACTCAGTGCAGAGAAGCGAAAACGTACCACGATAGGGCTTGAACTTGTCGCACGGCCGTCGTTGCTCATCTTTGTTGATGAGCCGACATCTGGCCTTGACTCTCAGTCAGCGTGGTCCATCGTTCAACTGCTCCGAGATCTTGCCAATGCAGGCCAGGCAATCCTATGTACCATTCATCAGCCTTCTGCTACTCTTATCGAACAATTCGACCGACTGCTATTGTTAGCACGAGGTGGAAAGACCGTCTACTTTGGAGATCTGGGCAGAGACTCACAAACGGTTCTCGATTACTTTGCTGGCTACGGTGCACCCAGGTGCCCAGAAGGCGCAAACCCAGCCGAGTACATCCTCGAACAAATTGGAGCAGGCGCCACAGGACAAGCAACACTCGATTGGCCTTCAGTATGGCAGTCATCCATCGAGCGCAGAGCTGTTACCGAACGCATTGAGCACTTCGAGTCATTAGGCCGCTCCAATCCTGCCCAAGATTCCAGCGCTCCGATGCGCAAGTTTGCGACAAGCTGGTGGCAACAATATCTCCTCGTACAGAAGCGACTTTTCGTGCAGCAATGGCGCTCGCCGGGCTACATTAATAGCAAGCTTGCTATCAACGTCATCGGTGGGCTGTTCATGGGTTTTACTTTCTACAAAGAACAAAACTCCGTGCAAGGCCTACAGAACAAAGTGTTCTCAGTCTTCACGATCCTGCTTCTCTGTCTCATCCTGATGGTTCTTGTCCAGCCTCGGCTCATCGAACTCCGGAAGATATACGATGTCCGCGAAAAGCACTCGAACATGTACCACTGGAGCGTCTTCGTAGTGGCAAACGTACTCGTGGAGATACCCTTCAATTTTGTCATTTCAAGCATATGCTTTCTCTGCTGGTACTTCCCCGTGGGCTGGTGGCGCGACATATCTGACGGGCGAGGCGCATTCATGTACCTCGTGTTCAGCGTCTACCAGATCTATCACGCAACCTTTTCGCAGGCACTTGCCGTCGTCACACCCAATGCCGAAACAGCCGCCATGTTGACCATTCTCTTCTACACGTTCATTCTCGCTTTCAGCGGAGTGCTCCAACCGCTTTCGCAACTCGTCGGGTTTTGGCATTTCGCCTACTACGTCAGTCCTTTTACATGGCTCGTCTCAGCCATGATGTCTACCGGTGTGCATGACGTTCCGGTTCAATGCACGGTAGCCGAGACCAACGTCTTCCAGCCTCCTCAGGGACAGACGTGCGGCGAGTACGCTGGCGCGTTTGCGAATGCGAGCATGGCGACATTGTACAACCCGGATGCAAATCAAGACTGTCAGTTCTGCCAATTCGCCGTCGCGGATGTGTACCTTGGTGCTTTGAACATGTCATACGACGACCGCTGGAGGAACTTTGGCTTCCTGATTGTTTACACTGCGTTCAATGTGGCTGTGTTCACACTTGGCTTTTATTTGTATTCTGGTCCCGGATTGGGCAATACGCTGAAACGCGTCTTCAAGGCTAAGAAGGCCTGATTGTGGTATCGTTATTAATCATACTTGGTGGGTGAATGTGTCTTATAGATTTCGAGCGATCGTATTGTAATACAAAGCACTTGTTTATTTTCGAAGTTTATTCTGAGCGCGTGCTGCATGAGCTGAGGGTGATTGACAGTAAGGTTGAGACACAATAACAGACAGGGTTTGGCGGGTCAATTGCGGGGCGCCGAAAGTAGCCTAGCGCATGTGGTCGTAGCTCTCTCACTCGATTGATCCTCGATGGACAATCCGACCGCAGCCATTGTTTCGACCGCAGCCAGCGCCTTTATCAACCACCGCGCGCCCCTTTTCTTCTTCTCTTTCCCCCATTGTCGCACGACGCACGAAACCACATTGATTGACATCTTGACACTCGTCGCGCAACCGGACACATTACAGCTTCGTTGATTACGCGCCCCTTGTCGCGTCGAGCTTACCACCGG